TTGTTAAGCAACCAGTCATAAGCCAAGGATTACCTGCATATGTTTAGAACTGCCAGGTGTAAAATAAATGGTTTTTCTTACATTGTTATCTTTTGCTGAATAAATCTTTTGTTTTGAAATTACTATTTCTCTAGGCAGAAGAATGTACTAACTCTATCAGTGATTCTTCAGAAACGACATTTAGTAGTAGTCAAGGACTATCGACTGAAACATTTGGGAGGTAACATTATACTGAATTACTTTTTAAAAAAATACTGTTTAAGTAAATTCATTTTTATTTTAGTTATTTGATTTGTCAATCGCTTACAAGATAATAGGTATAAGAATAAACATGAATATATGTACAGGAAATAGGTACGAATAAATGGCGATTGCAGGACAGGGACGGTAGGCACGATTGTGCACTCATGCACACCCGTTACAGACTTCTTAGGAATGGGGTGAGGTGAATAGTAGATAGCTTAAGGTTAAAGAAGTGGGAGTTTGAGGATGTAAGAACAGAGTCAGGTAGTGCATTCCAGGCATTGACTACTCTGTTGCTGAAGTCGTACTTTCTGCAATCGAGTTTGAAGCGGTTTACATTGAGTTTGTATCTGTTGTGTGCTCTTGTATCATTGTGGTTGAAGCTGAAGTAGTCATTGACTGGTAGGACATTGTAGCAGATAATTTTGTGTACTACGCTTAAGTCCAACTGTAGACAGCATAGTTGTAGGTTGTCCAAGCCCAAAATTTCAAGCCTGGTGGTGAAGGGTATTCTGTTGCGAGCAGAGGAGTGAACTCTTCTCGTGAAATACTTCTGGGCTCGCTCAATTGTATTAATGTCTGATATACAATGTGGATTCCAGACAGATGAGCTGTATTCGAGTATTGGTCTAGCAAACATTTTGTATGCCCGAGTTGGCAATTCAATATTACCGAAGGAGAAGCTTCGGAAGATTAGATTTACAACTCCTAATGCCTTTTTGGCAATGCTGTTACAGTGAGCTTAGGTTATTTAATATGAGTACTCCAAGGTCCTTGACAGAGTGAGGGTCATCAATGAGGTCATATCCGCCTAGCTTGTATTTGGTGTACTGATTTCTTTTACCAAGGACAGCATTTGTTGGCTGAGATTTTGAGTTGCCAGTTGTTTGACCATTCAGATACATAATCAAGGTCACTTTGAAGGACGGTACCATTGTCGGTCGTGTTGAATAGTTTTACATCATCAGCGAAGAGGACACAGTTGCTTATAAGTTGATCACAAAGATCATTTATGTAGAGTATAAAGAGTGTGGGTCCTAGAACGCTGCACTGGGGGAAACCGCTGTTAACTGGTGCAGGGTTTGATAGGGTGCTCCCTATTTTTACTATTTGTTGCCTGTTCGACAGGAACACAGTAATCCACTTGTGAGGGGATCTGGAAATGTCATAAGAATTTAGTTTTAACAGTAGTTTGTTTGATATAGTAGTTTGATATAAAGAACAGAACATCGCAAAATGATCATCAATTAAGAAAGGTATGGTAATCAATATGAAACTCAAATACTTTGGCCACCTAAGGAGAAGTAAGGATTCACTGGAGAAGAGAGCCCAATGCTGGGAAAGATTGAGGGCAATAGAAGATTGGGAAAACAGAATGAGGTGGCTATATGGAGTCACGGAAGCGATAGGCGTGAGCTTAAATGGAAGATGGTAGAGGACAGGAAGGCCTGGAGGAACATTGTCCATGGCATCGCAGTGTGTCGGACATGATTTCGCAACTAACAACAACAACATGGTAATCAATATGAAAGGCCTTTCCATGATTTTATTGTGATTGTGGAATTTTTATGTAGCTCCTTTTATGTCTTTCAGGTTAATGGGCTGGATATCTTTAGCTGAATCGCTTACTAACAGAGTCTCTTTGTCTAGTTTATATTTTCATTTTTTTGTATATACTTGTGATGTGATGATGTGTGTTCAAAAGGGGTAGAGCTTATGATATTATGCTGCTTTCATCATTTTTGCATCCATGATGCTCCTTTTGGGGTAGAGTTTAAGGGAATCTTGACAGTATCTTCTTCCCCTTCTTCCTGTTCTATTTCTTTTTCTTTTCTTATATTATCTGTGAGGAAACCAAAAGAATTAAGGGAGGTAAACCTTATCAACTCTAATTACGGATAGTCCTCAACTTATAACCACAATTGAGCCCAAAATTTCTAAAATTGCTAAAAAGACAGTTGTTAAGTGAGTTTTGCCCCATTTTACGACCTTTCTTGCCATAGTTGTTGAGTGAATAACTTCAGTTGTTAAGTTAGTAACACGGTTGTTAAGCGAATCGGGCTTCCCCATTGACTTTGCTTGTCAGAAGGTTGCAAAAGGCGATCACTTGACCCTCCCTGGACACTGCAATCATTATAAATACATGTCATTTGCCAAGGATCCGAGTTTTGATCATACGACCATGCGGATACTGCAGTGGTTATAAGTGTGAAAAAAGAGTCATAAGTCACGTTTTTCAGTGCTGTTGTAACTTTGATCACTGAACAAAGGGTTGTAAGTCTAGGACTACTTGTAATACAACTAGGAGTCAATATTTTGGAATCAACCCATATAGGTTAGAGCAGTGATGGTTTACCTTTTCAGCACCGAGTGCCCAAACTGGAACGTGCGTGCATATGCGCATGCCTCGGGCACCGGAAACTGAAGAGCAGCTGGCCGGTGCACGCATGCCTGTTTTGCGGGGCATTTTTGGGGCCCTTTTCATGCCAAAAATGGCCCAAAAAACAGCCTGAAAATTGCCCCAAAACGGCCAGAAATATGGCCAGAAAAATTAACTAACTATATATATATTTCAAAGCAAATGCAGAAAAGTTGGTGTGAAAAACGGCCTGTAAATGGCCCGAAAAAGGCCTGAAAAAGGCCTGCTTTTTGGCAGTTTTTTGGGCCATTTTCCAATGCTCCGGTGCCTGTGAAGATCAGTTCACATGCGCGCCAGAAACCAGAAGAGCAGCTGGTGATGGTGCGCATGCCCACTGAGAGGACTTAGGTTCGGGTTAGAGAGAAGAAGCAAGTTTAAGTGACCACTTGCATGCCGTGGCGTAGCTTCAGTGTGTAAAATTATCTTTCAGTTAGAAATTGATATCAGTATCAGTGGATATTGATATCAATAAATCAGAGTGGATTTTTTCAGTATTCCAGCCAATATGCAAAGTAAGCAATATTTCAATGGCAATTTAAAAATAGATAAATCCCGATGGCTCTAGAAAAGTCTCCATTTATTTTACTCTGACTCTCTCATCAGCCTATTTAGAAGAAGATGGGAGCAAGGAACACCAGCATTACTCTCTTAGCCCTTAAAGTCTATTTCCAGGAGTCAGCATTGATTTGAAGGCACAGGAAGAAAGGGAAGGAAGGAAGGAAGGAATAGCCTACATAATCTGCATTTTAATTTGGATAATTTATTTTGTGCATACTTTAGTAGTAATATAAAGATTTAGCTCAAGATGTCACTGTGAGTTGTTTGCTTGAGTTTCATCAAAGTGTAGATGTAGATATGGCAAACTTAATGGCAATAAAATGCAGTCATGATGACCTGTGAAGATTGTTTTAGTTTTCTGTAGATAGTTGTTGAGTCAGATTGTAATTATGCTGTGTGTTTTTTTTAATTCTGTAGCACTACAGATTTGGATTTGGAACTGGAGAAGTCATCTGACACAATTACACAACATGCTGAAGCCATTCAGCTAAATGAATCTTCATCTTCTCAGAACGCTGTAAACAAAATTTTAAAATATTTTTCTATTTATTCTTTTATTGCTTTTAAAATAATGGCCCAAAATGGGAAAGATTCCACAAAACTAAAAATGTATAGATTATCAAAGAAAAAGAAAAAAAAACATATAGAAAGTGCTTTAAAAAATGAATTGATGCAACAAAGGAAAATGAAAAAATATATCATTTTGGCAGTAAATAGTTACAGTTCTATATATAGTTATCTAATTCAATTATTATGCAAGTACATATTAGTTCTCACGCATTTATAACTATCATTCTGAACCTATTGTATTTTGTTTAAATGTCCCATATTTCATTATATTTGTCCATACAAGTCTATGTCTATAGGCTATCTATTTATGTGGCAAATTAATCACTCTCAATCTGTTGAATGAAAAGGGCTGTATATTTATTTTTCCAATGCTGCAATATCACTTTTAGCTATAAAAAGGGCATCGAGAATTCATTTACATTATCTGTTTATCAAATCCCAAATATTAGGTATTTAGTCCAAAGAATCTTATCATCTGATAATTGTAGCTTTTTGTTGCACACTTATATTTATATAAGCCAGAACTTACTATAGAGCAGGATCAACTTGTGTTCTAATCTGCCCTCTGCATACATTTCTGTTTGTCATGGAAAAGGAAGCAACCATAGTATCGCTATGGCAGCATTCTGCACTTAACAAATAGCTTTTCCAAAATGTGACTGGTCATAAGCCATTTAGTAAAATGTTCATTAAATTAAAAATAAAGTATGCCAGTATCATCATGTCACAAAATATTCCAACATCAAAAACAACAGCAGCAGCAGCAACAACGAAATCATTAGTTACTTCCTTTCCTAACAACCCAGAGTTTCTGGACTCAGGAAGCATATACATTTAATAATTTTTTAAATATGGTTCGTCACACAGTCAGCCAGATGTTCAGACTGGATTTGGCATTTTTGTCTTCCTATCGAGTTTTTTCAAAGGACCTGGGATAGTCAGATGTTTGATGGTATTACAGATATCATTACAGGATGTCAGCTGTTTCAAGTAAAACTGCCTTTTACAGTTGATTGATGGTGAATTTGTCAATGCCAATGGTGTTCAAGTGGTGCTCCAGTTATTTTGGGATTGCACGCGCTACCTTGACACTACCTTTACTTGCTTTTGCCACAGTCATTCTATTTCTATTTGCTGTTCTTTCTGTTTTGTTATCTTCTCCAGTTTTTTCTCCTCTATTCTTCTGTACCCAGCTACTGCCATGTCCACTATCCAGACTTTTTTGTCTTTCTTATCAACAGTTGTTAAGTCTGGGGTGTTATGTGGCAGGTACCTTTCTGTTTGAATTCCAGAGTCCCAGAGCAATTTAGTCTCTTCATTTTCTATGACTTTCTCTATTTTAAGGTCTCACCAGTTCTTGCTTGCAGGCAAATGATATTTCTTATAGATCTTCAGATGCGACATTGTTCCTATTTTACCATGTCATTGTTTGTAGTCAGTCTGTGTGATCTTCTTGCAGCATATAACAATAAAATATTATTGTTATAGTTTACATATATATATCTTCAGGCTGATGACGAGTGGGACCTCGTCGAAACGTTGCCAAGATGAGCAACGTTTCATATTTCATTATATTTGTCCATACAAGTCTATGTCTATAGGCTATGTAAGATTGAGAGCATCTTGGCAACGTTTAGATGAGGTCCCACTCGCCATCAGCCTGAAGATGGTGAGTGGGACCTCGTTGAAACGTTGCCAAGATGCTCTCAATCTTACATGGGAAAAGACCCGAACACACCAAGACCTGCATACTTGTACCCGTGAAAATCTATGAAAACGTGTGTGTGTGTGTGTGTGTGTGTATAGTTATAGTTATATATGATTGCACACTCAGCCAGATGTTTAGACTGGAGCTGAGATAGGCAGATTTCTGCTGTGTGGGGAAATAAAATCCCCGCTTCATGTCAGCCTCATTAAGTAGACCAGACCAGTGGTGGTATTCAGCCGATTTGCACTGGTTCACACAAACCGGTAGCAAGGATTTAGCATGGATCGCTGAACCAGTAGTAAGTTCTGGCTACCCATGCCAGAAATAGGAAGTGAGAAAGAAAAATAGGAAGGAAGGGAGAGAGAGAGAGAAAGAAAAAAACCCCTCTGTGCTATTATTTTTAATTGTCCCATTATTTATCATATATTAATATTTTACACTGTCCCTACACCTAGAGTGATTTTACTGCCTTTCTTTTGCCCAGGTATTTTTCAGGGTTTACAATACATGCATTCAATGTCTATAGTCCAGAGCACAAATACATGTGTGTTTAACAGAGTTGAAAGGAACTTTGGAGGTCTTCTAGTCCAACCCCCTGCTCAGGCAGGAAAACTGAGGATGTCAAACTCTGAGTAGAGGTCCTAGGAAAGGTGTCAGAATAGCAATAACATTTAGAAGGGACCTTGGGGGGAACACTATAGCATTTCAGATAAATGGCTGTCCAGTCTTTTCTTAAAAACTTCCAGTGGTTGAGTACCCAGAACTTCTGGAGACAAGCAGTTCCACTGGTTAATTGTTCTCATTGTCAGGAAGTTTCTCCTTAGTTTTAGGTTGCTTCTCTGTTTGTTCAGTTTCCATCCATTGCTTCTTGTCTTGCCCTCAGGTGCTTTGGAAAATTCATTGCCACCCTTCTTTCTGGCAGCCCCTTAAAAGCCTGTTGCCTATTACACTCTTGGGCAAAGCATGTGAGCCATTTCTTCCTTTCAATGGTCCATGAAAATACATCTATAGTATGTAGATAATAAAGTCAAAAAAGGGTGAACAATATTTTTACAGAACTATAGATACATTGAGGCTGGGTATGACAAGGAATGGCTGGGAGGGAAGGGCCAGGCGAAGCACCCCTTGACGTGAGTGACATTGAGTTGGCCATACCCACCCAGTCACATGACCAAGCCACGCCTCATATGACCCCAAGCACACCCACCAAATAAGCCACGCTCACAGAACCGGTAGTAAAAAAAATTGAATCCCACCACTGGACCATACCAAACCAGGAAATAACTCCTTGGGAAGGCTAAAACTACTTTTATTGAGATTAGCTATAATAATGGAATATTGCAAGGCAAATTATATTGAACCTCCCCCTCCTCTTTCTACTCCAGTGAATCATGAGGTCATCTCCCCAAGTCATTCATAAACGTTGTTCCATTTATTTCTAAAAGATTTTTATTTTTTAAGACAAACATATACAGACAGAGACATAAAAACATAAAACCATCTTCCAATTATATACATAAAGTGCATCAGTTGGTTACAAATCTTTTGTGCTATCCTTTCATAGTCCTTACAAGTTGTATAGATTCTCAAATTGTCAATCTAGCATATGCTTGTATATTTATCAGTTATTAATCATTCATTTGACTAAACTATTATTCCATCATTTTATACGAGATATTCTAGATTTTATTATAAATTTTATTATAAACATTGTTTCATTTTTGTAGACTTAATATTTCAACCCATTTTGCTTTGTTAACATTTCTTGCACACATCTATCGTGGTCCTGTTCCTCACACTCTATACTCCATTATGTTTTCAAATCTAGTCTAAATTCTCACATTACTGCATAGGTTAGGGTTTTTTTTAATTATTTTTTTCAATTATTATTATTTACAAACATCTGTGTGAACACTGTGGTACCTAGGTATCATACATTTCAATACAAATAAATCAATATTAATCAAATTTGTTCCATCTAACAAGCTTATATAATTCTAATAATAATACACAACTTTGTGTTAATCTATTTTTATACCAATCACCCTGTTTTGAATATCATACCTTTTACTGTGAATAAAATGTTAATCATATTTATTACATTTAACAAACTTATATAATCCTAATATTAATGCAAACATTTATATTACATTAAAATCTTCCACTGTTTTTTTTCCAACTTGTAATCCTTCATTATTTGGTTATTCAGAGTTTCAATATGTTATCTTCATGTCAATCACCCTATTCTGCACAGTACAACTAAGATATTACTAATCATATTTATTACATTTAGCAAAAGTACACCTAATAGTGTTAATTTATAATCTTCCATTTATTTAATAATTCTATATGTTGTTTTTATGCCAATCACCATATCATTTAAATATACTTAACAATACCATCTTTCACAGAATATTATCCATCATATTTATTTCATTTAACAAACTGATACACTTCTAATAATAATAAAAATAATACCATGGTTTATGTTAAATTAGATCTTTCATTGTATGCTTACTCAATTTATAATCCTTCTATATTACAATGTATTATTTTTATAGCAATCACTATATTCTACGTATCATATGTTTTAATACAAATAAAATATTAATCATATTTATTGCATTTAGCTAACATACTCACATTCATAATGAATTAATTTCCCCTCTTATTACTACTACTTATTGTATAAAAATGTGCATTTTATTAATCTCCCTTTCTCCAAATCCCCTCTCTCTATTCTTTTTTTATGTTGTGCCACTATTATATTAATCAAAACCCCTTTTCTAACCATCATCTCTTAACTGCCTTAAAGCTTTGATTGCTCGTTTTTTAGCTTGCCTCCCATATTCCTCTCTTGGATCTTTATTTCTGTCTGCTTCCACATCTTGGCTACTCATTTTAAGTTTTTCTCCTTTCTCTTCCCTTTTTCTTTGTGTAGCTTTCAAAATATCTACTCTTGCCCCTGTTTCTTTCCCATAACAATCTTCCTCTTTCCCCTATTTCTTTTTTAATTTCCTTAATGGCCTCTCACCTTGGTTTACATCATCAATCCCTGGTGTTTTTATCATTATCTCCTTTTTTTCTCTTGTTCCATTTGTTTTGTCTGTCCCATTTTTTATCTCCTCTTTCAGTTGGCTCCTCCTCTTCCTGGGCCTCTTGGACACTCACTGTCTTTTGCAATGTATTTCCTAAATTTTCATCTATACCCTCTAGTCGTTTCATGATTTCCTGGCAATGTCTTGTCAATGCCTCCCTTGTACTTCGAATTGCCGACGCCACCTCTCCCAAAATTCCACTCCATTCTTCTTGATGAAGATCTCGTTGAATTTTATTAAATCCCTCTTTTGTTCAATAATCCAAAGACCATATGTTCAAATCTGCAAAGACTTCTGAAACAGTTTCAATATTCTTCTTTCTTTATATCCCAAATTTAGTCTGCCAGTTCCTCTGGAAAGCACCTTAAATCTTCCAATACCTCCTTGGGTCCTTCTATAAATCCAGTCTTATGTTAAAATCTTCAAGGGTCTTTTCAGTAAAATTTTCTTTCATGCTACGTTTAAATCTCTAGTAGACAAATAAGATTTTGGGAATGTGTTATTCTTCCTTTCTTCAGCAGGTGCCACTCTTTAATTTTATTTCAATATTAAGCTGTTTTTCCAATTTTCCATGATGCAAAGATAATGTTAATTTTTGTGTAAATATTTCGAATGTTTTCAAAATGTCTGTCCAGTAAAATGCCTGCCCAGTTTAAAAGTCTGATATTCTAAATATTTAGCAATTTTTTCTGTCTTTTTCCCTTCTAATTCTTCCTCCTCCAGTTTTAATATTTTTTCAATGTGCCAGTCGCTGCTACATATAATTGTGAATCCTTTTCCAGATTCTTTTTGGGGGTTGAAAGTTTAAATTAAAAAAGATTCTTCTCACCCAGTTCCAAATACTGTTCACCAACTTCAGTCCAGCACTATTCTTAGATGTTTCTCGGCTGTCCCAACTTCATGTTCCTCAGCTGTTCCAATTCGGCTGCCATCTTTGACTGCCTCTTCTCTTTGTTGTGGCATAGAGGGAAAAAGCCCTGGGGTTCAACAGGAGAGTTGCGATCTCTCCTGTGCCTCACAGAGCACCCCTCCTTAGCTTCACCACCCCACCAGGGCGGCTTAGGCTTCTTTCGGAACCCATAAACAAGGACAAGTTAGCACAGGAGAGCCCCATTTCTCTGCATCTGGTATCATAGTGACGTCAGCTGGATGTCGTTGCATAGATTAGGTTTAAAGGTGTATAGATTTTCAAACTGGAATTGATTAGGATAAGCTGACTACATTGTAAAAATCTGTCCAACCCTAAAAAAATTACAAACTTTAATTTAAACAAACATTGTTATATATCGACATGATGAGCTCCGTTAATATGTTCTTGCCTATTGTGTCCATAAAGAGTGGTTAGAATTATTTTTCCTTTATTGTGGAGGTTGAAATCAAATTTGAAGAATGGCAACAGCCAAAGTGAGTAGGGTTTGTCTAGGTTTGGGAGAGGATTAGAAATTTTCCTTTTAAAATACTTATTTTAGGAATTAACCTAGTTTTCATGTTTCTCACTTCAGATTGGGAGGCAACTACCATTTCTCAGAGCTCTAGAACAGGTCTCCTTGAGGGTTCAAGGCTATGAGTTGACTACCTTTGCTGTAAACTCAAATTAGGCATTCTCCAGGAAGTCTGCTGAGGAAAAGAATGTCCTTTCAGTGATTAACTCCAGGTAGCTGATTCTAAGGAGTGGTACCTACAGGCGAAAGGATGCTACCTTTTATGCTATCTTTCCCCTGTAAACCCTGCTTCTCTTTGTACAATTTGAAGGGTTTTCAACTTTTGCTAAGTCCTACTGTCGGGCACATCACCTCATGTGGAAACTCTCTCAGCAAGTTGTTTTTTCTCTGTAAAGCAAGATTTTTCAAGGTTACACAAAAACATCTTTGACTTCCTTCAAACTAACAGATTTATTATGACATAAGCTAAAGGTAACTTGATCAAAATTCCATTTCTACTGATAGACTACAGGATATCTCCCCTACCTCCAGTCCAAAGCTTTCTATAGCTTGCACAATTCTTCAACCCGCATATATTTTACATAGTCATGTGCGGTCATAAAGTAAATCTGCCCTTCCTTTCTCATTTTCTTTGCCTTGGGTAATTATATATTTGTGATCCGTTATACATTTTCCTAAATCAGAACAATACTTTTTCCAAAAATACTGCAATTTATGTTACTCTCTCTCTTTACAAGAGATAATAAATTAAGAGCAAGTTATCTGCTCTTTGCGCAGGAGTCAAAAGAACAATTTCACTCTCCTCAAGCAGATTAACTTATGCTTATTTTTTTTGTAGGGAGAACTGGATTCATGTGAGCAGCACAAGGAGCCAAAGTTATCCTTGCTTTCTCCAAGTGTTCCTGAATTTACATTGTCAAATCCAATTAACTATGTTTCCTGGCTTAACGAATATGCATCAAAGAACAATGTGAAAATTCAGTATAACTTGGAATCTAAAACTGGAGTGCAACATAAACCAGTGTGAGTTACTGATCAATATTTTATCTTGGGGAATAGGGTTGCATTTAAAAAAAAATCTCTTGAGATATGAAGGTATTATTGAATTTTATTCATAGGAGACTGGTTCACTCATTGCAACGAGCCATAGTTTTATGTGGCAGTGGTTTCTTGAATAATGGTGGGGTGTATGTACCATGCTTAGTCATAAATCATGGTTTATAAATCACAGTAGCTGTATTTACATATCACACTAAACCCAAAGTAAATCTTTTCACACAGAGAATGTGTGAACCAGCAGATGATGTTGCATACAAACAAATGCAAGTTTAGGCTGCAACAACAGGAATGTAGCTCTAATAACCAGATTTGTCATATATAATATATTGTTACATATTTTAACAAGCCTTGTTTAGGCTTAAGAAGATAAGCAGAATCACACCATCATACAATGTAAAGGTTTGAAGAGATTTAGTGCAACCCCTGCCTGGGGATCCACTGATAGGGCATCCCTAATAGAGGATAATCCATACTCTGTTTAAATATTATCTATGAAAGAGAGTTCACTGTCTCCTGAAACTACATTTTGTGGAAAGAAACCTTTTCTTGATGTCCAACTGAAATCTATTTCCTTGTAAGTCAAATGGATTATTTCCTCTGGAACAATTTTGAACAATTTTGTCATATCTTCTCTTACAGATAATGCAGTTTAGCCAACATAGAATAAAAAAGGAACAGTGATGTTTTAATGTTCTGGTTTTAAGGTTGACATGTGTGGTACTAAAAAAGTTTGTGAATCCTTTTGAACGTTCAACATTTTTGCATAAACATGATCTAAAAGTAAACTGTTCTCCACATGTCCTAAAACTAGATGAAGAGTACCCAATTAAACAAATGAATAAAAAAACATTGCATTGCTCATTTATTTACTTAGGAAATATATACTGCTATATAGCTAAATAAATTATGTATTTTTAAAGATTGATTACTAAACCTTGAAGCACTTTAGGTCTATAAACTCAAAGGTAAATCTGACTGAATTGAACTGGGCTTATATTCAGATATATGTATAACATTACAGCTTTTATATCAGAAGTAGGCTCCTTTGGTTTACTGAAAGTTACTTCTAGATAGATAGGAACTGATCAGCAGCCTTCTTTTACAACACTGAACATAATTTTTTTCTCCTTTTATATCTTCTAGCTTTTCTTTTGTGTGTCAGATTGGTGATAAAGTATTTGATGTTGGAAGAGGAAATAAAGTTAAAGCAGCCAAAAATGAAGCAGCCAAACTAGCATATGAAAAGTTGACTAGGTCCTCAACTTTCGGAGTATGTAAACTGAAATATACCATATAGTCTGTGTAATGTTTTGGATAAAAGAAATCAGGTTGCTCTCTAAGTTTCATTTTCTAGTTCCATGGAATGGAATTGTTAACAGGTTGAATTATGGTACAGTCTTCTGACATACAGAAAGAAAACCTTTCAAAATGTTCGAACGTTATTATTTTCATTATAAAAGGTGATATAAAATTTGTGAAGAACAACTTGTATCTAAGACAAGCTTTGTCGCTTGGTGGTCAAGCTGGGGGGAGGGGAACTGGGGCGCATGAGCGGTGTGCTAACACATGTGCAGCCTGATTCATGTGAGTAGCAGGCTGGCGTGCATCTACACGCAGCTCAACGTGGCGCATGTTGAGCTGTGTGCACTTCTGTGTGTGATTGCCAGCCTGCTATTCGCATGAGTCGAGTTGCGCACACAGGCACTCGCTCACCCATCACACAGCCTGTTTGCATTTAGGCAACAGCCTGGTAGTGGCTCATGGCCCAGAGATTGGGGACCTCAGATCTAAGCAACTTATTATTGTTGCATTCATTGTAATTTCTCCAGAGTAGAGTTTATCTGACCATAGTTACTCATGCCTGAATAACATCTGGGCAGATCCTTAACATGGTTTGATTGGAAAACTGAACCATCTTTCTCCAATGGGATTGGCCTGTCCCACTTGTGCTGGTAGAAGGGGGGCCTACTGCGGATCCCATCAGCCAAATAATTTCGGCTGGTGGGATCCAGGAGAAGAGCCTTTTCTACCATGACTCCTGCCCTTTGGGACATCTTTCCACAGGAGGTAAGATCCTCCCTCTTTTAGCCTTCAAGAAAGTCCTAATAGTAATAGCACTTAGACTTAAATACCACTTTACAGTGCTTCACAGCCCTCTCTAAGTGCTTTACAGAGTCAGCATATTGTCCTCAACAATTTGGGTCCTCATTTTACTCACCTCGGAAGGATGGAAGGCTGAGTTGACCTTGAGCCTGGTGAAATTTGAACTGCCAAATTACAGTCAGCCAGCAGTCAGCAGAGTGCAGTACTGCACTCTAACCACTGCGCCACCATTGCTCTTCTTCTAAAGAAGAAGCTGCTTGCTGGAGGTGGTTGGTAGATTAACAGAGAAGACAGCCTCTTCTCAAAACCCTTGGTTTTCAGTTTGTTTTATTTTTGTGATATTAATATGTTTTATATTTATAATAGTTATAAGTTGTTTTATCTTGATGCTGCTGCTCAGAGTTGCCTGAACTGCTTCATGGGGTGCAAATAAGATACATAGATAGGTAGATAGATAGATAGATAGATAGATAGATAGATAGATAGATAGATAGATAGATAGATAGATGGATGGGACCCTGCAAATAGCCATGAACATGAATCAGATGCCAGCATTCAAAATGTGATTCCATCATGATCATGGGTTTCTGCATATGCAGTCAAATTGGGCTGTAAGAAGCTTTGGCGGAGTAGGGGGTGGTATCCTGTCCTAATTTCAAATGGTTGTTAAGCAACCAGTCATAAGCCAAGGATTACCTGCATATGTTTAAAACTCCCAGGTATAAAATAAATGGTTTTTCTTACATTGTTATCTTTTGCTGAATAAATCTTTTGCTTTGGAATTACTATTTCTCTAGGCAGAAGAATGTACTAACCCTTTCAGTGATTCTTCGGATGTGACATCTAGTAGTAGTCAAAGTCTATCGAATGAAGCATCTGGGAGGTAAGATTATACTGAGTTACTTTTTAAAAAATACTGTTTAAGTAAATTGACATAAAGAACAGAACATCCCAAAATAAATACCAATTAGGAAAGGTATGGTAATCAATATGAAAGGCCTTTCCATAATTTTATTGTGATTGTGGAATTTTTATGTAGCTCCTTTTATGTTTTTCAGGTTAATAGGCTGGATATCTTTAGCTGAATCGCTTGCTGACAGAGTCTCTCTGTCTAGTTTATGTTTTCACCCTTTTGTATATACTTGTGGTGTGATGATGTGTGTTCAAAATGGATAGAGCTTATGATATTTTGCTGCTTTCATAATTTTTGCTTCCATGATGCTCCTTTTGGGGTAGAGTTTATCTTGACAGTATCTTCTTCCCTTCTACCTGTTCTATTTCTATTTTTTTTCTTATATTATCTGTGAGGAAATCAAAAGAATTAAGGGAGGTAAACCGCATCAACTCTAATTACGGGTAGTCCTCAACTTATAACCACAATTGAGCCCAAAATTTCTAAAATTGCTAAAAAAGACAGTTGTTAAGTGAGTTTTGCCCCATTTTACGACCTTTCTTGCCACAGTTGTTAAGTGAATAACTTCAGTTGTTAAGTTAGTAACACGGTTGTTAAGTGAATCTGGCTTCCCCATTGACTTTGCTTGTCAGAAGGTTGCAAAAGGCAATCACTTGACCCCCCAGGACACTGCAACCATTATAAATACATGTCATTTGCCAAGGATCCGAGTTTTGATCATATGACCATGCGGATGCTGCAGTGGTCATAAGTGTGAAAAAAGGGTCATAAGTCACGTTTTTCAGTGCTGCTGTTTGAATGATCACTGAACAAAAGATTGTAGGTCTAGGACTACTTGCTAGGAGTTAGTATTTTGGAATCAACTCATAGGTTAAAGCAGTGATGGTTTACCTTTTCAGCACCGAGTGCCCAAACTGGAACGTGTGTGCATGCACGTGCATTTGTGCATGCTGGAGCACCGGAAACCGAAGAGCAGCTGGCCGGTGCATGCATGCCTGGTTTTTTGGCCATTTTGGGGGGCCTTTTCATGCCAAAAATGCCCCCAAAACAGCCTGAAAATGGCCCAAAGATGGCCAGAAAAATTAATTAACTATATATATATATTTCAAAGCAAATTCAGTAAATTTGACGGTCTGTAAATGGCCGGAAAAAGGCCATTTCCAGGCCATTTTCCAATGCTCTGGTGCCTGTGAAGACCAGCTCATATGCGTGCCAGAAACCAGAAGAGCAGCTGGCGATGGTGCACATGCCCACTGAGAGGACTCAGGTTCGGGTTAGAGAGAAGAAGCAAGTTTAAGTGATGCTCGCATGCCCTGGCGTATCAGAAGTTCTTACTTAACTAGGCTTCTATACAAATGGAGAAAGTAGAGTCAAAATATTGGATGAATGCATTGAAAAGGAACACAATGCTACTTATCTTTTTAGTGAAGTTCATATAAATGAAAGGGCCATTTAAGGTGGTGATAGAATGAATGTCCAGTCATGGTGCTAACTCTCTTGTTTTTAAAGCAATATTTAGGGCAATATCAAGGAATACAGAGCCAAGGCCATAAAGTAATGCAGTTTATTCTCCAAGGAAATAGAGGAGAATTCTAGAGGAAAAAAAGACTTTTTTTTTTTAGATTCCTGCAACATAAGACAAAACTACTTTCATGAACTGTTGACCAAACATTATTTTTGTGTCCATGTGGTTACTAGGAGTCATGCTTGATTTAAATGAGTTTTAAATACTGTATAACTATGTTTAAGTAAAAGATGTAGATCATCTGGAAGGTTTACACAACACTCATTGGCAAGTATCTACCGTGTTTCTCATAATAAGGCCGTCTTTTCGGAGGTGACTTAATCCCCCCCCCCTTGCATCTTCAGGCGGGCGGGCGGCGACGGCTTGGATGTTGACCTCGGCGTTGGTGGGGCACTTCGTATCGGGGTCAACGCAGGCAGCACCATATCCGGGTGTGCAACAAAAGTACTTCCTAACGGCAAGCCCCCCCACCATTCCCCCCATTTCGCATGTTTTAATATAGGCCTTAATTTGGGGGGAGGGGCTTAATTTCATTTCATGCCTATAAAACATGCTGGGACTTCCTATTGGGGGAGGCCCTATTGTTGGAGAAACAGGGTATTTATCTGAAATAAAAATGTATCATATTAAAGTTATGTACATAAATATAAATACATACCTAGATACTAGTTTTGTTCTAATAGAAGCATTGCCACAGTGTTTCTGAGCCATTAAAGTAGATTTATAGTAGTTCTAGACAAGCAAAAATAGAATAAAACTCTAGCAGCAAAGCAAAGTCAGTTTATCAAGGTGCTACATTTTGCTTCAAGGTTTCTTCAGACATTTGTTTCTGTCTTTGCTTATCCAGAAAATCTGTTTGTTCTCTATTATTTTCTTCTACAATAAAAATGTAGTAATAATCTAAAGCTTCAGTGTGTAAAATTATCTTTCAGTTAGAAATGGATATCAGTATCAGTGGATATTGATATCAATAAATCAGAGTGGATTTTTTCAGTATTCCAGCCAATATGCAAAGTAAGCAATATTTCAATGGCAATTTAAAAATAGATAAATCCCGATGGCTCTAGAAAAGTCTCCATTTATTTTACTCTGACTCTCTCATCAGCCTATTTAGAAGAAGATGGGAGCAAGGAACGCCAGCATTACTCTCTTAGCCCTTAAAGTCTATTTCCAGGAGTCAGCACTGATTTGAAGGCACAGAAAGGGAGGGAGGGAGGGAGGAAGGAAGGAAGGAAGGATAGATGGATGGATGGATCTGGAACAGCCTACATAATCTGCATTTTCATTTGGATAGATCATAAATTCTGCAGAATTGCAAGAAACATGGATGGAACAAACCTTGTTTTTTATTTTGTGCATACTTTAGTAGTAATATAAAGATTTAGTTCAAGTTATCACTGAGTTGTTTGCTTGACTGTCATCAAAGTGTAGATGTAGAAAAGTATATATGTGGCAAACTTAATGGCAATAAAATACAATCATGATGACCTGTGAAGATTGTTTTAGTTTTCTGTAGATAGTTGTTAAGTCAGATTGTAATTATGCTGTATTTTTTTAAAATTCTGTAGCAGTACAGATTTGGATTTGGAACTGGAGAAGACATCTGACACACTTACTGAACATGCTGATGCCATTCAGCTAAATGGAACTTCATCTTCTCAGAACGCTGTAAACAAAATTTTAAAATATTTTTCTATTTATTCTTTTATTGCTTTTAAAATAATGGCCCAAAATGGGAAATTCCACAAAACTAAAAATGCATAGATTGTCAAAGAAAAAGAAAAAAACATATAGAAAGTGCTTTAAAAATGAAATGATACAACAAAGGAAACTGAAAAAAATATATCATTTTGGCAGTAAATAGTTCTATATGTAGTTATTTAATTAAATTATTATGAAAGTACATATTAGTTCTCATGCATTTATATAACTATAATTTTTAATCTATTTTTTTCTGTTTAAATGTCCCATATTTCATCATATTTGTCCATACAAGTCTTTGTCTATAGGCTATCTATTTATGTGGCAAATTAATCACTCTCAATCTGTTGAATGAAAAGGGCTGTGAATTTATCTTTCCAATGCTGCAATATCAGGGCATAGATAATTCATTTACATTATCTGTTTAACAAATTCCAAATATCAGGTACTTAATCCAAATAATCATATCATCTGATAATTGTAGCTTTTTGTTGCACAATTATATTTATATAATCCAGTGCTTTCTGCCAAAACTTAATTTTAAGTGTAAGACATTGTGTTTTAAAGAAGCATTATAAGTTGTCCTTGACCTTCAGTCGAAATGGGGACCAGAAAATTTGTTGTCAATTTGTGCATTAATTATACGAGATATCATGTGATTGTGATTTGCAGCCGGCTTCCTCGTTGTCTTTGCTTATTAGAAGCTGGCTGGAAGGTCACAAATTTCAATCATGACCCTGGGATGCTGCAGTCATTATAAATGCAAGCCAGTTGTCAAGTATCTTGATTTTGATCACATGACTACAAATACAGAGTGATGGTTGTAAGTGCAAGGACTGGTCATGTGACACTTTTTGCAGTGTTGTCATAATTTCAAACAGTTGCTAAACAAATGGTCATAAGTTGAGGATTACCTGTATCCTTATTGTATCTCCAACAAAATGCTGTTATTGACAGTTCTTCTCTATACAAATGTAATTGAGTCCAATAAATTCCAAATATTAGTTTTTGTTGTATGAATCCTAATTTGAGGTCCACTGATATTCTTTCTATAGAAGTTAAAACATTTGTGTGGAGGTTCATATACAATATAGGCAATATACAAACCTCTAAAGAGTATTTTTAAATGTATCTTTACTTTGTGTTTCATAAGCAGTGTATATTTGTTATGAAGTTTGGCATGTTGATTTGACTATAAGGTTATATTGGCTAGAATCATGAATAAACAGAAGCAACTACCTTTAATTCATTATTTAATGTGTTTGTATACTTTAGCACCCACTTTCTAGGGCCCTTCACTATCAAACTGAGCTGGCTACACAGAACGGAAGCAACTAAAAGTAACTGGAAGAACAGTTGGGAAGATTAGTTCTTGCCTATATTGATGAGTTTTTAGGGAGAAAATGTAGAAAATCTTGGAAGTGTCTTTCTTACCCTTCTCATCTCCTCTTTCCTCTCTTGGAGAGTGAGGAACTCAAACTAAGAGGAGCCAATGTATTGATTTGTTAGTTTAAATATAGCTAATCAAATTCCAGTTCAAATTCCTGATTCAGAAATGGGAAATTGCTTGCAGAGATCCTGGTTTTAACATTCACAGTGGTCTTTCCTTCCATTGTAATTTTGGTCAAACCTTTGAACTTCAATGTTTAGCTTCACGGTAGAATAACTGTATAACACTTGTTTCTTTACCTCCATTTTGCTTTAGGTCAGTCCACCTAGTCAATCTGTGAAACCTAAAAGGTATGTGCCTTCTTTTGAAATTGAATTATTAGCTGTACAATAAACATATTAAATCAATAGTATTTATATACAATTGGGTATACCATTTATGTATTTCAATGTATTTCATTTCAATTTTTTTCTAAGAAAAGAAACACCCTTGGCTGCAAGATTTTCAAATCTGTCTACAAGAACAAGTAAATTCACCAAAAACGACAGGTAACAAACTACTTCAATTCTTGGAATAAGAATTATCTTTCTTAATTTGATGTTGGGTTAATAGGAAATCTAATAATTGGATATAGATTGATATCTGATTCAGGTTAATTTGAAAAGCTATTTGTCACATATCCACAGCAGCTGAATAAGAGGAACTGGATCCAGGTGGTAAGAAAATGAGTGACAAACTATCTCTTGCTTTGTATGGCACAAGATAGTTTTTGTGTGATTTTTTTAAAAATAAATTTGCCATTTCCTTTCTTGAGTCCTTACTTAAAACATTTGCTTATCCTTTTCCTGCATGTTTTGTTAGAATACTGTTGGGGATACTGATCACAAGAAACCCTTAATTTGGCTTCTTGATTTGTTTGGAATGAGGAAACTATTTTAGTTTTTCAGGTATTTGGGGAAATAAAGAGGTTGGTTATTTGTTTTAGAATTGCCAGAGGATTTAGTACAACTAACTGTGGTATCCTGGATTATTTTCCTATGGTGGGATTGTTTTACATACCTACTGATTCTCAGGTAGTCTTGGACAGCAATGCTAGAAGACTGCTGTTCCTTCCATAAATCTTTTGTCAGCCCTGGGTCACACAGGGCTGCCATTCTGGGTGGTGGAGCTGTTAGCAGCTGTGTGGTGCCATAACTGACCGGGGTGGGGGGGCAGAAAGCAATGCCACATTGCCCTGCCTTGCCGTGATGAGCTGGTATGCCAAGCGGCTGAATGAGATGAATAGCGGCCACATTGAGGACACCAAGCTCGGAACTTCAGAGCCCGCCCGAACAGCTGAGAGGCGCTGCATCGTGAACAGCTGAGAGGCGCTGTGCTACACACAGCTGAGGGACAGCGTTTACCATGATGGGTAACTGGCGTGCGTCACCAGGTGTGGTGGAGGCGGGGTTGTTTTGCGCATGTATAAACGGTGGAGGGGAGCACCAGGTGAGTAGCCCTAACTCTTTCTGCATCATATGCTGGTCAGTGCCACGTATACTACAACGGAGATAAACACATTTGGAAAGCAAGGTTTCTTGGTTGTTTATATTCCGATTGTGGTAGCGGAACCTGATACCTTTGGTTTGCAAGACATACTCATACTATTCTATGGTAATGCATGCTTGATAGAGGTGATCATGCAAAGACTTATGCTGTCACAATTTGGATGCTATGCACCTATCAAAGCTGAAGTCACTCTATTGTCAGAAATTTGAGAAGCTTATATCAAATCAACATTTTTCTTTATTAGAATATAATTGCTTGAATTCATTACATGCATGCAAATACACAATATACAACTTCCATTATTAAGATGGCCAGGCAAAATATAAAATGATGAGAAGATGTGAGGTACTGACAGAAGAGAATATTTGTAGCTCAGCCAAACAACCAGTAAACAGCCCAATCAAGGAAACCTCAAGACTATTCACTGACAGGGCAAGCCACATAAAATGAGAGCAAACCCCATTCCCTGATAGCACTGATGATGTTACCTAGTTTGGTAATGAAACATCTGTAAGGAAACAGCCAAGCTCAAATAGTACCAAGGACCCCGCAGATCTGAGGGACCTGGTCAACAAAAGTAGATCTTCCAGATACTCTTTGTTACACTTCTTGTTTTATACAATAAAATCTCTTTGTACTCAAACATTTATTTTGATCTCATAAATGTCTGGAAGAAAGTAGCTATCTGGTTGTTTTCAATTTTCAAATGCTGGAATGGAAGTGATAAGATACCTGCTCTTCAGAATCTCATCCAGACAAATACTTCTTGATAATGAAATGTTCAGCAGCCCCCACTTTGTACCTTCATATCTAAGTGGTAGCTAAAAATATATCTTTATCAAATATAGTCCTGGCACAGCTTTAGATGATGTTGTGATGTTGCCCTGATCTTTCCTTTTCTACAAACTTCGGGAGATAATGAATTTTTGTTTGGGGTCAACAGTTGAATGAATAAAAATTGAAACTAATTCTTCCCATTTCCTCAAATTGCTGACTTGTCCAAAGGAGGCAAAGTTTTCTGTTGAGCCTTCCACTTCACAGGCAGAATTTTAAGAGATGAGAATAAATATTTTGAAGGGGAAATGTTTATCATGCTGCCTTATTTTCTCAATTGCACCAACTTGCAGATGATAGAAATACTCTTAAAAATGATTAGATATAAAGAACTAATAGATGAACAGGGGGAATTAAAAACATTGGATAAACTAAAAGAACAAGGAATAATATTAGATTGGTGAGTATATTTGCAAATTAAAACCAAATTTAAGAAAGATGTAAAAGAACCAGGGATAGATAAAGATTTACAAAATTGGACCAAATCTTCACAGGTAAGGATATAAAATTCATAACACGAACGTAAAATTATTTACTGGAGGTGGAATTAGAGGAGGAAATTGTCAAGGGATCAGTGATCGCCTGGGCAAAAAATGTGGGCCATAACATAAATTTGGATGAGTGGTAAAAGACTTGGACTGAGAACTGGAAGCTGACTTTGTCGACGGAATTTAAAGAAAATCAATATAAAATGTTTTGTAGATGGCACTTAGCACCGGCACGATTGGTGAAAATGTATCCAAATATAAAACCGGAATGCTGGAAGTGCAAACAAAAGAAAGGGACGTTTTTCCATATGTGGTGGCAATGTATAGAGGTTAAAAAATACTGGAAGAAAGTACAGAGATGGCCTTTTGAGATTACAAACTATAGACAGAAATTGGAACCAGAAACATTTTTATTAGGCATGATTAAAGGGAATTTGAGTAAAGATAAAAGATATCTTATTGTACACATCTTAACTGCAGCAAGAATCACTTTTGCACAAAATTGGAAGAGCAATAAAATACCACCAGATGAAGTTCTAATTCAAAAGATAATGGATTGTGCTGAACTAGACAAATTCACTATGGAATTAAAAGGCAAAGATGATCGAGAATATTATGCGATATGGGAGAGGTGGTATGAATGGGTGAAGAATAAAGATAAAAATGATGTATAGTCACAAACGAGAAACATGTATATACAATGACACAATTACTGTTAATGGAAATGAGACTTTTGTATTTATGGTTTTTAAAGAATAAAAGTTATTAAAAAAAAGAAAAAAATACTAATGCTCTTTAATGTTAATAGTGTTATTTCAGAGGTGTTCTGGAAAACAGAACTGATGTCAGCCTTACAAATTTGTTTTTGTTCCAGTGATATTTTTAATGCGGCCACCATAGATTTCTGAAGAGTAGTTTTTAATTCAGTTGAGCTACGGCAAACAGAAGATCTGCAAATATAGTCTACACCAAATGGACTTGCTGTTTTCCTTAATTCTTAAGATAAATTCAGAGCTTCTGTCTGATTTGGAACTGCTTTTTGACAAGAAAATGTTAGTGGACAGCATAAGTTTAATCTGGTTAGGCTGCTTCCATAGCTGTACCAATTCAGGAAACTATCCACCATTGTGCATTGGGTGATGATCCTATACTTACATCTTTAGGAGTAGGTGCCACTGAATTCTGAATGTAGGCTTACTGTGTTACTTAAGTGCAGATGGAATTACCACAGTACCAATAGATTAGATTCCCTATGAAAAGCATCCAGAAGATAATTTCATTTGCATATTTTTTTAAAATGCTGACATTGTTCTAAAAGGATAGAGCTAAAGTCATGGCAATTTGAAAGAGTTTTGTTATCGTTGTCCCTGCATGCCTGTTTAGGCACAGCCTTTTTGCCTACAAACCCACCAGAAGTGATTTTTGTCTAGGCATCTACATGGAGAAACCCTTTGAAGTGGTCATGATGAGCCTTCCAGATGATATCAATGTTTTAATGCTTCAGAGAAGGGTATTTTGGTCAACCCTTTATGCTTTGCAAAAGCTCCTTTTCCATTGCATAGTTAATTATTTGTACTCTTTCTTTTTATACATTCCTCAAAATTGAATTCTGGAATAGTCATATTGTTAGGCACTTTTAAGATGGAAAGGCAGGGATATATTAATAGTATATAAGAAGTTTGTTGAAGTGTCTTGGTAAAGATGAAGGTGAGGAAATATGCCTGCTTGGTTATAGATCTATGTAGCAGGTTTTTATATATTTATATGTTAATATGTTTGGTATTATAGGTATTTTCAAACATTTTGCTATATGCCATTCTAAGATTTTAATTGTTTTTAAAACAGATTTCTTCAAGAGTTTGTTGATATAGAGGAAATTGGTTCTGGTGGATTTGGAAATGTTTTCAAGGCAAAGAATACCCTGGATTGTAGATTATGTGCTATCAAACGCATCCTTTCAAAGTAAGTTATGCTGTGCTTCATTTTATTTTTTATAAGTACAAGTTGGTATTCAGGTGCTGGGATCGCAATATATGACAGTGGGGATGCTGCATTGATCATGTGCGCAATGACCCATTGTGAGTCAACTTCTAACAGTTGTTAAATGAATGGTTATTAAATGAGGACTAGCTGTGCATGTCATACTTGAGCTTCATCAAACACATGCAGGACGACTCCTGAACAGAGAAGTTCTAACAGGTTTTGAAACAATTTGGGTAGAATCTTAATGACTTATGTAGTCTGCAATTTGAATAAGTCTCTCAAATCTATTCTAGAGACTTTCAGATTTTATGCGTAGAAGACTGAGTTAATGTTGTATTGAGAATCAGTTGTACAATAAGGACAGATGTTAGTCCCATATAATTTTGTTGGACTTTGAAAATACTTAGGTATCTATATCATGACCTGCGTCATAGATAGTGAAAAACTTGCAGTTGCCACCAATAAAGTTTCAAAATGGTAACAGAAATATTTTATTTTTCTTTCTTGTGCTTTGTCTATGAGGGATGTTACTTACAAACGTAAAAAGTAGAGTTACAGGGAAATTTCTGTCTGACTTGATTTTGTATCTGAATTAGGAAAAGCAGATAAGAATAGATTAGGGATGTCTTCTTTGTTTAATATATGAATTTCTGTATGCTATTTTTTTGTTAAGTCTAAGTTTTATATTAGAACATTTCCTATGTTAATAGTAAAACTTAGGTGAATCACTAATTTTCCAGATTTTCCTTTTTTATGATTTCATTATCTGCAGTATACCTTCTGACACATGTTTGCAGAACTCCAAATCAGAGTCCTGTTTCATTTTATAGAAAAACTTGTATGTTAATTAGTCTTGTAAAGAGCTACTTCTGGAAATAATTTTGTAGCGTAGGCTTTTGGACCAACTGTTAGCAACAACGGTTTTTTATTGTAGCTATTATTATGATTGTTGTTTTGGCCCAATTGTAACAGCAAAACAGAAGATGAAACAAGAGAAGTTAAAGCATTGGCAATACTGGATCACCCTCACATTGTTCGATATTATAATTGTTGGAATGGAGAAGATATTTTCCAGTTTCCTGATACTGTGAACAGCAGGTAATTTCATCATTACATAATGTGTATTTTTTTTTAATGAAAACGTTTTGAATATCTGTTTTGTTTGTGCTTAGTTAGCTTAGCAATTACTGGACATATTCCACTCAATTTATTCCATTCAGACTTATATCTTGCAGTCTTAAATGCATCCAACTTATATTGAACATAAATAGGCAGAAAGTGTCTTTCCTTTTATTACAAAGCAGGCTAAAATAAAAAAAAAGGAAAGTTGGCATGGAGCAGTATCACAGAGTCAAATTGTTCACATTTCCGTATCAGGGGTGGGATTCAAATTTCTTAACAACTGTTTCTATGGGCGTGGTTTAATTTGTGGGTGTGGCTTGGTGGTCATGTGACTGGCTGGGCGTGGCCTGGTCATTTGACTGGGTGGGTGTGGCCAACTCTAAGTCATTTGCGTGGGTGTTGCTTGAATGGGCCAGGAAAAAAGAAAGATCCAACCTCTCTGTATGTGGGGAGGGGGGGGGGAGTTAGGTTAGTTTTTTAAAAAGCCCAGAGGAGGGAAAAAGATAAAGTTGTGCCAAAGAAATCCCAGGGTGGGGGCAAGGAAAGAAAAGGAATCCCTGCTCTGAAAAGGGAATACCCTTCCAAGAAAACAAAGGAGTCAAAACCTTATTTACTCATACTTTTTAAAAAATTAATTTAACAGACATTAAAAAGCAATTTCACTTTCCCAGGTTCAAGTCTCTTTGCTTAACATATGTGATATGTTAACATATTTATACCCCTCTCTGTTTTTAAGCACTAGGAATTCTCTATTTAACCAGATTTAAGAAAAGCACTTACATTAAGTTAGTGGCAATTTTCTATATCTCAGGGGCAATGAATGAGTGTGGACTTTATAACCATCGGACATACTTTTGGTCTTTTTTTCAATTCCATCTGTCTTCTGACACATCCTCATTCTTAGATTCCAAAGTGGTTTTCCTTTTCAGAAATTCTCCTGTGAGTCTCAACCTCAAAAACTTTGTGGTCTTCATCTACTCAGACATAGATGAGCCTTTAATACAGAGGTCTCCAAACTTGGCAACTTTAAGGCTTGTGGACTTCAACTCCCAGAATTCTTCAGCCAGGGAGTGATGTCGTGCATGCATGTGATGTCGCGCATGCGCGATAAGGACTGACTGGGCAGGGAACAGAGAAGCGGGCAGAGAAGGGCAGGGCCAGCCAGAGGCCCGATTTACTGGTTCTCCGAACTTGTCTGAAGTAGAATCCCACCCCAACCAACCCAACAAGCCTGTAAATGATATTCTTATAACAATAGAGTAATAATGCAGTAGAGCATTAATACAATCAAACAATAACCACTTCTTGACTAAATCCTCATATTCTAGCACCAGGCCCACTCAAATTATTATATCTCCTAGGACCTTGCCAAGGTGCTAGAAGGCTACAAGAATAGAGGAACCATTTTGATCTTGGAGATGCAGCTACAGAAGAGGAAGGGAAATCCTCATCAGGAGTGCCTGCATTTATTTAGCCTTTAAGAAGAAATAATTTTATTGTATATTTTCTGTATGCGAGTCAGTAAATTTTTATCTAAATTAAATTGGGCTTTCTGTCATCCTTTGGCATTAGTGTAGAAATTGGCTTTTCCTGATAGTTCAGAACTTTACTTGAAACATGGTTAGTTATATCATGGAGTTCTCAGCTGTATTTGAACCCCATAAATAAACAAAATGGTTAGATCAATGCAAACAATTGGTCCTACCACTGATGTCCATAAAGCAATTGGGAGGTAGATAGTTTTAATATTATTGTCTTTTTTTTGTTTTACATTCTTCACAGCTCAGAGAAACTTAAGTGCCTCTTCATTCAAATGGAACTTTGTGAAAAAGGAAATCTATCGGATTGGTTAGATAAAAAAAAGGGAGATTCTTGCAAAGATGTTTCTATAATTCTATTTCAGCAAATAGTGGAAGGAGTGGATTATATTCATTCTAAGAATTTAATTCATAGAGATCTCAAGGTGCGTAATGTCAACAATTCAAAATACTTCTTTTCTGTCAGTGGGGAGGGGGGAAGACCTATTGAAGCCCTTCCTTTTTTGTAACAAACAAAGAAGCAAAAGACTAGCCAGATTGCTCCATTTAGAGAAGATTGTGAATCCAGGGAAGAAAGAGGCCCACGATCGCTCCCTCCGACCTTTAATTGGGAATGGAAGAGGTGGCTGGGAGGGGATTTAGCCATGTTGGAAGTACACTTCAAAAGGACAGTGCCAGGAACCACTAAAGCAGTGTAAAAAGCTTAAAACAACCCTTCCCCTTTAAAAAAAGTCAAGCCCTGGAATAAAAGTACCAGCATACAAAAAAACCTCCAGAGAAGCTGCTCAGAAAGTCTGAGTGTACTGCCAAGAACCATTAACAGCTGTTACAATGTAAGAAGGCTTAGCTGAAGAGGCAGTTTCTGAAAACACTTAAGCAGGGCAATAAGCAGGATTAGGCTAGAAACAACACACAGAGGCACACTAGAAAGTCTCCTTCCTGTCTTCCTGACAGGATTAACCCCTTAAGTTAACTCTCCCAAACTGGTGCGAAGCGGTTGAATCCCACCACTGGTATACAATATTAAGAATTTTGACTGAATTATATAGGCTCCTTGTTTTCTGTGAAACACTCATTACCCAGAAAGAAATGTGACTTTCTTCCTTTGTGTAAAATATCAGACCTGGCCCTAAAACTTTAGTATTTTTCCTGAAATTCAGCCTTGGATTCAGGCCTGGATAATATCACAAGTCTCAGGAGTTAATAGTCTAGATCATTTGCTTTATTGCAGAGAGGAAAGAAGCCATGCATACAGTATGTAGAAGATCTCAATGATGCAAAATTTAGAAATTAAGCCCTAGATTTAGGTTTAGATTTTGGTGACAGCTGGTATAATGTAATTACTATATTATTAGAGTGTGACCTAGGGATGGTCTATCCCACAATTACAGAAAACTGCCTTGGGTCAGGTACTCTTTCTCAGCCCAATCTACTTCATGGGTAGTTGAGGGGACAAAATAGGAAAAGTGCTAAATGCTGTCTTGAGCTTCTGAATGAAAGACGGGGATATCTTTCAGCTTGGGGTTTATATCTAATTATATGTATTTTAGTTTTACAAATGAACATGTAGGAAAAAAACGAGTGAACCATAACCCTTTCCTTCACTCTATTTAGTTTTTGCATTATATCAAGCTTTACTCAGATTTTTACTTGAACTACAAAGGTCAGAGCCAGAGATTCAGAGTTCCTATAAGCAATTTTGCACAGATACAAGTGAAACTCGAAAAATTAGAATATCGTGCAAAAATTCATTTATTTCAGTAACGCAACTTAAAAGGTAAACCTAATATATGAGATAGACTCATTACATGCAAAGCAAGATAGTTCAAGCCGCGATGTGTCATAATTGAGATGATTATGGCTTACAGCTCATGAAAACCCCAAATCCACAATCTCAGAAAATTAGAATATTGTGAAAAGGTTCAATATTCTAGGCTCAGTGTCCCACTCTAATCAGTTAATGAAGCCATAACACCTGCAAAGGGTTCCTGAGCCTTTAAATGGTCTCTCAGTCTGGTTCAGTAGGAATCACAATCATGGGAAAGACTGCTGACCTGACAGTTATGCAGAAAACCATCATTGACACCCTCCATAAGGGGGGAAAGCCTCAAAAGGTAATTGCAAAAGACGTTGGATGTTCCCAAAGTGCTGTATCAAAGCACATTAATAGAAAGTTATGTGGAAGGGAAAAGTGTGGAAGAAAAAGGTGCACAAGCAGCAGGGATGACCGCAGCCTGGAGAGGATTGTCAGGAAAAGGCCATTCAAAAGTGTTGGAGACTTTCACAAGGAGTGGACTGAGTCAGTGCATCAAGAGCCACCACACACAGACGGATCCTGGACATGGGCTTCAAATGTCGTATTCCTCTTGTCAAGCCGCTCCTGAATAACAAACAACGTCAGAAATGTCTTACCTGGGCTAAAGAAAAACAGAACTGATCTGTTGCTCAGTGGTCCAAAGTCCTCTTTTCTGATGAGAGCAACTTTTGCATCTCATTTGGAAACCAAGGACCCAGAGTCTGGAGGAAGAATGGAGAGGCACAAACTGCAAGATGCTTGAAGTCCAGTGTGAAGTTTCCACAGTCTGTGTTGATTTGGGGAGCCATGTCATCTGCTGGTGTTGGTCCACTGTGCTTCATTAAGTCCAGGGTCAACGCAGCCGTCTACCAGGAGATTTTGGAGCACTTCATGCTTTCTTCCACAGACGAGCTTTATGGGGATGCTGACTTCATTTTCCAGCAGGACTTGACATCTGCCCATACTGCCAAGAGCACCAAAACCTGGTTCATTGACCATGGGATTACTGTGCTTGATTGGCCAACAAACTCGCCTGACCTGAACCTGATAGAGAATCTATGGAGCATTGCCAAGAGAAAGATGAGAGAAATGCAGAAGAGCTGAAGGCCGCTATTGAAGCATCCTGATCTTCCATAACACCTCAGCAATGCCACAGGATGATAGCTTCCATGCCATGCTGCATTGAAGCAGTAATTGCTGCAAAAGGGGCCCAAACCAAGTACTGAGTACATATGCATGCTTATACTTTTCAGAGGTCCGATATTGTTCTGTGTACAATTCTTGTTTTATTGATTGCATGTAATATTCTTAATTTTCTGAGATTGTGGATTTGGGGTTTTCATGAGCTGTAAGCCATAATCATCACAATTATGACAAATCACGGCTTGAACTATCTTGCTTTGCATGTAATGAGTCTATCTCATATATTAGTTTCACCTTTTAAGTTGCATTACAGAAATAAATGAACTTTTGCACGATATTCTAATTTTTCGACTTTCACCTGTATGAGAAGAGCCCTTAATGAAGAAGGCAACCAGCTAAATTTATTGTTTTATTTATTGTTTTAATTTTTTTATATGGTATTTTCATTTGGTGAATAAGTCCTATAGAGTCATGTCGGCTAGATGGGTAACATAGAAGTTAAACAACCAAACAAAGCTGTAGAGTAGGAGTGACTAATCCTGGTAACTTTTAATACTTGTGGATTTCAACTGGAATTCTGGGAGTTGAAGTCCATAGTTTTTAAAGTTCCTAAGGTTGGACACCCCTGCTCTAAAATTTAGTCATTATATATAAAACACTCCCAAGGCTCAAATCTTATGCCTCTTTCTCTCACTCTTCTATTTTAGGGAGTAAAAACTTCCATTTCTCAAAATAGGTTTTTACATGTATTTTCTTAACAAGATAAATCTGATCACATAGCCTTTGCTTCTGACTTTGTTAGCTTTTACTTTTCCTATCTGGTACAGGCAGTCCTGATTATTTGCAGGTTCGGTATTTGCAGATTCATTTATTTGCAAAAAATGTATTTGTAATCCCAGAATCTGTGCCCAAATTGACCTCTGCTGTCCTAGGAAAAAAATATTTGTTCTTTGTATGCCTAAATATAACATGTTTTCTCACTCTACTTTTTTTCTTTTACAGCCTCTAAATGTATTTTTTCATGATGAAAATCACATAAAAATAGGTGATTTTGGGTTGGTAACAGTAGGGGTCACTAACAGACAACGGACAATGAACAAGGGAACATGGAATTACATGGCACCTGAGCAGGTAATTATTGTTATAATTATTTTGGTGTATGCATTTGCTTATTTTGCAATGCATTTGCTTATTTCTGTTGGATATACAGGTAGTCCTTAATTTATGACAACTGAGCCCAAAATTTATGTTGCTGACAAGGTAGTTAAGTAAGTTTTGCCCAATTTTATGACCTTTTTGCCACAGTTGTTAAGCAAATCACTGCAGTTAAGTGAATCATGCAGTCATTAAGCGAATCTGGCTTCTCCAATTGACTTTGCTTGTCAGTGGCTGACTAGGAAGGTTACTAATGGTGACGTGACCCAGGATAGTGTAACTCTCATAAATACATGCCAGTTTCCAATTGCGTTATTTTTTTTATTCTTTCCAAAGATAAAATATTAAAAAAATGACAAGAACAACAACAAAAAAAGACCAAAATTACAAACACAACAAAATAATAATAATAAAAATGTACATAACATGTATAAATCCAACATTAAACATACTTCACCCACCCTGGTTGAAAGTTGACAGATATTTATAATTAAAGCTTTTATAATTATAATTTATAATCCCCTCCCCTAAATTTGTGAGTCTACAAATAATTGTAAAATTTCACATCTATAACTGCAATATTTATTATATTTGACATCACAATTCTTTGAAAGATATCTCAAATGTAGAAAGTTGATATCAAATAGACCCGATATCTGTTAGCTGAAAAAAAAAACCTAATTACTAATAGCCTCCCAAAATGAATTGATCTTAAAGTCTTCATTAACAGACTGTTATTGTATTAAACTTGCAGAAACTCCATGGGCTGCTTCCATGTTCTTATAAAGTCCAAAATATTGTCTGTAAACCAGGAGTCCCCAACTGTGTGGTATGGCCCACTGGTGGGCTATGAGCGGTTTGCAACTGGGCTGCAGAAACAGCCAGTGAGCGTGCATGTGCATGCACACCCTCACTTTCACATTAATAGGTTTTTGCACATTTTCTGATATGCCTCCATTTCTTAGGTAAAACTTTTTCTCCATCAAATCCATTAATAATAAGTTAGGTATTAATCTCATCCACACATTTAACTTCTCTCTTGTATGCATACTCCTGACATTTTTCCGTTGGTTTAACCCAATTGCAGATTCTTCAAACCTTTGATCTATTTTAATCCAAGTCCCTGAATTTTGACCATAAGGATGCTACAATGGTGGTTAAGTGTGAAAACTGGTCACAAATAAGTTTTAGTGCCATTGTAACTTTGAACGGTTACTATATGAATGGTTGTATGTTGAGGACTATTTATATAGTTTTCCATTTGTAAGTTCTCTCTTGTGCTATAATTTAAAGTGAGACTCTTACAAGTCAATAACCCTCCCCCCCCAAAAAAGCATTAAATTGTTCCATTTCATCTAAGAGAAAATTGTCTAGAATTTTTCCAAATAACCTTATGCTAAAAATTAACTTTTATTGTGTTATTATTTATTCTCATGCATTTTTCCTCAACAGCATAAGATTGTATACAATTCTTTTGCTTCTAGAAACTATAAAAAGTTGATTGAAGGTTGCACACATCTTTGAAACAAAATTCACTGATTCACCCTGTTCTTTGTTTTTACGTTTGAAATATCTAATATCCTTGTGTTATGTTGTCCATTAGGAAGGAAGCAGTTATGACAACAAAGTAGATATCTTTCCATTAGGATTAATTTTGTACGAAATGCTTTCCCCATTTTACACTGTCAGTGAGAAATATCAGGTAAATAATCCACTTTTTTCCTTACATCTGCCTTGCATGTATTTCTTAATAAAGATAGGGAAAACGTGTTCAAGCTGCTTTTTAGACTGACTTATTTAATGTAATGTTAGAAAAATAAATTAAAATAGATAACTCCAAAAAGGTATACATTTTAACAAGCTGAGCAAAAGGAGAAAAGCTATCCGCTCATCATATTCACCAATGGAATGCCTTGGTGTAAGACTCACAGCAGATATATGGGGAGAAAGATTATTGTTGAAAGAAAAGTATTAAAGTTCTCAAATTTTCTTTCATCTGCTGATTAAAGGCCATAGGGGTTGGCTACTACTATTATTGGCTACTATGTACATATTGTAGATATGGAGTTTTGAAGTAGGCTTTTGGGTTATAAACATTTTGTTACAAAGCTAGGCAGAATTGTACATATCTGGCATCACATATTTGAGTTGGGAAGTTCCATGGGTGTCTGTTAATTTACATATCAGTGAAGACTTTGTAACTTTTTACAGGCCTAGAAAGTGTCTATAGGTCTGTGGATTGGAACTAGGCCTATTTCATATATATTTGTATTATTTGTAATATACATATTACTGTTTTATATGCTTATGAATACATGCATCCCTATGCTACGACACCAAATAGTCTTTCTGCATGCACACATTTGTAGTCTTATTTTCACTGGTTCTGTGGAGGTTTTTCCGTGAACCGGAGAGGGTGGGGTGAGGTTTTGTTTGCTGACTGCATCCCGCGGAGGCGGCTTTGGTTGTTTGTGCAATCTGGTTTCTGGCATGCCATGGACTGGTGCTGGTCCATGGATCAGTGCCTGAGGACCCGTTCTAGAAAGCATCTTACAAAAGCAAATACTCTTAGCTGTTTTAATGTGGGAATTTTCTGTTGCTAGATTGGTAAACTACTTTTGGGAGAGCTGGCTAGATTTATGAAATTTAGCACAAATCCTTTAAAGTAGAGTTGTGTACTTTAAATATACTCTGATTTTTCAGGAATGGCCCAACATTAAAGAAGGAAACCTTCCAAAAACATTCACTAAGAAGTTTACAAAAGAGGTATACTCTTGTAAAACATCTTTTTAAAATTTTTAATGTTTTTCTTAATTCCATGTTCATTTCTTAATTTTTATATCCTCCTCTTCATTTATAGACTTCTCTAATTAAGCAACTGCTTTCCAAAAAGCCAAGTGAAAGACCATCAGCAGCTGATATTTTGAAAACCCTAAAAGGCCAACCTCATATACTACACACTTATTAGTGAATTTGTCAAAGCGCAGGTTTTTGGTTCATGTTTCTTTTGCTTTTCCTGATGTCTGAATACACAGATTGCGAGACCCATTGAAATGTGAAGAATTGGGTTACTCATTGCTATATTTGGGATTTCCTGAGAAGTCAAATGCAAAGAACTTCAGCAGAATGGGAAGATCTAATGGAAATAGAAAGAATGCATTTTGCAAGACCTTTTAATCTCATCCTGTGTGCAAATGCATAATGGCAATCTGAAGTATCTGGATTTTTTTTTTTTAACAAAGAGTTTTAATGTGCCATTCCAATACTGTTGCTATACAGTTAAGTTTAATATTGTCTAGGGAAGTTAATACTATTCTTCTAACTCATGGAACTACTCGTAATCAAGTGTTAGTTGCTATCTTTTGCTTTGTGAAAAATAGTACTATGTGATAAATCTACAGTTTTATGACAAGAGTATTCACTTCCTTTCAGATTTTTTGAATCTTTGCAAATGAATGCTATTGGAGCTTCATATATATACTACAGTATTGATTTATGAAAATGTTATAGATGATATATGGGTTGGTTTCTTTTGCAGAACTGTAGATGTAAATCCATAAATCAACCTTTTAATTTGCAATGCATACATGGGCAATTGTTTTGGAAAGACAATGCATTTAATTGCACTTAGCTTTCATTTTTCTTACAATCAAGAGTAATGCATCTAACAGTGCTTATAATTATGTTGTTTCTAAAACAGATTTATAGAATACATTCTAATATGCTAACTTGCATTTGTGTTTTGAGAGTTTAAGAACCGTGGTGGCGCAGTGGTTAGAATGCAGTACTGCAGGCTATTTCTGTTGATTGCCAGCTGCCTGCAATTTGGCAGATTGAATCTCACCAGGCTCAAGGTTGACTCAGTCTTCCAGCACTAAGCAGTATATAAGTAAGTGCTATTGCTATTAATAGCAATAGCACTTAGACTTATATACCACTTTATAGTGCTTTACAGCCCTTTCAAAGCAGTTTAGAGTTAGCATATTGCCCCCAACAATTTGGGTCCTCATTTTACCCACCTTGGAAGGATGGAAGGCTGTCAACCTTGAGCCTGGTGAGATTCGATCTGCCAAACTGCAGTAGGAGTAGCTTGCAGTACTGTATTAAACCAGGTCTGCAGGCGCATGTAAACCTGGGTAGCTAACACTGTAGCTCCACATGATTAATAAAACATATAAAAAACAAAGGACATTTGCTATTTATATACATTAATTATATTTTTATATGCAGCCCAAGACAATTCTGCACTCAGTATAGTCCCAGGCAAGCCAAAAATTGCTATCCATGTTCCAAATCATTTAATGTATTAATCAATTAAACAAACAATATAAAACACAACAGTGAGGATACAGTCAAAGGTTGAAAAAATATCTATAATAATGATAAAATGATGTAAAACTTTTAAACAAATAGACAAACATTAATGGAATTCAGATATACAACTATCTCAGTCCTTTCATATGTCATCTAGCACATATTGTTTTGTCTTCTCATTTCTATAATATAAAGAAATGTTAAAAATGAACAATATATCTCCTGAATTCACGTCTTCAGTATTGTTTTCTGTCAAGTATAAATTGTGTAATTTATCTAGTGTATGCAAATTCTTTGGAAAAAGAAAAGCTAGAGCACTTCTGAACTCAACCCCAGATTCTGCAAGAGGTGGGTTAGAAGATCTTTGACAGATCTTTGTAAAAAAAAAAGGGGGGGGGATTGAAAATTTTGTTTCAAGCTTGTTTTTTTTTTTTAATAAAAATTATATTTGCTATGAGTTTTTAAAACATATGAAAGCAAATGAAATATTAATTTTAAGAAAGATAAGCTATCTGTTTTATTTTTAAGAACAGGTATGCTAAAGCATTACTTTTCAATAGAAAAAAACCCAGACTTTTAGGCCTATGCTTGGATAAGGTAAGGAAGAAATCAAGGATTGTTTTTTTAAAGGAAAATTTGAAGTTTCTTCTACCTGCATCTACTGACTAACATTAGAAATGATATCCTATAAGATGGAGGAGGAATCAAACCAAAAGGAAAGATTAATATGTTGGTCAAGATAAGTAAATCCACAAAAATTTTGGCTCAAAAACAGACAATTATTAGTGGATTATTACATGTATATCTTATGAACATGCCAATGAATTGTGACCTGTAGATATAATAAAGGCATGGTTTTACTGAACCATGGAAATTTGTATGCAGCAGTTTCCTAAGACCTGGAAATTATTTCAAGGGTTTTCCAAAGTAAAAAAATTGAGAAAGGCTGAGCTAGACTACAATAAGTATTTAACAGATGAACTCTATTATTATATATGGTAGTTCCCTGAATCTCAGATTTTCCATCTCCTTTTACAAAAATATCTTGGTTCGGAAGCTAGCAACTTGGAAGAATTCCAATGTGAATTTGTAGCCATATTAAACTATGTGAACTAGTTAAAGCTTAAGTACTTGTTTTGCTGGCTGTTAAAGATCATTTTGTTCTAGACAACTTGGGAGAAAACCCTTGAAGAATCTCTGAAAAAAACCATTGAAAAAATAAGATAAATGGCTAAACCACAACATGTGACATGTCGATTAGTACAAAGGAACCCCCCAGGGCTAAGACTGAAGACAGCATTATGCTGTCAGCCAGGTTATTCCTACTTTTGGTCAACTTTTTGTAGAAAAGTTATTCAAATTGCAAGAAGCTTAAAATAAACTCAAATCAATGATTAACTCAGTAATGGTGGTGCATAAACCAAATCACAGCTGTATGTCTATGCATTAACTCAATGTTGCCTAATAATTTTGGTTAAAAAAAAGCTAAGAAACTTTAATAAAGAGAAGAAAAGCACAAGGTTTTGTGTATGTTGAAGAATGGATTATTTTCCATGAGCCCCTCATCAAATCTTATGTTCAAAGTTTTATTGTGAACCTAAACAGAATGATCTTCGAACAGTTAAATTCATTATTGTTTTAGGGGTTCTTGTAATTTTTACTTTGCTGAAACCAAACCATGCATTTATTGAATCTACACCATCTAGTCAATTGTGTTAATTTTAATTTTGTTTTTCAGAAGTAAACATAGCATTTAAAAAAAACAATAACTTGGTAAAATAACAAATTAGTTCCTATTCCAAATAATTTTTAAATAGAGCAGAAAACCCATTTTATACCCAAACATAGAGCATTGAGAAACGACCAATTTGCTCAATGAAAAATAGAGAACAACATAGTTCACAGCTCTGCTTTTCATTGAAACTACAAAATTTTGCTATCGTTTTGAATTTTTATAGATTTATTCATGATCTGTATATGTGGTCCCAGGGCAATTTGAAGATAGATCTTCTTGATCTGCAAAATAAAAAAAAATAGAAATTTGCAGAATTTACAAGCAAACATGCATCCAGTACTAGATTAGAAGTTTGAAATGGAAAATGTATTTTGTTTCAAACTCAAAGCAAATAGTGCATCTGAAATGTTCTGAGTTGACTGTATTCTGAATTTTATTTCAAGCACTGAATACTCTAAATGGGCAGTTCCAAGCTTATTTCTTCTTTAAGTTGCCAAGTTTTATTCCAAGGTTAGAACAGGACACCTAGGTTTATTCTGACCTCAGAACAATACTCTTAGGAGATTGGCACAGTGCGGCTGGGCTCTTTTAAAATTGGAATAATATTTAGGTTTTCATGAGAGGCAATCAACATAGAGAAACTGAGATGGTGAGTGAAAGCTTTTATCCTTCTTTACAATTTACAAACTTATTTAGAGTAAGATCCCAACTTTTATCCAATCTCTTTCTTTCCTGATTTGTACTTTGGTGAACATATCATCTTCTCTGGGACTTTATTTCTCTTCCTCCAGGGAAACTAATAGTTGACTTTTCTTCTCCCTCACCTGGGAATCAACTACCGCTCTGCGCAGTGATTGCAGCTTTACTCCAATTTTTCTTTCAAGCCACTTCCTTCTACAAGAGTCCTTGTAGTTGCCTCTCCTTATTTCTCCTCGTTTTGTTTTCTCTCCTTCTCACCCCAATTTTGAGTTAGACCAGCAGCATGTCCCCCAACAATGCCTATATACAAGGCTTGGCTAATGGGAATGCTGTCTACATGTAATCCCACAATGCTCTTTGCTAGCAGCAAGGTCAGCTCATCAGCCCTTGCATCAATACATCTGCACTTCCAGGGTAAAACTGGATTTCCTCTCCATTTTCTTCTCCTTTTGCTGACTTACACCATCGCAAACACAGCCATACTAGGCCATTAAAAGATTTTTTTTACATAAAAGATCCATGACTATAGTAAAACATTCTGAAACATCAACGTTTTCAAGGAAAACCCTAGAAAATAAGTAATAAAAAAGCAATGCAATCAAAATAGATCATGAACAAAGAAGCAAATTCCACAGTTATTTCTAATTGAATTGTTTGATATTTTTAAAAAAACAGTTTAGGTTTACCTTGGTAGGCTGTTCCGCACCAGATGCAATAGAGATACTCCTCTCTTAAATAAGTTGTTAAACTGATTAACTTTTTTGATTCCTGAAAAAGCACCAATAAATAGATCTTTAAATGCCACTGAATAGATCAAACGATCTGAGAAAGACGTGTGTAATCATTGATTTGGCAATGAAAGGTTACATTAAATAAATCAGAATCTTTAATTTCCACTTTTGCTGCTCCTATTAAATGACTGTTTTAGGACTCTTAATGTCTCTTATTACTTCTTATTTCTTACTACTAGAAGAAAAACTGAGGTGCATCTTATTTATGAGCACATAAAATCATGCATGAAAAGGATTGATCAATGATGTCACTAAAAGTCAATAGATTTGATGGCACTTCATCAAAACATACATCATATATAATTCATTATATGCTAACAAGTCATTTTTTGACTCATAGTGATCACATAGATTTTTCCCCATAATGATCTAACCCAAACATGGTCTTTCAGATCTCTCAACGTGCCCTTCATTGCCACTGTAACTAAATCCATCCACCTTGCTGTTGGCCTTCCTCTTCTTTCCTTTAACCTTTTCCAGCATTAGAGCCTTTTCCAGAGAACTAGGCCTTCATATAATATCTTTGAAAAAGAATCAATTGAGCTTGGTTCTTTATGACTTGAGTGAGAACTTCAGGCTGATTTGTTCCATGATCGATTTGTTTCTTTTCTTGATTGTTCATAGTATTCTAAGGAGTCTTCTCAAACACCAAAGTTCAAAAGTGTAAATACCCTATAGCAATGGTCGCCAACCATTTTGGTAGTTCACAGAGAAATGTCACCCCCAAAGCACGCCCCAAAGCAATTAATCCAGGCGGCGCGGGAACACAAGGCTGTGCTGCCCACATGGCCCACGGGAACACAAGGTTTGCGTTGCTTGCATTGCGAACAATACGTAGTGAGGGGAGGGGGAAAAGGGCGGGGGGGGAACTTGCCCCAGTCGCCCCATGCACCTGGCCTGGCCACCGGGCTGCTTCTTTCCGCTTCTTGCTTCATGCAAGGAAAGCAGCAAAAGTCTTTCTTTCTCTCCCCCAAACTCCACCAGAAATGAGTCTTTGGGACCCTGCAAGGCATCCTGCTCCAAGAGGCTGCGCCGGCGCGACAAGTCTCAGATTAATTTCTGGCGGAGAGAATTTGGGGCAGAGAAAGAAAGACTTCTGCTGCTCCCCTTACATGAAGCCAAAACCCCCCCCCCCCCCCCCCCCCGAGCAGAGCTGGAGTCATTATCCCGCGATCCCAAATAAAGAATGATCAATCAGTAGGAAAACGGGGTGGGAAATTTTCCAGCAGACTTTTTGGGGGATTTTCCCAGGGACTCTGCTCCGTGGGATTTAAAATTATGAGTTTGGTGGTCCCTGAGATCCAAAATGTTGGCGACCCCTGCCGTATATTATTTTTGAAATACCAGAGCTTATACTATTGTGACTCAGGAAACAGGACTACCAGCAGCAAAATGGGACACAGTTATAGTGGCAAAGGTTATTATACTGTTGGAAAATCTGAAGGACTAGGTTAGTGACAGACCATTATGAAGAAAATCTATGTGGCCTCTAAGTGCAGAAACTGCTTTCATGGCACATCATAGAGCAATCAATGTATATTGTGCTGATGCACACATACATGGATGCACTCAAGCTAAACCAAACTCAATCAAGAGTGATGAGAACACATGCATTTTGTTCAATATATTTCCTGGCAGTAAATATATTTATGTCTCACCTAATTTGGTGATCACTATGGAGCATCATAATATAAAGAATTACCAGCCAGTCTACCAAAGACAATTGCTAAAACAATATCTGAACATGTACTTACATTGAGTTCATCTTCCTCCTCCTCCTCCTCCTCCTCTTCTTCATCTTTGTCTTCTTCAGTCTTTGTCTTTAACCAATACCAATCCTCCTTGGGGACTTCAAGGCCCTTAAATAAAAACATGGCTAATAACTCATACTCTACACTATTAGATTTTTTTAGATGCTGTAACCTTTGCCCAAGTGACAAAAAATTATATGAAAGACAAAGAGAAATTTTAGGAGACACTGCATATTAATAAAGCTCTTGATTTCTTAGACCTCGTGGTCTATTTCATATTATCAATCAGATTATCCTTTTAAAATGGATTTTTTGGTGATGAGGTGAGTTCTACTTTCATAGTATCACTGTGCCAGGTCTGCTTAGACCTGCAGTGTTTAAACTGCAGGGAATGTAGAATTCCATCCACAATGGTTTTTCACATATATATTATGAAACTGCTGGGTAAAGTAATTCAGAGATCCTGGGCAAACCTAACTGTGTGAGGCCACCTTACATCTTCATTTCTCAATTTCAATTTTAGATTACTATGCAGGCTTACAGCCATTCATTTAGTAATTATTCAAAGTTTGGTACTGAAGAAAATGACTTATGACCAGTCCTCACGCTTACAACTGTTGCAGCATCTTCACGGTCATGTGATCAAAATTCAATTGCTGGGAAATCTGCAGGTATTTACAATGGTTGCAGTGTCCTCAGGTCATTGAATTGCCATTTCCGACCTTTTCAGCTGGCTTCTGACAAGCCAAGTCAATGGGGGGAATTGGATTTGCTTAATGACTGTGTGATTCACTTAATGGCCATGGCCAAAAAAAGTCATAAAATCAGGTGTATCTCATTTAATGACCACCTTGCTTAGCTACAAAATTTCCAATCCCAATTAAGATTGCAAGTTCAGGACTACCTGTAATTCCAATGAAGGCTGTTCTACAAGCTTCCGTTGCTCCAAGTTGTCACTTCTCCATAAATAATGTGTAAGGATAGAGTCATATTACATTCAGTCTCTACAATCTGCTAGCTGCCAGTTACTACTGATACTTCAAAGAGATTACTTGACGCCCAAATATTTGCTGGAAAATTATTTCATGTATGCAGTAGCCAGGACTTTAAACATTGATTGCACAACCACTGATACCTCCAGCATGGTAGTTAATTTCAGCTTGAGTATTTGGGTTATGTTTTTCCTACAGAATTCCCTAATGTATGCTTTTCATCTAGATGTTGGAATGACATACTGTTGTACAGTATTGTTTCTAATACTCTGCATTGGATTCTCATTCTACAAACTGCTTCATTACTTTTATAGAAAGGGTTGTATATACACTCAGTTAATAATAATAATAGAAATAAAAATGCAGCCCAAGGCACTACAGCATGGATCATAGTTTTGATATTTTAAGCATATTACATTGCAGTACTAAAAAAGAAATCTTTCAAAAAGTTGCTTTTGTTGGTAGCAGTCTTGTGAACAGCCTCCTGCTTGCTGACCGATGAATCCAGGCCAATCATTTGTATAAATCTAAAAGACTTTAAATAAAAAAAATCAACTCATGGACGTACCAAATGTATCTACACTGATACATATTTACAACAAGGTTCTTATAAAATGTTTCCTTAGTTTGTTGAACTCTATCTATTTGGAAGGCTAAAGTAGGTAGATCAAGGCAGGGCATAAACTCTGATTTCCATAAGCCTCTATAGGCCAAAATCATAAATAAAAGTTTAATTTAAACTTACTTTCTGTGTATCTAACTGTTGGCAGGCTTTCTGACTTTTCTCGAGGTCCCGTTTTACTTGCAGTTGCTCCTGCTTGGTTTTCAATCTCATTCTTAATAAAACAATGACAAAACCACAATCAGTAAAGTATTTTTATGAGAACATTTTTCCTGTTCTGGATATTAATAAACTCAATGTATGAACTAAAACAGAGTAGCTTCATCCCTAATATTGTTTTTTAAGACAGGAAAGAATCTGAGATCCTCCAGGAATAGCTGGAAGTCCCAGCATCTTTCCACAATGATCATGCTGGGTCATGCTGAGTGCTGAATTAGGTATACAGCAATCAGCATTAATTCTGTAAAATTCTGGATTTTATTCAGCTTTATCTCAGTGCCAGGATTTATACCAAGGACCTTCAACACACAAAATACATGCTGTCCAGGTTAAATACAGCTCTTGCCTAATTATGGCATTAGCAATTAAGAGAAACTGTGAGAGGAATAAGATAAATGGAGAATGTTACTTGAAGAGCTCAGTTGTCTGCTTTTCCACCTGTTTTTTCACATGCATTTTTTTTCTGTAGTTTTCCAGCTTTTCCTCAGCTTTTCGTTTTTGTAATTCTTCATGGCCAAGCCCACTTCTTCCTGTCCCAAATACAAGCAGTTGTTTGACGAATTGAGCAATGCCATGTTTAAATGAAAGAAAAAAGGTCAGATATTTCACAAACCTGTGGTAATATTCAGAGGAATCGGCTCAACTATCCCCTTTCCTGCAGAAGGAAAAAATGTATTTGCTATTAGTAAAATAACAAAATAACAGTAAAATAACAAAATAGCATCATTGTACTTGCTATCTTTTATCTTTACCTTTTATCTTTTTGATTTTATTGTAATATCTTTGTTTGATTGCTGTAAGCTGCATAGTTATTGAGAACTATGCTGTAAGCTGCATAGTTATTGAGAACTATACAAATTTTAAATATTAATAACAATAGTATTTACTGTATTCCCTCCTATATGTATATTTTTTAATTTCTTAGATTTATACCCTGTTTTGTCTTCTATGAACTCAACAATCTGTTTAATTGAAGCAGGTTAGCCTGCAAGACCATACTGGTTCTCTGGTCTTAAGGAACTCAGAAAGACACTCCATTCTTTTGTAATCTTCCCAAGTCAGTCACTTCATGAATTTTGTTTTTCTCTCCAATGTATCAACAGACAATGGCAGAGATTAGAAGGTTGGCTTAGAATTGGCAAGAACTCAAAGCTCAAATCCCAGACAAAAAGTTAATTAAGCAACTTCTGGAGTAGTCTTAATTTATTTCATTGAGTTGAGAAAGTAAAATTGAGAGCAAAGAAAGAGAACAAATGTGTTATGTTGAGGAAATGCAGAATATAAATGTAACAAGTAAATTGCTAGATGTCTCTGGCTCCCTTTTCCATTATTGTGTCAGCTGCAGATTTTGTACCAGTACAACTATTTATGGGGCATTAAAACCTGATTCCTTAGCATAGTCACAGTTCAAAAACTGGATGTGGAAAAACTCACCACTTTTGCCAAGAGGCTGGCCACTTTTGTACCCCATCTTCTGGAGCATAGCAAAACCTTTATTTTCATTCCCCAAAGCAACATTTAGAAACATTTCACGTTGCTCTTTTTCTTGTTCTTTGATGCTCTTTTGCCTACTTTTCTGGTTAGCTTCTTTTACTTTTTCCTCTTTTTTAAAAGTTTCCTTCACACGCCTCAACATCGGCATTCCTGGCCTGATGTCCTGACTGAATAAAACAAAAATTTTACAAGTTACCTAAATACAAGATACTGTCAAAAAATCATTATCCTGCTTTAAGTATGTTTATAGTTCTTTAAAACTTTTTGCAGGTTACGGTTAGGATTACATACGGTAGGGCTGGAGGAGACCTTAGAAGAAGACTAAGTTCAATCCCCTGCCCAAGACAGGAATACTTATTCAATTCTGGACAAATGGTTGTCCAGTCTTTTCTTAAAAACTTCCAGCAACAAACCACACACAACTCCAGGATGCAAGCTGTTCCATTGACAAATTGTTCTCACTGTTAAGAAATTTGTCCTTAGTTCCATATTAGGTCTCCCTCTGATAAGCTTCCATCTACTGATACATCAATCCCTTCTTCCTGATGACAGCTCTTCAAATATTGGAAGATAGCTATTATGTCACCCCTAAACCTTCTCTTCATTAGGCTACTAATAAAGAGTACCCTTACTTAGTACCTTAGCCATTCCTCATTGGACATCTATATCCCAATTCAAGAGGGAAAAAAAAAGCTGAAGTATTCAGCTAATGGTTGGAGACTTCAAAATGGAGTACACAGTTCATACAGTGATATAGCAGTTTCCCTGGATTTACAAATGTAGCCTATTTTGTTTTGGGAAATTTCTAATTTTTGTAGATATTCATGTTCTTTAGAACTGCATACCAATGATTTAGAAACAGGGGTCTTCAAACTTGACAGCTTTAAGACTTGTGGACTTCAACTCCCAGATTTCCTTCTCAGTCATGTTAGCTCAGGAATTCTGGGAGTTGAAGTCCACAAGTTTTAAACTTGCCAAGTTAGAAAGTAAGAAATGGACATTACATGTCTTATAGCTGGAAAAAGCATAATTCTACAAAGACGGAAGGACATCTCTTCCTTCTCAATTTTATAGTGATCCAAGTTTAATTCTTGTCATAACTGGATAAGAGTTCTATTGTTAGGAATACTCTAAATTTGTTACCCTAATATTTATCTATAATTTTAATGTTCTATTTGTTTTTGCCTCAATGTATAAATATATTCTGTATAATAAATTAACATACTGTAAAGATTATTTAGGATATATGCATGATAACTAATGAATTATATTGATAGTGATTAAAGTCTTACTGATTTTTCCTTCTTCCATTTTCTTTTGGAAAATAAAACATAAATATGCTGTAGAAGCTTACTTGTTCACCTGTATTTTAGTGCTAATTTAACTCTGTAAATTACATTCCTCAAAGCTGTTCTATGTGGGCAGAATTTTAAAGCAACATGTGTATTTGTAAAATTGTACCCAAATTTTTAATTGGGTATTGGATATTATAAACCCATTTAAGCTTCAGCATCCTTACTAGGCAAAGGCAAGCAGGATATACTTGAAAAACACCCACTTACTTAATAAAGGAATCAGACATATAATCCTCTTCTACGTCATCCATGATTCATATCAATCTTCCACCTCCAACCTTGCTACCTATAAATACAGTTCATGATTAATTTAAAATGCACCCAAAAACACTTTTTTTTTTCGAGAGGAAAATTCCATACTTATTAGATGCAACGTAAACAAATCCTGAATTTGATCTTTGTGTATGATTGCCCCCCAACACCCTGATTTCTTAGCTAGCCAGAGTATCAGCATCAGCACAGAAGAAAGCCAAAGCAGTTGGTCTTTTGCTATGTAAACTCCAAATTCAGGTCATTCTCATTCGTGGTAACTCACTGGGTGAGGTTATTTTACTTAATTCAACTTATCTAGATTGCTATTGAATGACAGATGTGATCTAGGACTGATCTAACCATCACGCAACCCCGGGCAACAATACTCAACATTTAGTGCGATTCCTTACTGACAACAAAAACGCAGCGCGCCGAAATCCTCCATTCCCCAATTCCTAAACCGCCGCACCGTTGCGCCTGCGCTTCGGTGGTGGCCTCACTTCCTGGGTCTCGAGAGCGCATGCGCAGGAGCCGGCGCTGCTTCAGCTGGTCGCGGGGAAGGGCCGGACCGGAGGCTTAAGCCGCGGCGACCTTCGGGGCTCCGCTGTGTCGCTGAGGTGGCCGCCGCTGCCTGAGGTGGGAACCATCAGTCGGGAAAGGCTGGGCAGGGAGACGCGGGGCTTGCACTCGGTGGGGGAGAGCTCGGTGGGGAAAGGGGGTGGGAGAGCTGTAAAGACCGCAAGAAGGAGCGCAGGACGATGGCAGCCTCTCCGGGTGGGAGCCGCTGTACCTCGGGTTCCCCATTGAGGCACCGCCCGCCGGGGTGGCATCCATCGTCCTTGTGGCTGGTTTTTCCCTGGATGGGTGGATGGATGGATGGCAGGCGGGTGTGACAGTGGCCCGGGAAGCTCGGACCTGCACTGTCCAATTGACAGCGGCCTCTTAAAGGTCCCTTTCCAACAATTACACTTTGGACCGTCGTCACGGGATAGTCTCCGATCTTGGGTTGCAAAACTCCGGAGACTGCTAGGTGGCAGAAAAGAGGCGCAGTTTTCTTGTGTTTCTCCTTAACCTGCCCTTCAGGTTTTGGCAGTACAGAGCTGGTGACCTTAGGATCCAAAGGATATACAGATAGATCTCGACTTACAACAGTTGGTTTAGTGACCATTCGAAGTTACAATGGCACTGAAAAAAAAGTGACTTATGATCATTTTTCATACTTACAACCATTGCAGCATCCCCATGGTCACGTGACTTACTTTTGGATGCTTGACAGCTGGTTCATATCGATGACAAATTGCAGTGTCCTGGGGTTCTGTGATCTTCTGACAAACAGAAGATTGTGACCTTCTGACAAAGTCAATGGGGAATCCAGATTGACTTAACAATGGCATTATTACCGTAATTTAACAACTGCAGTGACATACTTAACATATGAGGCAAGAAAAGTCGCAAAATGGAGCAAAACTCAACAAATTTCTCACTTAGCAACATAAATGTTGGGCTCAATTGTGGTCATAAGTCAAGCAGTACTTGTATTACATAGTTGTGTCCAGGGTGGGACCCTGTTATAATAAGCCATGTTTGCATAATATGCTTACCGGTCTATACATTATAGCTGCTTTGTTATTATTGATTTGCTTTGACTGCCCTTCCATTTCATGTAAGTGATTCTGGGTTGTTCATAATGGCTAAACACAAGCCAATAAAAATAAGGTAAAAGCTGATATACAAATGTATAAAAACCATTCATAATCAATTTACTCAATCCACATTTTTTTCTGGTGAAGCATGATGTACTGAACCATAAACTATTATGTGGAATTGTATTTAGCTGCTTGGTGTTTCAGTATGTCATATCAGCCCAGCTACTGTGTGGGGTAAAAGGACTTCAGTATGGAACTATTTTACATATCCAACATCAAACCGGGGTTTTAACTGGCTTATTGATTGAACATAATAATTCAGTTACCATATATCAGTCACATTGTTATGGTTGTTCATTTACTCTCTTTGATGGAGATTTTAAAAAATCTGTTCCTTGTAGCAGATATGTAGGTGGCTGAATTAATAAATAAAAGACGTTCTAGAAAAATAATAGATTAACCAGTTTAAATGCATGTTAAGACTGTTTTAGGTGGGATATTTTAAATCTGTTGTTTTTCTATTTATTTGTATAACAGGAAACAAGGGTAGTTACTGTACAAAAAGAATTTCACCAGCTATGGAACTTGCTCATAGTTTGTTATTAAATGAAGAGGCTTTGGCTCAGATCACTGAAGCAAAACGGCCAGTTTTTATCTTTGAGTGGCTACGGTTTCTTGAGAAGGTGCTTGTAGCTGCTAACAAGGTATAATTTTATTTTTTATTATTAAATTTATTTGCTACCCATCTCATGGTTTGACTTGATCTTTGATAATATATTTCTTTCAGCCCTTATTTTTGTATTAATGACTCTTCTGTAATATGGCCAAAGTGACATGCCTGAAATATTTTGAACTGCCTAAATATTTGATTCTATCCTATAAAATAATTGGGCTGTTTTGTTGTTTATGATTTTAATAATGCATATTTATACAGAAACTCCATTTTCTGTTCTGAGATTATGTTATGGGAGTATTGTATGTATGTATGTATGTATGTATGTATGTATGTATAGGCAAGGTTGACTCAGCCTTCCATTCTTCTGAGATCAGTAAAATAGCCCAGATTGTTGGGGCAATATGCTGACTCTGTAAAACTTTAAGTCTTATTAAGTCTAAGTGCTTTGCGATTGCTATTTTTGGTCTATGATCTTTTTTTTTTTTTAAAAAAAAGCTGTGATTGATACAAAGTTCTTAACCTGATAATTCAAGTTTTTAGTTTAAATTAAACTATTAATTTGCAATGAAAGGCTCCTTAAACTATGCATTATAATTTCCTTTCCAACTGAATGGGATCAGTATTTTGAAAAATGCCAAAGGCATTTATGAAAATAAACTTGAGAATGAAGCAAGTATTTTTAGCTTTATTTAATGAATCCTCTAGTCTAAATACATGGGCATTGATTTTATGTTCATATTCAGACATAAAAAATAAACTTCCAGAAAACATCTGAACTAAATGTTGCTATGACATAACAAAGTTATAATGAACTTCATTAATTTCATATAAATACTGAACAAGTTTTGCATTTGTTTCATTAACAGACAGATGTAAAAGAAAAACAAAAAAAGCTTGTTGAACAGCTGACAGGTCTTATCAGCAGTTCTCCTGGACCACCAACAAGGAAATTGCTTGCTAAAAATCTTGCTGCTCTATACAGCATTGGAGATACTTTTACTGTCTTCCAAACACTTGACAAATGTAATGATATCATCAGGAGTAAAGATGATACTTCTGCCTATTTACCGACCAAACTGTAAGTAAATGTCACCTACCAGAAAAATTCCACAATCTCAGAAATATATTAGGGAATACATCCAATATGTAAAGTCATATGAGACTATTTCATTTGATTATTTTACATATAAAATGCTTGAAATATGCCAAATTGTTGGTAGACACATTTTATTTGAAGAAAAAATTATTTGAAACCACAAGGTCAAAGTTAGGAAATTTTACATCTGTGTCCTTGTTACCTCACTACTAATCTGTTCATCTATAAAATCATTGCAGTATCCAGATTATACATTTGGATTATTTAAATTTTAAAGTTTGTGCATCTTTGCTTGAAAACATATTGGCTTGATGCTCCCATTTAAAAGACAGAAACTTTTGAGCTGAGTTTGACTGCTAGTGATTAAATGGACACTTTAAACAACGGTGGAGAAATGATTTGCTATCATCATCTTCCACATTATTTTTTTATTATTTCAAAGTTTATTCTGAAGACTTGGGATTTTCAATTGGTCTCCTTTCCATGGTTTCACCTTAGTCCTTTTTTTGACAGAATCTATTAGTGTAAAATAATCAGAAATTATCTGATCAAAATTATCTTGATTTTTGTAGTACTGCAGTGGCATGTGTTGGAGCATTTTATGAGAAAATGGGAAGAATGCTGGGCAGTTCTTTTCCTGAAACCGTTAACAATCTCTTAAAATCTTTGAAAAGTGCTGAAGTAAGTAAAAGAAATGTTCACAGAATATTTGCATTTTTTGCACTGTATTCATTTAATTAATTAAGAGTCTGGTAATTCTATTGTACAACAAAAAGTAATTTTGGACCATCTAGATCAGGGGTGGTTAACTTTTTCAGCACCGAGTGCTGAAACGTGCGTGCACACCAGAAACCAGAAGAGCAGCTCCTTGGCATGCGCATGCACACCAGCCATCTGGTTTTCCAGTTTCTAATGTGCATGCGTGCACGCTGGCCAGCGTGCATGCATGGTGTGCGGAGCTGCTGTCTGGTTCTGGTGCTCCTACGCACGCAAAGACCAGCTGGGAGCTGCTCTTCAGTTTCTGGCGCTCCCGTGTGCGTGAAGACCAGATGGGTGGCATGTGTGTGCTGGAACCCAGAAGAGCAATGGGCATGCTGGCATGCTGGCATGCCCAGAGAGATGTCTCTGTATGCCACTTCCAGCACATGTGCTATAGGTTCGCCATTACGGATCTAGATAGAAACAAAATTCTTATGTCATAGATTTTTGTGGGCTTCAGTGGCTTATGTTCATGAAAGCTTGTGGCATAATAAATTTACCTGATGTTAAGATGTCACCAAAATCTTTGTACTTCTCAAGGTTGTGGTGAGCTAAAAATAGAGATGTGACTTGTAATTAACATAGTTACTGCTTGAAATAAATGTTGCATTGAATCTTAATGCTTTTTTTGTATTTCCACATTCAACTAATACATTTTCATGTAAAGCTAATTCACATTATTAAAAGGCAACCAGCTAAGCCTACGATGATCTGAAGCACTGTTTGGCTAGATTCATCCATATAGAGCCATACAATGTACTATACAAAATAATTTATACTCTACAACTACAGGACAGGAGTGGTTATCATAAATGTTGGAGAAGTCGTGTTTCCATCAGATCTTAAACTTGTGAGGTGAATAGAGATTGCCTCTATCAATCACCTCTTATGATTTCCTAGTTTAATTTTGAAAAGAAAATTAGAAGCAATTTCTTTTTCTTTTTTTAAGAAATGGCTGAAGGGAATGATAATCTTTTTCAATAAGCGTGAAATGTGTCAAGTATTTGTGAAATAAAATACTACAATATATGTTTAAAAAAGAATGAATGTTGATTTATATGAGTTCCATAAATTGTGATCTTGGAACAGAATTTTCCAGCATCATATTTAGGAATAAGGATTATGATCTTTATACTATATTAAAAGGTAATATTTATTATTATGATAAGTTCCATTTTTACATAGAGATTCAAGAATATTTTTTTCATTACAACATATACTGTTTTTAAATAAATGGGAAGCATGGTTTTGGTAAAAATACAATATATTTATGTCTTCTGGTGATTTGCAGTCACAGGGACGGAGTGAAATATTAATGAGTTTACAAAAAGTCTTAAGTGGCTTGGGTGGTGCAGCAGCTTCTTGCCACCGAGATATTTATAAGAATGCCCGGTCTCTCCTGACAGACAGAGCTATGGCTGTGCGCTGTGCAGTAGCAAAGGTAAGCTTGCTTAAATGTTTAAATGGAAGAAACATTACTGCATCATTCATAGCATTTTCTAGGTTATCTAGGATTCTAAGTATGCTTTCTGCATTGTACAGCTTGTTGTAGAAATAGGCACTGCCCCTATAATCATACAGCTTTTTTTCTCCTACAACCACTGTTATAGATTCTTCTGGAAAAATTCAGTGATATGCTTTCAGTTTAGTTTGTTATCACTTTATGAAGGTGTGTAGCTTGCTGCAGTGCAATATTCACATTCACAGTCTTATTTCTGACATTAGGTGTTAAAGTTGAGGTGAAAATCAAATATCCCAAAGGTGCTTTTTCAAAAGGCAACTGGACTTTCTTGTTTTCCTTTGAAGACATTTCGCTTTCTCATTCAAGAAGCTTCTTCAGCAGTTACAATTTGTTTTTAAAAGGAAAAAGGATAGTAATTGTGATGGCTGAATTCAAAGAATGAATGGACAAAATTTCAAAAAGTATTAACAGTTTTGGGATTTTTTTCTTGGCAGTGTCTACTAGAACTGCAAAATGAAGCTGTGTTTATGTGGACAACAGAATTAGAAAATGTAGCAACTCTATGCTTTAAGGCACTGGAGAACTCAAATTATGGTGTACGAGTTGCAGTATCCAAACTTCTGGGGACAGTTATGGCTACAGCACTGATACCAAAGCAAGCAGCAGGTATAATCCATTTGAGTTATTCATATCATTATTATTTTGTTTTTCAGCAATAGACACATGGATAAACTTAAAGTGTTTACTATTAACTGTAAACAATGATAAAAGCCATTTATTTTTACAGTTTTTAATTTTGTGAAAATTTTGTATTAATTTCATGTCTTTAAAGACATTGCTATCTTTAACATGACATAGTACTTACCAGAATCTCAAAAATACAATGAGAACTGATTGAGAATATTCCATTGAATAACATTTTCTCTTTATTTGTTTAAGTGATGCGCCAGAATGTGAAGAAAGCAACGTTAGAAGAGGTTTTAGAACTCATGGCCACTGGTTTTTTGCGAGGAGGATCTGGGTTCTTAAAAAGTGGTGGAGAGATGTTAAAAGTAGGAGGATCCGTTAATCGAGAAGTGCGAGTTGGGGTTACTCAGGTAGGTTTATTTTAAAATGCTATAAAGTATTTTCACAATCAGGGAAACAAAAAAAACCCCACAGTTTCATAGAACTAGCTAGAAGCTAGTTCTGTACATACTAATGAGCATATAATGATTGCTTTTCATGATTTTTCAATGATATTCTTACAGTTCCAGCCAAATAAGTATATAATGAGATTCGAAGAAGCGTGCAGGTATGCCCAGTGGCCATTTCGCTGTTTTTTGAAAAGTCAAGGAATAGAATTCTTTTGAAATGCAGAGCTTTTTCAACAGCAATAACAAGTGGCAGTGAATAAAACTTATTTACCTACTTGTTTATGCTAAAGAATAGAAATACTACATTGACTGCTGCAGACATAGGCAAGAATAACCTCATCCTTCAGGTCCTAATTATAACATGCTCTACAAGGGAGTAGATTAAATTCGGTAGATAAGTGAAGATGCTTGTTAAATTCCTAAGAGAAAAGCCTTTGCTCAAACTCTTGACAGTCCTCTTCAAGAAACTTGTAGCATTTTGGGGGCTTCGAACAACCTTGAGGCCATATATAATGAGATTGTCATATAGCCTCACAATATTATCATGATATTAAAAAGCTATAAGTATGATGGGAACTAGTTATAGAGATTGTAACTAGTTTTCATTATAGATGGGGTGTTACTGAGTTTGATAAACCTATGTGATTGTAATATTAGAGGGCCTGATCTGGTATTTTCACTTCAGAAACAAAACATTATATAATTTTAAGGGGTGGGATAGGGGATATTGGAGAATTGAAGGTAAAAGGTATAAATAGAATTTTAAATTCAGAATACAAATCCCCTATACCTCAAGTAACTTAATCATTTCAAATTTTCCAGGCCTATGTTGTCTTTGTCACAACCCTAGGAGGTCAGTGGCTAGAACGCAATTTTGCAACTTTCCTGTCACACGTGCTGGATTTGGTTTCTCATCCTCGTGCAACTCAAACTCACGTAGAAGCTGTCTACTCTCGGAGATGTGTCTCTTTTATCCTCAGAGCGACAGTAGGAAGTTTATTGGGAGAGAAAGCACAGATTGCTGCTGCTAAAGATATTTGTCAGGCTATTGATAAACAGATGAAGGCAGTCGGTAAGAGAAAAAAAAATTAGTGCATGCATGTATTGTTTTTATTATTGCTATCCAATCTTTTTAAGTCTAGGATAAGGTGGTTTTCACATTTATTGATCTACGTCTGTATGACACTGGCTTATGTGGTTATGATATAAATGAGATCTTTTGCAGCAATTGTGTGCCTGAAGAATAAAGAGTGTGAAAATATAATGCAGTACAAGTAGTCCTTGATTTATGACCAGTTATGGGGAATCTTCCAAAAGCTACTTATGACTCAGTCCCAAAGTCAAGGCCATTACAGCATCCCCATGATTGTTCACCCTTACAAATGAGTTGTAGCGCCCCACTGCCTATGTCTTCCCCATTCCACACCACTGTGCTCCACATCCTGCTTCTCACCCTGCATCATCCATCTCTTACTTATGTTTTGAAGATCTCTGGAACCTTGGTTAGGGAAGGAGGGTAGGCCTCACTATTACTGGGCTTCTTCCTCATGCACTCTGAAATACCTTTTTGGGAACCTAGTCCGAAGCAGTATGTTTTAAATGGAACAGAATGCTGGGTTACTTACCATTTTTCAATTTACTTTGACAGAAACAGTTGTGAATGATGCTAATATTGAAAACAAGTCAGGAGCAGCAGAAGTTGCCGCAAGTCAACATGTAATGGTTTGTGCTCTTCAGGAGCTAGGAAGTTTAGTTCAAAGCCTGAATGCCACTGCATCACCCCTTATACAGGAACCTTCTATAGGTAAATCGTTTAGACTGCCATGCTAGGCACACTAAGAATAATTGTGAAGTTATTTATTTATTTCTACCATTTAATTATGTATGTAATGCAATACTGATATAAAATATAAAGCCAAAGTACCAGTGAAAATGAGATGTTTCCTCATCAGATGGCTTCTCTAGTTTTCATCCCAGTGCATAGGTATGCACCAATATGCTTTTGTTTGTTTTGTTTACTTAAAGTTCAGTTTCCTACCTTTTTAATACATCAGGGCAGTTAATAATGTGAAAGTAATACAATAGATACAGATTTGAGAATGTAATATGCAATCAAAATAATAAAATACTAAGATGTTGATTTTATTGATGCTATTTGTTTCATTTTTCAGCATAATCAAAAAGATGAAGCATAAAAAATAAAGCATAGCGATAAAAATATAAAGCATAATAGAGACTTGGGATTTGGTGTGATTTTGAGGGTTTTTTTACCTTCAGTTGTTTAATTGGGTTTTTAAAAAAGTATTATATTTTCTATTTTCAGCTTTGTTCAATGTCCAGAGTTGCTATGGTGGGAATGGTAGCCATAAAAATCTAGATAATGTATAGTGCATATATTGATCAGAAATCTGTGTGATTTCTTAAAATTGTTTCCTACAGAAAAAGACAAATTAAGATGCTAGTGAACTGCAAGGCAGATAAAGCCTATTTTCTAGAATAGACAAAAGCCATTGAATCTGAACTTGGCATCTAAAGAGTGCTTTTGTGTTAGGAATGCTTTTTGACGTTTTCAAGACTTAAACATCAAAAATAGATAGCTTTCTATCTTTTGTTACTCGGTTTGAAAGATTTACGTCATTTCAATTCTTTCTTTGACCAAATCTACTACAAATAAATGTTTGGGTAGTTTCCTCAAAATATTTCCTTTTCTGGTTTGTTTTCAGGATTGCTTGAAACTGTTACTTCGGTTCTTCTCCATCCCAGTATGGCTGCTCGACTTGCTGCTGCGTGGTGTTTGCGTTGTGTGGCTGTTGCTTTGCCTTTCCAGTTGACTCCGTTATTGGACCGGTGTGCAGAAAGGCTTAACAACCTGAAGACTTCCCCAGAAGCTGTTAGTGGGTACAGTTTTGCAATGGCTGCTTTGTTAGGTGGAGTTCATCAATGTTCTCTAGGCATTCCTCATGCCAAAGGAAAGGTGAGATTATTAATTACTTGCATTTCTGGAATTGTTTTGGGATACAGAAGGATGCTGTTACAAAATAACATGAATTGGTTTAATGGTATATTCCAGTGATGGCAAACCTTTTCATCCTCGCGTGCCAAAAGTGCACGCGTGCCATCAACCATAAGACAATGCATGCGGGGGGCATGCCCCTTGCGCATGCGTGCACGACCCCCACATACACCATGCATTTCTGCACATGTGTGTGCATCTGCATGTGTCCCATTCCCCGTACATGCGCAGCAGCTACCCAACGATTACCTGGCAGGCGGGCGGCGCGTGCACCTGTGCAGTGAACCTGCTCTGGGGCAACGGCTTGCAGGCCGGTGGAGATGGCTCTGCATGCCACTTCTAGCACTTCTAGCATAGGTTCGCCATCACAGGTATATTCCAAAGAAGCTGCATTCAAAGATTTGCATTGCTGAATGTTAGTTTCCCAGTTACCGTATATTCAAGGTTAAAGTCTGAAAAGCTCAAGCTATAGCTATCAACGAACATGTACCTCTCTGTGAACCTGAGATACATTAGCCATGCCAAAAAGGAAATACCTTTTTGTAAACACTGTTATGCTCCAAAGCTAGGAAGCATCAGTTTTGAAATTATAATTGCTCCTTCCTATTTATAAGATACTAAAATGCTTCTTAAATTGGTATAGGTATTTTATACTCTCATGCTCATTTTTATTACATAATAGTGCTTATTCCTGGGTAAATATGTTTATCGTCACAACAATGGAAGCAAATTTCATTTTATGTTGGAGCACTTCCTCCTTTTTGCTCTTCTTTTCAAGGCGTTTCTCGGCACATTCCATATCTTGGTTTGTTTTCTTTAGTAATCTTTTTGTTTGCCTACCCCGAGTCTCAACCAACCCCTACTGAGTTTTTCAACCCCTTCTTTTGTTTGACTTGTTCATTTTACTGTTTAAAGGGAAAAATAATTTGAACTGAAATGAACATAATATTAATATTAAGTAAAGTTTTTATTTTCTATCCTGTGTTAATGTTCAGCTATGAGTTTTATTAAGATGGTTTCTAATTCACTTCTAAGTTAATTTTCCCTTTATTTTAGATGGTTGTTAGCATTGCTGAGGATCTCTTGCGGACTGCTGCACAAAATAGCAGGCTGTCCTTACAGCGAACCCAGGCTGGGTGGCTTTTACTGGGTGCTCTAATGACTTTAGGTGTGTATACACACATTCCTTTATTTTAGCAGTCTGACTTGAATTTAGCAGCAAGATTGTGGCTATCTCCCTAATACTAGACCTTACCATGTTCTGCTTTTGCTACCAAAATGCAGATTATTTTGAAAGTGCAATTGCCTTGCTAGAATACTTTTGTTATGAAGTAAAAGTCTACGTAGAAATATACTCTGATCAGTAGTTAGGAATATTAAATTGTAATTCAGATTGAATGGTAACAGAATATTAAAGTTAGCTTTAGTTGATTTGAATCTTTTAATGTTATTAATATGTAAGTATATTTATAAAAGTACAAATTTTTTAATGTTAAAATCAATTATAATGGTAGTAAGATTCCTAACCTTACTCTGCAAGTTATTTATTTTAATGAATAATTGTATTTTAATTAAAAATTTGTCAAAGTGGCATATAAAATACAAAGTTAGTTTTAGAAAATGTCATTTACAGATACATTGACATCTTTGGTTTTATCTTTCATGAAGACTTATTAAGCTCCAGTATGATTTGTGTTCCTGGTAGGTCCTTCAGTTGTCCGTTACCATCTTCCTAAAATGTTGTTACTGTGGCGAAATGTGTTTCCCCGTTCGCTAAAGGAATTAGAAGCTGAAAAAGCTCGTGGAGATTCCTTTACATGGCAAGTAACACTGGAAGGACGTGCAGGAGCTCTCTGTGGTATGAATCTCAAACATACAGTAACCTTGTCAATACTTTTTCAGCTAGCCTAATTCCATATTTTAGGAATAAAGTAATCAGCTAGATTCAAAAGGACTAAAACATCTATTTGAGTAATCTTTAGATGATTGCTTGTGACAAAGTGGAGGAAAAACTGGTACATATGCTATGAGTATTGAAATGAAAAATTACTAAGAATATATTTGGAAAACATGCAGCCAGATTGCATTTCATCGTATCCATATTTAGAATATGCTAATATATGAGAATAGAATACGATGTTCTTAATTTTTTTAACAGGATGCAAATATAGTTGAATTGAACACTATATTTGTTAGGTCACTATATTATGTATGTGTGTTTGTGGATAGCCAATTTATCTTTTCTTTTTTAGTGGAAAGCTGTAGTTTAAGCAAAGAGCCCTGTTTCAAAGAGAGAGAGAAAAAGAGCAAATGGCATAGCAATAGCACTTATTTATTTATTTATCGAATTTATATTGTCACCTATTTGCCCACAGTGACTCAAGGCAACTTACAGAATATAAAACCACATTTACAATAATAAAAACTAACAAAAATAATCAAATAAATTAATAAAGTACAATATAACAAAATCACCCCCCAACTCCCTCCCACCTTGTCCTGATGACAGCAAATCACACAAGCCATTTAATGGGCTCCATCCCGCTCTGGGTTCCCTAGGCCCGCTGGCAGAACTAGGCCTTCCGGAAGAGTATTAGAGTGGGGGCTATTCTAATTGCTGGGGAAATGTTGTTCCAGAAAGAAGAAGGCCACCACAGAGAAGGCCCTTCTGGGTTTCACCAGGTGTAAATCCCTCAGGGACAGAACCCGCAACATTCCCTGCCTCCCCGCTCAGATGGGTTGGGTAGATGTCACTGGCAAGAGGCGGTCCCTCAGATAACCTGGTCCCAACCATGAAAGGCTTTAAAGGTGACAACCAGCACCTTGAATTGCACCCGGAAGCAAATCAGCAACTGCTTCACGGTGCTTTACAATCCTTTGCCCCCAACAATCTAGGTCTTCATTTTATTGACCTCAGAAGGATGGAAGGCTGAATTAAACTTGAGCTGGTCAGAATCGAACTGGCAGTGGAATGCAGAATTAGCCTGCAACACTGCATTCTTACCACTGCGCTACCATGGCTCCATATGTCTTTTCTTCTCCTCAGTAATTTTATTTTGAACATATATCAGTTCAACTGTTAATTGCGTTATATATTTAATAGATACTTAAATTACACTGATTCTTTTTAAAGCTAGCATTTCTACAATTTTTTGTTGTTGCTAGCTATGAGGAGTTTTGTTGCTCACTGTCCTGAACTTCTAACAGAAGATGTTATTCGAAAATTGATGACACCTATTGAATGTGCTATGACAATGATGTCTCAGTAAGTATGTTTCTTAGAAATTGAAATTAGCTTTCTTTTAAAATAGGTTTGTCTGCCTAATCACTAATGGAACACAATCTGTGATCTGTGTTCTTATTGCAACTGCTACTCAACCTCTCTCTCCTCTGTTAATCTTTTTTATATTTTCCCTCCCCAGATGAACATGTGTATGTGGATGGCTGTGGTGGATGGCTAAATTGTAATAAATTTGTGTGAAAGAGAGTTCAGGTGTGTATGGGTGATGAACTTGGAGTAAGTTCATTAATACCCTGCATTCTCTCTCTCTACCTTGTGATCGCACCAACTTTCCCTCCCTCTGTAATTTCAAAGAGCAAAATAACATGTTCCCCTTTTGGCACACATCTTCCAAAATTTATAGGGGAAAAGGTGGTTTTATTCCCAGTATTCTGTATCTACAGTATAAATTAAATAGCTTTTTAATGTAATAGTAACTTTCATGATTGTGTTTTTTTTAACACGATAGCATTCCTTCTGTAATCAAAACCCATGGAGCACATCTGAAGGCAAGTGCAGCAATGGTTCGATTAAGGCTTTATGACATTTTGGCTTTGTTACCACCAAAAACATACGAAGGTAAAATTCACTTCTTTTCACTATTTTTTCAAATCTTAAAAATACCACTTTAACATGAGGTAGAAGCTTTGTAAACATTTTATTTCTCTGTTTTTTTTAAATAGAGAAATAAAGAAATAAAGTTCAGCAGGAGAACTCTGTGCTTCCATATACTCACTTTCATACATAATAGCACTACCATCAAATAACATTTCCTGCAACTATCCAGGAGTTGTATTCAAATAATGATCTTGTAATCATACAAATGTTATGGGGGAATTGCTCATCATGCAAAGCTACAGAAGCTTCTGGAATACACTATTTTGCCATGGGATTGATATATTATTAGAATATTATTAGTTCTGGTTTTCCTGTTTTAAAACTAGGCTGAATCGTACTGCTTGTTGTTTAACGGCCCATGTAAAAAACGGTATTTTATTGTTTTGCTCTAGGTTCTTTTAATCCACTTCTTCGGGAGCTGGTGGCAGAATTTACTCTGACAGACAATTCTGCTAATACAACTACCTCCCTGCTTAGATCACTTTGCCACTATGATGATAGCGTCCTTCTTGGCTCTTGGCTGCAAGAAACAGACCACAAATCAATTGAAGATCAGGTATCCAGTTTTGTTTTCCAATCCTTCCCAAGTGTCAGTTGTTTTTTAATTACACACTTGTTGTATGTGTAATAAATAAATTACACATTTTCTGTTTTTTTAAATATTAGCATATTAAATCTGAGTCAGATTGTTAAGGCAAAAATTCATTAGGGAAACTGTTTATTTACTAAAGATGAACTCGGGTGGCTGGATGGCTATTTGACACCGAAATCGACCCACCCAAAAATAAAATGGGTTCTGCATTCGATCCTTTCAGAGTTGCCCAATCAGTTTCCAGAACAATATAGTATAGCTAAGAATATGAAAGAAATGAAAAGATCTTTTGATACCCCTAATGCTACTGAGCACAGTTCTCCATAGATCTAGCTAATATGGGAATATGCAATAAAGCAATATTTGGAGAGCCATAATCCCCCATGGCTGATATAGACATATTTACCCCAATTAATGTAATTAATTGTTTCACAGCAGATATACAACTTCCCTAAATCTTGGGTTTCCCCATTTTTTTCACCATGCAGCTTTCACTTCTGCTTTGGGGAATAAGGACTAGTATATAGAGGGTGTCTTAGAGAGAATTATATTGTTATTAATGTTTGAGAAAAAACCATACTTTTGAAGTGATGCCAGCTTTTTTTCCTCATTCTTTTGATGCTGCCTGCAAAAATACCTTCTTATAAAGTGTAGACTGCCATTGAGAGCAAGGCAGCAATTAGACCTAGTGTATACAATATAATTCTCAATATCACTAAAGGCTCCTGCTTCAGGTTCCCTACCTCAGTAACTTTTAGTAGGAGCTGAAATACAGTGCAACACTAGGTTTGCAATCTATTAATGCAATGTATAAGAAATTGGAAATTATTTTTAGAAAGTTGTCTTTGAATGTATATGAATATTTGTCTGACCTTAATGAATGTTGTATATTGGACAGAAGCAGAGAAGATTCTAGTAAGAATACAAAGTTGTACCTTCTATAGTTATTAGATGCTGTGGTTCTCTAGTTTTTACATATTCTATTGTGATGTATACTTCCTTTTCATATACTCGAAAGCCAGTTTGGTGTAGTGGTTAAGACACCAGGCAAGAAAGTGGGAGACCATGAGTTCTAATCCCATTTTAGACATGAAAACCAGCTGAGTGATCTTGGGCTAGTCACTCTCTCAGCCCAACCCACCTCAAAGGTTGTTGAGGGGAAAATAGGAGGAGGAAGTGAGTTGGATATGTTCACTACCTTGAGTTATTTGTAAAAATAATCAAGGCAGGATACAAATCAATCAATCAGTAAATATTCCAGATAGAAACTTCGGATGAAAATGTATGTTATGTAGTTATCATAGTAACTTAGGAATTTCATGCAATACTGATAATTATATGATTTGAATCCATTTCACTGAATAATGCAGCTTATGAGAAGGTCTTCACTTTGCTTGAGCTGAGGAGCCTACCAATAACATAGACTTTCTCTATTACATGGAAGGAAAACCCAGATGCGCATGTGCAAGATAAATGATACGGGGCTGAGCAATAGTACTTGCAAAAGAGAGGTGGCGTCTTGGTAGGCCATAGATTAAGGGTGAGACAGGAATGTGCTACAGCTGCCAAAATAGACAATGCAGTTTACGGCTGTATCAACAGAGGCATAGTGTTGTCATGGGAATTTATAGTACTGCTCTATAGTGCACTGATCAGACAACCTCTGACATTCTCTGCCCTGTTCTGGTCACCACAGTACAAAAAGGATGCTGAGGAATTGGAAAGAGTGCAGAGAAGAACAACAAAGATGGTAAGGATCTTGTAGGCTAAATCCTATGAAGGAACTTGGTCTGTTTACCTTAAAGAAGAGAAGGATAATGTGAGACAGGATAGTCTTCCAATACATGAAGGGATGTCACAGGGAAGAGGCAGTAGATGTTTTCTTCCCATTACCTAAGCATAAGACAAGAACTGGTGGGTAGAAGCTTTACAATGAGATATCTAAACTTGAACTAAGATGGAATTCCCTGACTGTGAGAGTATTAAACAGTGGGATAGCCTGACTCCTGAAGTTGTGGGTGCTCCATCACTGGAGGTTTTCAAGAAAAGACTAGACATCTTTTTGTCCAGAATTGGTGTCAAGATTCTTGTATTGGGTAGGGGATTGGACTAAAAGAATTCCAAGGCCCCTACACAAAGAATCAACACTTTGATTCTTTGATAATGAAAAAAGGATAATGAATAGCAGATAGACTTATTTGGGGATATAATTGTTCTGTAAAAACTGAAGATATATTATATAGGCCCCGTAGAGTACTCTTTTAACCAGGGCAACATTTTTTAACTGATATGAAATGTTATGGGATAAAAAATACATGTCTCTGATTTCAAATGTTCTGATGCTTTACAGCTCCAGCCCAACAGTGCCTCAGGAAGTGGTGCCCTAGAACACGATCCCTCCTCTATTTACTTGCGCATCCCAGCTGGAGAAGCAGTGCCAGGTCCCCTTCCTTTGGGAGTATCAGTCATTGATGCCTCAGTGGCTCTCTTTGGAGTTGTTTTCCCTCATGTGTCCTCTAAACACAGGTTTGCTACTCTTCTAACACTTACACTTGAGTTGTTTTCCCTCATGTGTTCTACAAACACAGGTTTGTTACACTTCTAACACTTACACTTGAATTGTTTTCCCTCATGTGTTCTACAAACACAGGTTTGCTACACTTCTGACACTTACACTTGAGTTGTTTTCCCTCATGTGTCCTACAAACACAGGTTTGTTACACTTCTGACACTTACACTTGAGTTGTTTTCCCTCATGTGTCCTACAAACACAGGTTTGTTACACTTCATAACACCTCTATACCTCATCAAAATGAGAACAATATATAAAAATAAGTTATCCTTTTTCCTTTTTTATAATTTTTCAAATGTTACAACTTATCTTTTGGAAAAAGCTAGTGGACGTTCCGTTTACATTATTTTCAGTACTCCGATTAGCATACTAGTTAGCTATTTAAATATGATAAAATGGCTATAGTTAGCAGGAATAGGATTTGACTTGACATTCAAAGGTAATTTTTATCTAGAAGTTCTCCAATGTTACCTTCTAATGCAGCTGTTGGTTTCCACCTGTTATCAGTTATCAAAAGGGGCTAAAGCACTGCTTCCCAACCTGATGCCCTTCAGGTATATTAGGACTGCAATATCCAGAACTGCTAGCCAGCATGACTTAAAGATCATACTGATAAAGTTAAAGAATTATTTGGATGCTTCTAAATATGGGAGGCAACTAGAAATCTAAGAGAATTTGGGGAACTGTAGGGGATGGTAATGGAGGAGGGTGAGGAGAAAGACAGCTAAAGTTAGAAGAAAAAGAGATTACCAGTACAGTTAAAAGACAAGAGAAACACAGGTATCCTTTATGAGGATAATTGTATAATGAAACACTCAGGAGATATTTACTGATAAAACTAAGGCGAAACAACTTTTTTCCCATCCTTGTTGTACAATGGATATGCTCTTAGTGACTCATTGGGTTGCTGTGAATAAATGAAAGACGTAATATTCCCAACACCACCCACACACTGAAGATATCACGCTACAGGGGAAAAGAATTAATTAAATGATAATTTCAGTGCAAGAACTACTTTAAGTTGTTCAAGAATAAGTTTAAATGTATTCATTTATTTCCAATAAACTTAAAAGTGATTATGCCATTTTGGATTAAATAAATAAGACAAGTTTCATCATAGTTGCAGTGAATCTGGGCAGCACAAGGCTAGTTTTTTACAAGTAAAAATAGACTTCAGAGTTAATTCTAACTACATTAGTTCATATCTGATAAAAGCTGCTTTACTGGGTCAAGATATCTAGCAGCCATTATTATTGGACTGTGAATGTTTGCTAATTTAATGCTAGTTTCCTCATATTTATATTTTCAGGCTACAAATGTTGGATCATTTTGCAGAATGCATCAAGCAGGCAAAAGGTGTTCGTCAACAAGCAGTACAGCTTAATATTTTTACTGCTGTTCTCAGTGCACTAAAGGTAAATCTGTTTCAAAAGATAAAACTATAGTGTTACCCTCAAGCAATGGAATGCACTCTTAGGAGCTTTGCCTCCTCTCTTGGTTTTTAGTAAGAGACTTGTTACTTTAGCTAGGCCTTTATAGTTTAATTAGCAAACAATGATTTTTGATTTTTTTTTAATCACACTTTAAATAGTGATTGTATTTTTATCATTACTTGCCTTGAGTGCCCTTTGGGTAGAAAGGTAGATTGTAAAGTGGACACATAACGATAATTGTATAATTAAAATGTAATGATTTGTAAGATGCTGAAAAGCAGGTATATAAGGGCACATTCATAATGTATTTCCTTAAGCTAATCTGACTGCTTTAAAGACGTTCTAGATCATGTTTTAAAGTACTATCTTTCATAAAAGGGCTTGGCTGAGAACAAAAGTACCTTAGGACCAGAAGAAGTCCGCAAGTCTGCTTTGACTCTTGTAATGGGAGCACTTGACAATCCTAATCCTATTTTGAGATGTGCTGCAGGAGAAGCTCTGGGCAGAATGGCCCAGGTGGTTGGGGAAGCAACTTTCATTGCCAGGATGGCTCAATACAGCTTTGATAAGTATGCTGTAATTTTACTTTACATAAAACAAGAACTGGGCTAAATGCTATTTCTGTTTGGGCTTGTTTGTTTATTGTTTAAATTGTTTTCTTTTGTACAAATATGAAAAATATATAAATTATATAATTAGCTTTTGGTATTTGTAGTGATTCTGTTCCAACATAAAACCATCAATAGTGAAACCATGAATAATGAGTAGTTAGATTCTGGAGCCTGTGCTCATTTTCTTCAGCCAAGAGAGGCTGTTTTCTTCCAGCTTGCAAGAGCAGTACCAGTCTCTGTCATTGGTACCTTATTCTAAGTCTTCAAAAAAAAAAAAAAAAAAGGACTACCTCAGCCCAACCCCACTGGCCCGAGCCATGGGCATTCTCCAGCTGCCATATTAAGCCCAATTAAGAGGTTCTTTTCACTGTGAAAGTCATGTCGACTGAAGAAGTTAGCATGAGACATTTGGCATGAAGAAGGTAGTACCCTTCATCATCAGCCAGTAATTGCTCCAGAAAAGAAAGCAACCAGATACCACAGGATAGCCATTTGCAGCCAGGCTGATCCAACAAGATCTGTTATAATCAAGTGAGAAGAAGTAACAAATATACTAGAATAGAATAGAATAACAGAGTTGGAAGGGACCTTGGAGGTCTTCTAGTCCAACCCCCTGCTTAGGCAGGAAACCCTAAATGATTTCAGACAATTGGTTAAAAAAAACTTCCAGTATTGGAGCATTTACAACTTCTGGAGGCAAGTTGTTCCACTGATTAATTGTTCTAACTATTAGGAAATTTCTCTTTAGTTCTAATCTAACTCTATTGTGACATTATTCTATTTACAGATGTGTAAAAGCTCATCTGCATTTTGTACAAACATAACAAAATGAAATAGAAGCCAAAATGTGAATATGTGAAGCTCTTATTTGTATACTCAAATGTTGTCTACATGTAACAGTTGTGAAAATTCAAAACTGCCAATACACAAACTGTGTGTAACAATAATATTCCAGTAATTTTGGCTGAATGAACTATAACTGAAGAAATTCAGCTGTAAGAATGCACATAAATGAAGCTGATCAGTATTACTTCCTTAGTTTGTTGATTAAAAAGAAGTATGGCCTTTGCACCTTTGGAAGCTTGCTATAATGCTATGCAGTTTTTGTTCCCCTTCTCTCACCCACTACTACCATTAGAGATAGAATTCCAGAGGATGAGTGTAGGTGGCAAGGCTGTGGTTCTGGATCCTGAGGTAGTAAAGGCCGAGTGACTGCTTGGAAGTGGATTAGGAGATAATAGTAGATGTGATCCAGCCCTCCTCCCATTACAGCCCCTACCTAACTGCTTGGCTAAAAGCCCTTGTTGCTTGAATTGTGGTCTCAGATGCAGATGTGGCATGTCAAGCAGTGGTACGTGGTTGAAAGCAGACATTATTCAATGAAACCTCTGATGAGGTGATTACAGGCCCTTTGGCAGTAGGCAGGACAGGTGCCTTGGTTCAAGAGAGATTTTAACACAGCTTGAACACCTTAGACAAAGAGATTCTGTTGTAAACTCTTCTGCTGCTGCTCCCCCCCCCCCCCCCCCAAGATTATTGCCACATAACTCAAAGCAAATTCAGAAGGTGTAAATACTTTTGAATTCAGTGGATCTCACTTTGAAAAATAATACAAAAATGAATGTTTTTGAAGTGAAGGCAAATACATGGCTTATTTTGGTGTCAAGATAACTTGATTGACTTTTGGTTCTAAGTTTTATAAAGGGTTGGAATAGTGTGGAATCAAAAGAAGAAAATCAATTTGTTTTAAAGAGAGGGTTTGTAGTTCCAGAGTTACAATTCTTTTAATTGCATGTATTTATTTTATATCCGTTCATGGTTGTAGAAAAATAAAAGATTTGTTTATTACAAATGTTTTAAATGGTTACATTTGTTAGGTTTAATACTGCAATGTGGAATATTTTTCTATATGTGAAGAAACTGAGGGAAGAAATGAGAGCAAGAAAGGAGGGAACATTCATAACATTTTTCTAATTCAATTTTACTCTCAGGTTCATTTACTTAGTGAATTATTTATAAATGTTTTTTATTACAAATATCATAAAGATAATCCTGTCTCCTAAAGACAAAAACTGAGACCCAATTGCTACTATCTTACATTAATTTTCTATTATCATTGGAATTAAAAAGTGTGTTTTTAATGGGGAAATTGAGTTATTTTGAAGTATAGGCTGGTTTTAACAATGTAATTATAAAATTTTGTTTAAAATAAAATTGAAATGACAACTAGGTAGCTCTGTTCATTTTATGAATATCCACAATGATGCTTTGGGTAATTCCAAAATGTCTATGAGCTTATGGAGTTGCATAGCATTGCTTTTTGTCATTTACAAAAAAAGTTTTGTGCTTAGAGTTTTGCTATCTTGACTGTGGATTTAATGACTTTTTAAACAAATATTGGCAGGTTGAAATCTGCTAGAGATGTTGTATCAAGAACTGGCCACTCTTTGGCCCTTGGATGCCTGCATCGCTATGTTGGTGGAATAGGCTCTGGGCAGCATTTGAAAACCAGTGTCAGCATTCTATTAGCCCTAGCACAAGATGGGACCTCTCCTGAAGTCCAGGTAAAATTAATAAATAATGTGTAATAATACACATTATATGAACATACGTTATAGGAATATAATATTTGTGCTTTGAAAAATATTCAGGTATGCTTTGGACTTTACACAAATGTAAATCTTGCTGTTATTTAGTTAAGAAGCATGACTTTTTTGGTATTCTGCAAATTTGCTTTAAGGAATCCAGTTATTTTTACCATAATAACGCAAACTTCTTGCTTTAAAAATTTTATGCATTATCCTTTTTATGAATTAAAAAAATATTATTTGTATTTTAGGGAACTGTTGGCTAGAAATCATAAATTATATTTGTTAGTCTAGGTGGCTCTGCTACCTCTTCTTTTGTGAGGCATGGGAATATTTATGTTTCTTTAATTATTATTATAATAGGTAGTTCCTGTACAGTTCCCAATCTAGAGAGACATGTTAATGATGTTAGTATATATGGATGAGAATCTATTTGTTATACAGATATCCTTGACTTAGGATCACAGTTGAGCCCAAAATTTATGTTGCTAAGCGAGACAGTTGTTAAACGAGTTGGGCCTCATTTTGCAACCTTTTTGCCACAGTTGTTAAGCAAGTCACTGCAATTATTAAGTGAATCATACAGTCGTTAAGCAAATCTGGTTTCCCCCATTGACTTTGCTTGTCAGGAGCCAAATGGGAAGATTGTGATCACATGGCCCCAGGAAGTGCAACTGTCATAAATAAATGCCAGTTGCCAACTTCCTGTATTTTGATCACGTGACTGTGGGGATGCTGCAATGGTCTTAAATAAGAAAAAAGATCATAAGTCATTTTTATTAGTGCTGTTATAACTTTGAATGGTCACTCAATGGAGAAATTGTAAGTAGAGAAGTAGTTGTAGCCTTTTAAGGATCCTAATTAAGACGAAAGCATATGATTAAATTAGTCATTCTTCTTCTAGACATGGTCTCTCCATTCACTTGCTCTAATAGTGGATTCCAGTGGACCAATGTATCGTGGATATGTGGAGCCTACCCTATCTTTGGTCCTTACTTTACTTCTGACAGTGCCTCCATCCCATACAGAAGTTCACCAATGTTTGGGTCGATGTCTGGGAGCTATAATAACTACCGTTGGTCCTGAGCTACAAGGTTAGCACAACAACAATGAAAGCATTGGGACCTTCCCTACGGTTTTATGCATATTACATTGCTTGCAATTTAATACAAATGTTCAGTGCTTTGGACCCAAAGCTAAAAAGGTTCTTCAGAGCAGACGTGAGCATGCATGCTGCTCTTCTTGGCACATTCTTAATAAAGCTACTACTTTTCTTGAGATTGCAAACTAGAAGCACGATCCCTGGAAAAATAGGTGTTTTAAATTGAAAAGGTACTGACAGTGCACCTACAACCATTCCTAAACGCATGTTTTCACACTGTTGGTACCTTCTTAAACTCCTAACTTGTACTTTTTTTGACCCCAAGTGGTTATTGTGATTCTAGGAGTGACATTGTTTTCGTTAAGGAGGTGCCAACAAATGTTTGTTCTAAGACACTTTTTGGCTTTAAATCCAAAGTGCTCCACATCCCTAGGTTTTAGTGATAGGCAAGTTTACTATTTTTATTCTTTTTACTTTCCAGATGCAACTCTAGTCTTATTCTGTGTTATGTGTACTATATACATTATATCTAAGAACATTTTCTTTTAATTATGTAACTCACATTGTCAAGATTTTATTGACTAGAGAAAACTGGTAGTTCTTCTTGGGCACAGATACCTGACTGGTAAAATTTATGGGTTACACTTAACCATGTTGTAATAAACTGAATTATAACCACCAACGTTCAGTCAAGATGATTTTTTTTCTTCCATTCAATTGTGTCTGATTGTCAGAGACTGCGTGGACAAGTCCTTGCAGTTTTCTTGGCCAGATTTTTCAGAAGTAGTTTGATACTGCTTTTTTCCTAGGGCTGGGGAAAGTGCCTAGCCCAAGATCACCCAGCTGCTTTGTGCCTATGGTGGGACTATAACTCACTGTCTCCTGATTAACCACTACACTAAACTGGCTCTTCAATTCAACTGTAATTGTATGTAGGTCCAATTGTTTCTAGGCTGGTTTTATGATATACCATACTAGTGATTCTTGAATTGTCTGGGGTCCAGGTCATTTTCTGAGCAAAATTCTGAGAATTCATCTTGATCTTTTAATAATTCTTATCAGAGAGTTTTCTTTAAGATTTGCTACCATTTGAAATGTGTCTTGAGGAGAATACCCCTCAGAAATTATACTATAGAGTTCAGTTCCTTTCTTTTGCAGCTCAATTTATTATTTAAGATAGTTTTATGCTGTTTTGTGTAAGCTGCATCTTAATATAGTGTACAATGAAATGATTAAAACATTACATTGGAAGTAAAACTATGTAAACATATTTATACAATCTAAAACTCTTGTGATTTGATTGGTTGTAGCCTTCAGTTGGGTGAAATGGTACCTCATAGGCACTAATTTTTTAATTAACTTACCTCAGATGGCCTAAGTGACAGAATGCATCCAAAATCCAGGACCATGACTCCCATGACATTGAAATTTGACAAATTTGAGGCTGCTTCATTAAAAGTTGCTATAGTGCTTTATTGCCGTGGTCAGCCAAGTCACTTGATTGTGATTTCTAATGCTCCCTGCCAGCTTCCTACAAAGAAAGTCAACAGGGAACCTGGCAAAAAGTCATGTGGTCATTCTATTTCTCTTTAGGTAAGCAAATATCTCTGAAGTAATAATCCAAAAGATCACAAGTTCTCTAGTGTTCATTAAAAAAGTGAAGAGGTTGGCTGGAAAAGGAACAAAATAAAATCTATCCATAATACACAGAGAAAACTCAAAAGAATAGATAGAACTTCAACACTACAGGAACTTAAAAACATAATAATAGACATCTGATGGTGGGAGAAAATATTCAGAAATGTATTATTTAGCATGTGGTGAATATCCCAAACAGTCTTTATATTTCCTTAGAGGATTGTACTTTTCTGGGGTATTAAATAGCAAGATACTCATTTGGCTGTCTTTCATTTCACAATTTATGAAAGTTGATTTAAAAATGCTAATTTTGATAGGTAATGGAGCTACTATTTCTACCATTCGTTCCTCATGTCTGGTGGGATGTGCAATTACACAAGATCATTCTGACTCTCTTGTTCAAGCAGCTGCCATTTCCTGTCTCCAGCAACTTCACATGTTTGCACCACGACATGTTAACCTTTCCAGTCTTGTTCCCAGTCTTTGTGTAAGTATATTTTGTCCTTCCTATATGTAGCAACAGCAAATAGCAGTTGCACTTAGACTTATATACTGCTTCACAGTGCTTTCGAGCCCTCTCTAAGCGGTTTACAGAGTTAGCATATTGCCCCCAACAATCTGGTCCTCATTTTACCCACCTCAGAAGGAGGGAAGGCTGAGTCAACCTTGAGTTGATGAGAATCAAAGTGCTGAACTGCTGGAAACTGGTGGACAGCAGAATTAGTCAGCAAAACTGCATTCTAGCCACTGTGCCACCACGGCTCTTATATCCCAAAATAGTGTCCCACAATTGCTCATGATGACACCAACATTGTCAGATCGCTGCTTGTTGCAAGCATGTATAAAATGTACTTTCTATCTTTGTAATAAATTGTATACAGATCTTTCTGTTAATCTATAAGTTTAATAAGTATAATCTATAAGTTGGAGTGCATTAAAAAAGTCAGTTTGGCATTTAGATTTTTCAAATTCTTAAAATGCTTTTATCCTCTGAATGAAGATGAGGCACAGTGTTGTATACTTATGAACCTTTCATGAAACTAATTCTTTTGTTACACTTTGCTGAAATGCAAAAACACGAAGATTTTCAGTATAATTGTTAATAAATTAATTGGTTCAAAAAGTGTTCCTTGCAGAATAATTAGACACTCTGCATATTGTTTCTTTCTGTGAGTAAAGATCAGGACGTTGCTATGTTATGTAAAAGTGGACGACTTAAATGTATTTTACTGGAAGAAAAATATTTAACATCTCTGTTTGAAAATTGTATTCAGCTTTGTCATAAATTGAGTTGAAGTCCATGCATCTTAAAATTGCCAAGGTTGAGAAACACAGATTGAAATGCTCTTACATAATATGTAGCAGCAAGTGATTGCCATTAATCTGTAGAAGCTACAAACATTTTGAAGTAACCAAGCCCCCTTTGGCTGCTTTTTGATGGTTATAGGTTCACCTATGCAGCTCCCACTTGCTTCTACGTAGGGCTGCAGTAGCATGTTTGAGGCAGCTTGCCCAAAGAGAAGCAGCAGAAGTTTGTGAATATGCCATGAGCTTAGCAAAAAATACTGGAGATAAAGACAATAACGGGACAAGTAAGTATTGGACCAAAGAGTGGAGCTTCTTAAACCTATTTCCTGTTTTTGTTTTTCAGCTATATTTTTCTCTCACACAATTTTGCAAATTATATGAATATTCTCTCCTTTCACAGGTTGATAGATTGTTGGTAGTTTTCTCTTGATTGGCCGGGGAAAGGCATTTGCTGAGCCTAGGCCTGCAGAGATAAATAGAAGTTTTATCCTCTGCATTTTTAATTAACTGTTTTGTGTAACATAGAAGGGTGCTTCCTAAGATATGGAAAGATGAATCGAAGAGATCTTATTAATTCAATCTGACTGTGCAAATCTAGATGGAATCTTACTGTAGTTTAGCAGGTTTTTGTTCACATTGAAGATCTATGGTACTGTAATGTAGCAATTATTCTGGTTTCTTTAATGGATCGTAGCCATTGTATTAATTAGTTAAATAATTCACTAGAAAAATCTCAGATGTTGTACTACCTAATATATGTTTTGCAGATATTAATCCTTTTGCCCTAGGACTTTGCTCTCGAAGAGATAGTCATGGCAGACATCAAGGAATTAAAATAACAGAGACAGGACTGGAAGGAGTTCTTTTTGGAATGTTAGATCGTGAGACTGATCGGAAATTGTGTTCTGATATTCATGATACTTTGGGCCATATGCTTTCATCTCTGGCAGTGGAAAAACTCTCTCACTGGTTAATGTTATGTAAGGATGTCCTCGCAGCATCTAGCGGTAAGAATCTGAAAATGACTTGGTAAATGAGTGAAGAAAATATTTATTGTCTCCTCTTTCTATAGAGATTTCTTTGTTTACTGTTAAAGAACTGTTCAGTTTGCAATCTGTTGTGTCTTCAGAAAATCTTTTTTATAAATTATGAAAAGGTCATCTATGATAAATCAACATCTTTTATTTATTTATTTGAATTTATGAGCCACCTAATTCCAATGAACTCTGGACAGCTGATAAATACTTCCTGATTACTTCAGACAACAGTGGAAACAACTTTTAATGATTTTTATTCTTTGGTTTGTGCAGTGGGACTTAATAAATACCTTCATAAATGTGGCTTTTTAAAGAATCTTTAAAATTAATGTTTTGAATGAGATGAAGGAGAAGAGTATTTGGAGAGATGGCCCTTTAAAAATCCTGTGATTCTTAAGTTTTGTGCTACATTAACATTTTTAAATGTTAAAAATCATGTTATTTGAAATTTATCTGTAAAATTAGGTTGTAAGCAAGTGAGCTCAATAACTCATTCATTCATATATTTTTCTAACTTTTAATGGTACATCTATGAAATGTATTTAAATGTTAATTGTGTTTTCCATAACTAGATAACTGACCTCATAATTTCAGTAATTTAGGCATATTTTAAAATATTTCATTGCAACATAATACAATTAGCTAAGATTTGTAGAGCATTAACATGCTTCATTATCTTTGTTGAATTAAAAAGCTGATAGTTTAACTAATTGGCCATATACTTTCTTTACTTTAAATTCTTTCCCTTAGACTAATTTCTTGATTTTTAAAATGTTATTTTGTTCTGAATTGCTTTCATTTGTAACTGAGATATAGTTGCAGAAATTTTCTTTTTATACACTGTGTACAGCACTGCAAATCTTTTTTTCTCCTTTATGTGTCATTGTTTTCTTGGTAGAAATGTTAATATGTTGCCTACATTCTTGACAACTTTATCATGATTTTCAGAGAAACCAGGCTATTTAAAGGCAAAACTGCAATTGTGAAATTGCAATACCTGAAATAACTTGCATTTTATATGAAGGTTCCCATGAGCTATTAGTTTCATTTGGAACCATTAGGTGGGTAATGATCGGAAATAAAGCTGCCTTTGTGATGGCATTCCAATAGCAGATAACAGATAATCAGAGTTGGAAGGGACCTTATAGGTCATCTAGTCCAACCCCCTGCCCAAGCAGGAGACCCTACACCATTTCTGACAAATGGCAGTCCAATCTCTTCTTGAAGGTCTCAAGTGATGACGCTCCCACAACTTCCGAGGGCAAGCTGTTCCATTGGTTGATTGTTCTCACTGTCAGAAAGTTTCTCCTTATTTCCAGGTTAAATCTCTCCTTGTTCAATTTCCATCCATTATTTCTTGTCTGGCACTTTAGATTGCGAATGCTGTCTTCTCTTGTCTTTTCAACTGATGAAAACAATGCTGTTCTTCCAGCCATTTATAGGATATGATTTTAATAACTAATCTTGGAAGTTTCATTCAAGTCTTGGTCCTCAATATGTTGTATAAATAATAAATCTCTTATTACATACAGATATGACAACTACGGCTCCATTAGGAGGTGAAAAAGATGAAGATTTGGAGAAGAAGGATGAAATGGATGATGATATAATGTTTACTACACTGGGTGAAGAAGACAAATCAAAGCCCTCTGTGGCTCCTCGCTGGGCTACTCGAGTATTTGCCGCAGATTGTCTGTGTCGGATTATCATGCTCTGTGAACATGCAAATAAAGCCCACTTTGATCTAGCTCTGGCCCGCTCTGCCAAACTTAGAGACCCTAAAAGTAAAGAATTGTTCATTTTTTCCTCTTCTTTTTCCTTGAATTTGTTTCTTAGCCACTTTCAAGTAACTTGAATGAATATTCAGGTATTATATTTCCTTGATGAAAAATGGATTGCTGTAGCCATATTATGCTTCAAACTGTCTTACATGGTTTATCATAATATAGCGAAATGCATCAGGGATAGGTTACAAGTATGTTTGCCTGCAGGGTTTTTTTGTCTATTCTACACTTTAAATTGCTCATCACAGCACAGGTCGTCCCTGACTTATAACAGTTACCATTTGTAGTGACCATTTGAAGTTACGATGGCACTGAAAAAAAGCAACTTGTGACCATTTTTCACATTTATGACCTTTGCAGCATCCTCATGGTCATGTGAATAAAATTCAGGCGTTTGGCAACTGGTTCATATTTATGACGGTTGCAGTGTCCCTGAGTCATGCGGTCCAGTTTTGTGATCTCTGACAAGCAAAGTCAATGGGCAAACCAGATTCACTTAACAACTGTATTACTAATTTAACAACTGCAATGATTCACTTAATGTGTGGTAAGAAAATTCATAAATGGGGCAAAGCTCACTTAACAAATTTCTCACTTAAAAACATACATTTTGAGCTCAATTGTGGCCATAAGTTGAGGATTATCTTTATGTGCTGCCTATTTAGATTTGTTTTTCTACAACTGAAATTTGGATAAAGTAAGATATTTTAAATTATGTTTTGCTCCTTAATAGTCTCATGTACACTTTTGAATACTGTTCTTATATCATTCCTTCCTGCTTTTGTTCACATTTTGAATATATCTCAGACCATGGTTTATTATAAAACTGTTCATCATAGTTTCCGCAGTCGGGTATAATGCAAAGTATAGTTAATTCAACTGGGAAATCTTCAATGTAAGGAAGATGAAGGTGGTGATACAAAGATGGAAAAAGTCATTTCCTGCGGGCTATCGTGAGCTTTTCAAAATCATCTGAATGACCAATGTGCTTAAAAGTTGGGACACCATACTTAAAATTTGCAGATATTTCCGCTGATATACGTATCTTATAAAACAAGATACTGAATGTCATTTTTGTTAGTGATTTTACAGACTGAGTGTTAAATGGGCCAAGTTATTTATATCCAGTAGTGATTCTTCCTTAACAGAAGACATCTTCTGTTTTCATAGCTCATGCCATATAGTTTTTTCTGATGTTCCCTACAAAAATATAGAGATCTGTATCTCATCAAAAAACTGCCCCAGAGAAACAATTTCCAATAAAATAAATCATCATCATTATAATACACGAAATCTGTATATGAATTTCGTCTTTCTAAACTCAATAAAAATGTATTTAATCTCTAATTGTGATTACAATTTAATATTGAAATAAGGTAAAATGTTAAAAGATGCTAAATGCAATGAAAGCCACGATTGTAGGCTGTTCCTTATTTATGTACTCTTTGAATAGTTCTGTTTTATAGTCTGAATTAAGCTTTTGTTTCAGAAATACTGTGCATTGTTGTTCCCTTAACCAAATTAGCCAGTGCCTTGAATATTAGAAGTGATCACATGCTCTTCTGTGAATAATAGGTACTATAAGCTCGCTAACTATGGTTTAGATTTTTGCAGAACATGAGATGAACTCTGTTCATCAAGAATTTTTAAAAATTCTTGTCCCGAGAAGAACAGTGCATACAAGAAAGGTCCTGGCATTTGAAACAATATTTTTGCTCAGGATTTAGGGGAGGCTTTGCTTTGCTGAAACTGGAGTAAACGCACAACTTGTTTTTTTTCTGAATCAAAGCTGGCCAATTGTGAGTGGCTTTTGAGATAAGTTCTTTTCTTGTTTTTATTTTCAGATGACCTTCTAGTGCTTCATCTCTCGGATCTTATTCGCATGGCATTTATGGCAGCAACTGACCACAGCAATCAGCTGCGAATGGCTGGTCTCCAAACACTTGAAGACATTATCAAGAAATTTGCAGCAGTTCCTGAACCAGAGTTTCCAGGCCATGTAATTCTAGAACAGTATCAAGCTAATGTAAGATAATCTTTGGGTTTTATGCCAGTTTAAAATCATATGGGGAAAGCTTTGTATCTCATCCCAGTATTATTTATGTTGGAGTTTTGAACTGCATACACTGATGCTTTTTGAAAATAGTCAATGGTCTGTATACGTACATGGAGTTCAGTCAGAGCTTTACTCTTGATCTCATTTTGTGAGGATTGATAGATTAGGCGTTTCTTCATAAAAGTTTGGATTATTCCAAGAAAATGTTCCATAATTTATCTTAAATTCATCAATTTAAATGAATGTTGATTTTGCTTGTTTTGTTTTGCTCTAGGTGGATATTGCACGCAGACTATATTGTGTGTCTCAGAAAAACATCATTAATTCATTCATTTGAAGAAATACATAAAAATTTCATGATGTTTTGTTAGAACTGAAAATTTCTATGAGATTTGGCACTTTTATGGGATTTTGACCTTATTAAGAGTTGTTATTCATATTGCATTATAATATGACACATATTCAAAACTAATGTAATTATTTGTATTGCAATTGCAAGGGTCCATTTGAGGGCATAGAGTGGTTTCTGCTTCCCATTGTACCCAGAAGCTTTCAGTTACAAAGTAGAACTTCATATGAAGGTTGCGAGCTGATGCTCTAGATTCCTACAAATTTAAGATAATTACATTTTAAAATATATAGTGTGGGTTATTCTTTCATATCTTTTGTTTCCTATGAATACTTTTTTGAACTTAAAAGAACCTATAGAAGAATATCTGTTATTCTAAGCTGTATCAAATAGTGATCTTGTGTTCTCCATCCTGTCCTAATAGTAGCTCTTTCTTTAATCACCTAAAATGTTAATAAACCTGACTAGAATCCATTCAAATCACATGAAGTGCTCACTTTCTTTTTAACTGACACCATTATCACCATTGCTTATCACAGAAATGTTGGCATAAAGCCTACTTAAAAAAATAACAGTACTTTATGGATCTGTGTGCTCCTAAAATTTGAATCCATTTTCCTCCATGAAAATGACACTGATAGATGAAACAATTAACCTAGACATATAGGAATTCCAATTTTGGTTGCTGAGATACAAGATATTTTGCTTTCTTTCTTCTTTAGGTTGGGGCAGCTTTAAGACCGGCTTTCTCCCAGGATACCCCTTCAGATATAACAGCAAAAGCTTGCCAGGTACAAAGAAAAGCATTAATGCAATTTCAGAAATTCAAAATGCAATATGTGGAAATGAGAGAGAAACGAACAGCAATTTTGACATGTGACTCTAAAAATATACAGTGTAAATATTGCGTCAGTATTTTTCTTAGAACATTACACTGAGAAAGCAACTTGTCTCTTTAAATTTTCTGATCATCTGTATCATCATGCTATTTAACTATCTTTGGAGGTCTTTAAGATATGTGCATAGGGATTTTCCCATTTTGGTGTGAAGGATATTCTTTCTGCTTTTTCAAAAGGCAGGGGATAATTATTTGTATTAATCTCTCCTAGAAAATATATTCTCGTTTCTTTTGTTTCAGCCTTTCTGTCTTTCGCTGAGATGAGATTTGAATTGAATTGATATGTTATTGGATCCATGCTTTCATTGATTTTTAGGTATGCAGTGCTTGGATTGGAAGTGGCGTAGTAAGTGACCTTAATGACCTCCGTCGTGTTCACAATCTTCTTGTCTCTTCTTTGGACAAAGTACAAACAGGAAAAGGGTCTTCCAGCCAGCTATATAGGGAGAGTGCCACTACGATGGAAAAACTGGCAGTACTCAAAGCCTGGGCAGAGGTAAATGTTTAGCAATTATCATCTAGCAATTAGTTATTCTAGCTTTCCTGTGGCATTCAGTGCAAATACTCTGTAGTTCCCTGCTGTAACTCTCTTGATTTCATAGCATAGAAATGCAGCCAAAATTAGCTAATTAACAAATTCACACTTGCTTGCTCCTATTACAAGCAACATCTTTTTTTTTTTAGGTTTTAAGCATAAAACAATTACTTGAGTGATACTTGGAAGATATTCAGCCTAGCTGAGTACTTCCACTGGCAGAATGGGGGAGGAAGATATCACCATTAGTTCTCTTCTTGCTAGCAGTACTCAATTCCAATTCTGAGTCTGAGTCTGTTCCATAGGGTTGGATAACACTCTGAAATAGCGACAGTGGTTTTTGAGGTTGCACAGAAAGAATAATTATTGCTTAAAGTTGTGGCCATTATGATTCACACATAGGTTCTATATTAGCTCCCTCAATTTAAAAGCTTCTGCTTCTCTTCTAATTTGCTTCAACGAGAGGTACCAGCTTCATCTTTTATTTCTCCAGATGTCCAGCTGGTCAATGATTAGTCTCCAATGTGACATTACATTAGGAGTCAATATTTCTCAAGGCAGAAATGTCAGTTATGTCAACAATCAACAAGCAGCCTAGCTGCACAGCTCAAAACTGCAAGGCCAAAACACCATTAAAACGTAGGAAATGTGGTGAAAATAACTTTCAGATTTAAACTGCATAAACTGTCATGTTGACAGAGCGAAAAAAGCTACTATAACGTCAACATGTTTCACATTGTTAGAATTGATATGGCTCCTAGTTTCCAGCTTGACTATCTCGACCAGAGTAGGTTTGAGCCTTCTAGCTATCTGGCATGTACTTCTGAACAGCAGATATTTTGAAATAGCACAGTCTTTTCTCAAGATACCATCACTCATGCAAAGTTTGCTCCCATTACTGGAATTATGATAGGCACTACAGATAGGTCTCATCCAGAGAACAGTAAGATCACTCTACTGATAAGTTGCATGTTAGTGCAGTTCCCTAGAACCTAGTGACTATATGTCATTTTGTGCCTTCTTTTGTAGCAGCTATGCACACTTTTATGGTAGAATAAGGCAATGTATTGGCTGGCTTCTTGAGGCACTGGCAATGACAATGCACAAATGGAAACGTCATGTTTTAGTCCTAGCCATCTGCTTCTCTTACTGGGGTACCCTAATAATAGGACACATAACAGTACATAATCAATAATAAACTCTGCACCATCTATATTAACAATTATTCTTTCCTGTTTCAGCAGAAGTGCTTTGGTTATTAATCTTTAGAAAATAAGTTCTAGTTCATTGTCTCCAAAGTTTCTTGTATTTATTTCCTCTTGTTTTTATGGATTCTGTGGATGTCACCAGAATCATTCAGGACAGATCTCATGCTATTCTATAGATGCTGCAAGGTCATCTTAATCAGGAGGCCATCAGCTTTTCCCATTGCCAGTTTGATCTAGTGGTTAAGGCACCAGACTAGAAAATGGGAACCACGAATTCTAGTCCCATATTAACCATGAAAGCCAGCCAAGAGACCTTGGGTCAGTCATTCTCTGTCTCAGCCCAACTCAACTCACAGGGTTGTTGGGGGGGAAAGGGAGGAGGAAGGTGTGCATATGTTGACCTCCTTGAGTTATTTGTACAACTAGTAAAGGTTGGATACAAATAAATAAATAAATTACTCCCCAGGAAAATATTTGTCTCCCATCTAGACCAGATCTGAATAATTTGACTGACCATTTAGATGGGACTACTTTCAAATGTATGAATTAAGTTATGGTCTTTCAGCTAAAGATCAATTCTGTGGCAATTTCAATAGCCCTAATGGATGGCTTTAGTGTCTTTTCTTCACCCAATTATAATACAGTTTTGAAAAGGTTTTATCAAATTTGTTTCTCCATAGTGTATCTCCCCTGTGTAACAGTTCTGTCCAGTATTATCCATGTTGGTATTGCTTGTTGGTCTCCAGAATATGCCTTTTTCATTTTTTTTGACATGGCATAGCAGAGTTTGGCACAACATTTTGTCTATGTCCTTCATTCAGATGGGCCTTTGATTTTTTTCATAAGGACAAGGTTGTTGTTTATGTAGAGATTTTTTTTTTGGCCCAAAGACAAGTCTGAATTTGTGCCATGTTTTTTCAAACCCTATTGAAATGTCTTTTCCCAGATTCTCGATCCTGAATGGACTATATGGCATCTTGTGTTTCTTAGAACTTATAGCCTCTATAAGGTGGTCACTTTCATAATTTAGTCATAGGAAAAGCACTTCATTTTATTTCTAACATTTTGCTAACTGACTCAGTCACTGCCAGACTTCATTATGATCTAAATAACATCCATATTCTGCTGTTCGGAGTTGTTTGATGAGGATAGTAAATCTTAAACCGTTTTAGAGAAGTTTAATGTTGCCTGAAATCTGCCTTCCTTCTTCTGATTGAAATCACCCATGTTTATCAGCACTGTCCATTGGATGCACAGCTTCCGAAAGCTAGCCTATGTCCTGTATTGCACACTTCACTTCCCCAGATTATATTAACATGCTAATGAGGTGGACTGTATGTATTATACAGATTGCAATGAAGAATTGGTTACTGATTTTTTCAGTGAACTCAAGTTCTGTAAATTTCCAGTCTTGCTGCCCTCTATACTTAGGTTTGAATTTAGTTTATCTTCATGCTGATCTTTCAAAATTTGATCCCCCGCTGGAGATCTTGAGAATTAAGAATAAAGACAGTGGTGGCGGGGAGAGTTCTGCTTTTCAATAAAGTGTGTTATGGTATATTGTAGAGATCTTACCAAAATCCTAAGCTCCTTTAGGATTTTCTCTTATACATTTTCATTTAAAAAATTTTAATACAGCAATTTTGAAAGTTTTTTTTTTTTATTTCATGGTTGCGGAGCCTTTAAATTAAACTGAAATATACTGCCATGATGCTTTAAGCCCATGTAAATCTCCTAAGAAATGTTAGAGTTGTTCATTTCTTCCACAGAATTTAATGCACACATAAAGCACAACAATTGGGAGTTAGCATGATATGGTATGCAAAGTTTTAAAATACATTGCAGGTACAGACTTGCTGGCTGATCTTAGGTAACATTCTTTTCTGAGCGTCTCTTCTCTGAATGCCAAACAGTCAAGAAAATAATGAGTTATTTTCCTGGATTGTGATGAGAACGAAAATCGGAGGACTTGTAATTTGTCTGATGAAAAATGTAATTACTATTTTTTTTGTGTTAGTCAATTGTTTTATACACTTTCTTTACAGTATATAATATAATGGTACTAGTAAAACTAATTCAGATCACCTAAATTCTCTTTTTAAAGTTTTTTTTTTTATGTTATCAGAGTTCAGCATGTACTCTATTTAATGATATGTAAGACATATTTTATCTTCTCTACACACTTAGTAATATGTTGCATGCGCTTTACCAAAAGGTATATGTTGTAGCTATGAAGATTAAGAAAGAAGCAGAGACCAAACCAAAGAAAGCAGCAAAAAATGGAGGAGATGATGACGATGATGATTATGGCACAGTAGATGAACTGCCACCAGATAGTCTGATAACACTTGTTCAACCAGAGCTGCCCACTCTCAGCCGTCTCTGGTTAGCTGCCCTCAAAGACTATGCCCTTTTGACATTACCAGCTGAATTTGCAAGTCAGCTTCCTCCAGACGGTAAGGCATGAAAATTTTATTCAGAATCCAGTTGCAAAGGTAAAAAGCAGAAAACTCAACATTATACCAATTCATTTGCCTCTGCTGTCCTTTTTGACATGATAGAACATTGCAAAAAATTGGTCAAAAGGATTTGGGCCAGGGGTGGTGGGATGCTACCGGTTCTGCCCGGCTCCATAGAACCGGTAGCTCTGAAGAGCAGCAGACACTGAACCGGTTCTGTGTTTGCTGCTGTTTGGCCCACCCACCCGTCCGGGCTCTTACCTGTCTTTTATTTCCTGCTTTTTCAACTTCAGCTGCTTTGTGCGGCACAGCTGAGGTTGAAAAAGCAGGAAAGAAGTGGCTTTCCAAATGTTGCACACCTGTGCAAAGCTAAAGAGTTTTTTACATGTGTGCGCAGCGCTTGCAAGCAAACACAAAACATAGTTACCAAACCGGTAGTAACACCGGTTGAATCCCACCACTGATTTGGGCAGAGAAGGAAGGTGCAGCAAAAATATCATTCCTAATTCCTTCTAAACTGCCATTTATGAGTTAGTTACTTAGCACTTGCATGTATCAGCAGTATATTTATATCATCTCCCTTTTAAGTATAGTGCTTTGAAATTCATTTTAGTCATGTCTTAATCTTCAAGTCCTCATGCATGAAGCAGTTTGGTAAACATAAGTGATACCACTAGGTCAATGTTTCTGATAATTTGACAATCGTTATGATATACTGGAATCATATTAAGCAGCCATGTCATGAATCCTGTCTTTATATAAGCTACAGCTATTTGTGTTATATCACTAATGTCCCCACATGTATTAGTAGCCACCCAAAATGCTTACATTTACAAAGGTTCTGTTCCAATGTAAAGGATGGATATCTGGATATCAAGCCATTACTTAATTAGAGCCTTTGATCAGCCACAAGACTTCTCACAGCACTTGTTTTTGTAATGTACTTGAATTTGCTTCTTTTTTTGCCTTGCTTAGCCACAGTGGAACTTGCTAGGTTGTGGGGCTTTGTCTGGCTTTTTTATGGTGCTTAGCCTTATTCCTTGGGACTGCTCATTGACCCTCATTTGTGCCTCATGGCTCATCCCAGTTTCTTCATTCCAAATTGGTCTTTCACAATCTCAGTAAAGGGGCTGCTTGATTTTTCTGCTGGTTGCTCGCAAACTACTTAGCAGTCAGAGCAAGCTTGAGAGGTCTGTGAACAATCATCCACTGTTGCAATTGAGAATTTGGCGCCATCAGCCTGCAGGCAACAGTTGCAGCCATTGGCACAATCCAGGCTCCACTGAATGCTAGTAGTACCGTTTGTAAATGGCTCGCAGTTAACACTGTTGGACCCTGGTGCTGTCCAGGGTCACTTTGAGGAAACTGGAGAGCCAGCTTCTAATAATGGATTGAGATTGTGACAGAGCTACACAAGCCAGCATGAGCCACATGGTGTGAAAAGGCGAGACACTCTATTACAAACCAAGCAAGATACTTTTGAGGAGAAAGCTGCCGCACAAAAGCTGTTAGGAACTTTGTATCTGGACTGACTCAGTGAAAATATTTACACATATGCTGAAATCCCCAATTATCTAAAGTGGGTGTGTGAACCATGCAGGAGGGGAAACCCACCTGTATTGTAAAGATCCCCTTGACTTTGGCATGAGTCAACAGAACTGTGTAGGTTTTTGAGAACAGCGTGATACTGTAGTGATTTTCCACTGTTGCCTTCCAAGGTATTTTTTTGATAGCTCATGTTAGCTTATAAGCCTATATATATAAACTATCTCCCATCCTAGAACCAAGGCGGTCCAGCTTTGTTTGTCTTCTAAATCCAGACGAGGGATCAGGTGCCTCTGTGTCTTGAGTGATATATTACAAACATGTATTAAAATTATACTATAATTGAAATTGTCTCTATCCCTTATTAAAATGCATTATGATTCTTTTTACAGGGGGAGCATTTTACACTCCTGAGACTATTGATACAGCTAGACTGCATTATCGGAATTCATGGACCCCAATTTTACATGCAGTTGCACTATGGCTAAACAGTACAGGGTTTAATGCCTGTGAAACAACAGAAGATGCCTCAGCAGCAACACCTCCACAAAAGCATGCCACACCCATTATGTTAAACCCAGCGTCAGAAACGCCACCTTCCACCAAAACTTTGCAAGAAATAAATAAAGATAGAATGCATTTGATTTTAGGTAATGCTTTTCAGTCTATTACAGAAGTCTTACGATCACAATTGAGCCCAAAATTTATGTTGCTAGGTGAGAAATGTGTTGAGTGACTTTTACCCCATTTTATGACTTATCTTGCCACAGTTGTTAAGTGAATTACTGCAGTTGTTGAATTAGGAACTCAGTTGTGAAGTGAAGCTGGTTTTCCCCATTGACTTTACTTGTCAGAAGGTCGCAAAAGGTAATCACATGACTCAGGGACACTGCAAACTGTCGTACATGTGAGTCAGTTGTCAAGCATCCAAATGTAAATCACATGACCATGGGGATGCTGCAACGGTTATAAATGTGAACAATGATCCTAAATAACTTTTTTCAGCGTTGTTGCAACTTCAAACAGTCACTAAGTGAACTGTTGTGAGTTGAGGACTACCTGTAGTGTATCCGTTGTTTTATCACACATTACCAAATAACAGGATTGTTATTTTTAGGTTTATGGCAGTACTAGAACAGAACTATTCTAGCTTCAAAAATACCCAGAGCTTTCTTTATAGTATGCAACACTGTCTTGCTGAAACTAAAAACTCAACATTTAATATACAGCTTCTGCAAAACTATTAGGACCCGTACTTCATCTATGCCTTAAAATCTGCAAAAAATACTATTTCACTCCTTATAAACTTAAATAAATTTTCTCCCCAGGTGTTAGCATACAGTTTCTATGTTCTCCTCGACCAGAAGAGCCTGTCGAACATGTCATGTCCTGCTTGCAAGCAGTGCACACTTTACTTGATTCCTCTTGTGCTAGAACCCATATTGCAGAAGATCAGGTATGTGGCAGACAAATGATTATAGTCCATTAAGCATGCAGAAAATTGAACAGATTATTTGAAAATGAAATTAAAGGAAAATGTAATTTTCATGGACTGGAAACGCTTAGTGGATGTCTTCCCTTATTGTTCTTATTAATAGCTATTAAGAAAAAAAATGTAATCAAATAAGTCATTATTTTGGACCTCCAACAATTAAATGCTAACCAAGACATTAAAAGAAAACCAATGAAAAGTAATGGTTAAAGATAAATGAGTAAATCAACGCATATATTATTCCCCACAGCAAGGAGAAGCAGAGGTGGTTCACTTGATTCTTTTATCCAAAGCAGATAATATATTTGTTTCCATTTGGAAGTTGCATCCAGATTTGTGCTTGCAATGGAAAAAAAAATGAAATTTTAATTTTGTTTTGCTGATTAGATAGGCTTGTTGCTACCGAAATGGCTAGTATATAATGTTGTATAAAAGTAAAACGTTGAAGTTGTAATATTGTTATCTTTTACTATGCTAAAGAGAGTTGGAAGTCAATGCCTTTTTATTTCTTTTTCCCTCTTTATTCGATATTTTCTTTTTTCTTCCCCCCAGTTTTTTATTACTTTTTTAAATTTCTCTTTGTATTTTATACTTTGATAAATGAATACAAATGTATTTTAAAAAATGGAAAAGAATATTGAAAACATCATTTTTGAAGCTCTGCTTACAATTAATTTTTTAAGCTACTTGGTGTCGAACTTTTGAGTGTGCTCCATCGACTCTTGTTGACCTGCAATCCTCCTTCAGTTCAACTCCTAGTTACAGAAGTTGTGCAACAGATTATAAGAGCTGCTCAAGATCATTTACAAGAAAAAAGAAATACATTGAGTAAGAAATACTTGTTGTTTTTCATGTTACAGATGTCCAGATTAGAGAAATAATGAGACAGGCTATATAAAACTGTCTTCTTGGCTTAACTGACCTTATTGGCTTAACTGACCAATGTCTGCAGTGGTCCTGGATGTTCATTTTTGAATTTACAAAATATTTAAAATACGTCCAGGTACATTTGCAGGATTAAAAAGAAATATATTTAATAAAATACTTTTTACTCTGAAAAGCTGCAATATGTCATGTATGACGTTTTAAATTTATTTGGACTTGTGTATGTCAGCTAATTAAAATATAGATTTAATAGCATCTATACATAAGTTCAAATTTAAAATAAATTAAGAGAAAAGAGTAGAAAGTAAGAAAGTTGAAAAACAAACCCAGATCACTGCCAAGTTATAAGCCTGACTGTTTATTTGGAATTCTAAGGGAAGTTGTTCATGAGAAGATTTGATGTCCTCTCATGATTTTTGTATCCTATATGTGTTTAACTTCATCGGTATGAGGTGAATTACTATGTAAAATATAAGAAAAACAGTTGAAAATGTTGAAAACATTTTTATTGTCCTTTTTGTCAGAAAATAAATCTGTCACATTTAACTTTGTATGTGCAGGTTTGTGTATATTTTTTTCGTTATTTGCTTGTTTTTTTAACTTGCAGGGGAAATAAGAATAAAAAGCTTTTCTTAATGGAATAATGTGATATGCATTGATGCAATTTATGATAGAAGCAAAGAAAAAAAAGGTGGGGTCTTGCAGTGTTTATCTCTTACTGATTTAAAAGGGAATGTATTCATACCATCTCATTTTTTAATTTCCATAGTAGCATAAACTTCTGTGATATCTCATCCTGATTTTAGTAGTTTCTATAAAAAAATAGAAAACAAATGCAATCTGTAAGCTTTTGACTACTAATGAGTTTCAGTTGATTGCTTCATTTAAACTTAAGGTTTTAACATGTACATTTGGTAGCATTTTCTAAAATGTCTGCCATGAATTTCATATTACTATATTATTACTCCATTTTTTTTGTCTTTCTTAGATGAAGAAGATGCGAAAGAAAAAGACGGTAGCTGTGGGCTGGGTGAAGGAGGAGACAGCGGTGGTCTTGTGCCAGGAAAATCTCTTGTATTTGCTGCTATGGAACTGCTAATGTTTATCCTTGTGCGACACATGCCACATTTGAGCACAAAAATGTCAGATTCTCCAAGTCATTCTTTCAGCAAAATCCAGCTCCCAGAAGAAAGTGCTCGTCTCGTGGCTGCCACCATTGCCATCCTGTCTGATCTACCCACTCTTTGTTCCCCAGCTGGTAGTATAATAGATCTTTCTTAAAATTTAATCAGTGGGTTCCACAAAATGTTAATTTAAAAAACCCCACATTTAAACAAAACAAAGTGCATGTAGAGTATTTAAGGAGGCAGCGGGAGTTCAGGAAGTGGTGCTGCGTATGACACTTAATAATGGACAGAACGTTGCTTGGTGATAGAGTGGACAAAAACAAGCATAAAAATCTAAAACCGATTTTAAGATGCGTTTTAGTTTAGTTTAGTTTATTGTCACTGCACCTTGTACAACGAAATTAAATATCATCTTCAGTGTACATTATGACTATGAAAATAAACACAAATACACATCCTTCATATTCTATACATTGAATTGAAAACCCTTGATATTTATTCTTATTCTATGGGCCTTTGAGACATTTGAGTAGGCTTAAGTTTGTCTTTTCTTTTTTAAGAGTCCTAAATTCCTTCATTTCAGTTCTGGCATTTCCTTTTCTTTAGGACAATATTTGTTACACCTTAAAAAGGGGACATTAACCACATTCACTTCCTCCTACTACTTTTCCATGACATATCTTTTATGTACATTTTTTGCCATGTGTCCACTTTCCTGTATTTCCTTGTTGGTTAATATTTAATAGGACTAATCAATTATCTGAATTGGTCTGTGTAAGTGCGTGCATAATCATTTAGTTAGCACTTCCCTAAATCAAACACATCTTTCCAGCATTCTTGCATAATCTCAGACAAAAGATTTAATTTCTTTAAAGAGTTGCTAACAAATGTATCAATGCACCTTTGAAATCATACTGGATAGGGTGGCACTGCCTCAAACAGACTCGGTGTACAATATGGAGGTTCTCCTGGAGCCACATCTCTTGCTTGAAAAGAGCAGATGGCAGCTATGCCAGAGCCTTTATACAATTCCATATTGTATGCCAGTTGTGCCTATTCCTGGACCTTTACAGTCACTCATGCCCTGGTCACTTGAAAGAATTGAATGGATTACTGTAATGTGCTTTACATGGGGATGCCCTTGGAGAGCATTTGGAATCTGTAGCTGGTACAGAATGCATCAACATGAAGTTATATGTCTTTCTCAATCAGTGCATGTTATACCTCTGCTCTCTAGCTACAGTTCAGTTCAAGATGATGATTGTGACCTATAAAGCCCTCTATGGCAGCGGTCTCCAGCTTTTCTGGTTTTGTGGACTGAGGGGGGGGAGAGAGGATGATAATTCCATGTGAGTGGTGGGCAAGCGCACACAACTCCATTTGTTCAAGCGGCTGGTATGTGTGCCTATCACGCACCAAATGGAGCTGCACGCACATGCTTGTGCACTTGCTTACTGTGTGCACCAATGGAGCTGCATGCACATATTTGAACAGGCCACGGCCCAGGGTTGGTGACCTCGGCTCTGTGGCATTGAACCAGGTAATTTGAGAGGCTGCCTCTCCCCAGTAACATCTACCCGCTATCGGGAGAGGCATGTTACAGGTCCCCTTCATGAAAAAAGTTTCAATTGACAGGATCCAGGAAGAAAGCTTTTTATGCCATGATAAAAAGGACCTGTGGACCATCATTGCCCCAGACAATGGGCCCTAATTCCCCCTCTCTCCCTCCAACCCACCTTTAGGAATACCCTGAAGACATGGTTCTACTGCCATGTCTGGAAACATGGCAATAATGGGGAGTGTTTGCAATGGCTGTGTTGAGCTGATGACAATAAATTCTGCCCCTGATCATGATTTTGATTGATTATGGTTTTTATATATTTGCATATTGGTTTTGTTAACTTGTTTTGCTGGGTTGTTCGAGTGTTGTTTACCTGTTGTGATCTGCCCAGAGTCACTTAGATGAGATAGGTAATCAGACAAATTGAACGAATGAATGAAAATTTTCACCAAAAGAGCCGAGTACGGTAGTTACTCATGAATACTTTGCTTCTGGCATTGATCATACCTCTTACGCATTCTGAAAGTATCTGGTTTATGTTTATGTTTTAGGATCTATGACTATATTGCCCACTATCCTCTTCCTAATAATACAAGTGTTGAAAGATACTGCTGTAAAAACTGTGGGAAATCAGGTCCTACCACCAGTCAGTGCAGCACTTCAGGGACTGAAAAATATAGTAACCCTTCCAATGACCATGAATGAGAATATTCATAAACAGTGGACAAATCTTATCCGCAGCACCCTAGCCTCAATCTTGGAATACTCTCAGCCAGGTAATTTTCATGCTATCACTGGAGTTCTTTTGTAAAAAGAAGCAAAGCTAGTGGTTTGCATTAGGAAATGAATCTGGTACAATTATGTCACTATACCGCATGTTTTAGATTTATAGAAAAAAGTATGGAAATCAAGGCAAATAGTATTGTATTCACAGTTTTTGATGGAACAGAGTTCAGAATCTTCCTTAATGCCTAGAGTATTTAATTTTTCCATATATGCTGAAGGAATTCACATGTATATGAAATTCTGCATTTCATTAGGCGAGAGTGATTAATCAAATTCAGCAAGTATTGTAGAATGTCACTTTTAAAAATTCATATTGTTCAATTCACTCAAAGCTGTTTTTTCACAAAGTTAACAAAATATGTTCTTACTGTCTTAGGACCACTTTCATTTTCATTATACCATTATTATTTAATCATAAAATATATATTTGGATAGATTTTAAGGATAGAATCCTTAAAAGATTGTTATTTTTGAAATTAGGAACATTGCATATTTATCAACATCTTCATTTTTGAAAATAGCAGTTATATTTCCCTGTTCCCTGTTTGGTATAAGTTTTCAGCATCTTTTTGGTTTTTCCCCCCCCCAGAAGCCTCCAAGCCTACTTTAGATGAAGTAAGTATGCTTACTGCAATTACGCTCTTCCTTTGGTCTGCAAGCACTGAAATAATTGGAGTTCAAGCATTGCAAAATGGCTGCATTAACAGATTTAAAACAGCATTGAATTCATCTGATCCTTGGGTGAGTAAGTCATTTAGCTTTTATCCATTTATATATTATTTTACATATATGTTATTGTCAGTACCATATCATGATCAGATTGTTCTCTGGCCTTGAGTTCTTTGCAGCAGCTTCCCAAAGGACCTACAGGATTTGATCAGTTTTCAAAAACAAATACAGGTTCCTTCTGGAACTAACAGGTTCTAATAGATGCTAATATTGGACCCTTTTAGTTTCAGAAGGCACCCGTATTTGTTTTTGAAGCTCTGATGCATGGTCTAGCTTCTGCCTAGAATAATTTTATTTTAGAATAAAATAAAATAAAACAATACAACAAAGCAACTTAAAAAAATAAAGATTTCTGGTGTATGCTTCGTTAACTTGACATACTTACCCTAAAAATTAAAACTGAATTTTATTTTTTATAATTTAATAAAATTAGATACTGGAGGATTAGAATTTTTTTAAAAAATGACAACCCTGTTTATCTGAGAAAAACTTCTGTATCCATTGCGACATTAATGTTAATGTTGTTGAAAAAGGATCATATTGGATAGAATGCTTTAGATGAGAATGTGTATTTATATTATTTATAGACTGTATTTATAGGCTGAATACTATGTGACCTCTCCAAAAATCCTTTTTACTATGACTAGTTAGGCTTTTAAAAAAGCATTTCATTGAATCCAATGAGATTAGACTTGTATGTGTCATGAATGAAGTATGTAATTTTTGACCCACAGAAAGATAAGCTAAAGAAAAGCTTTCATAATGGAAAGGTTTGCAAGTTAGATAATAAATGTGGGTCCATTGTTACAATTTTATTTGCCTTTTTTCTTTTAACATTACCTGAGTGTGATATTTTATGGCAAATTCTTACTAACACATCTATATTTATATATTGCGGTTAGGTTCAAGCCAAATGTTACCATCTTCTACTTTCTATATTTCAACATACAAACCGTGCTCTCTCTACCCCATATATACATTCCCTGGCACCAATAATGGTTGAGAAACTGAAAGGTGTGGAGAAAAACCGTCCAAACAACAAAACAGAACTCTTAGCAATCCAAGAGGGAATTAAAGTTCTTGAAACACTGGTTGCTCTCGGTGAAGAGCAGAATAGTAAGTACCTTGATTGTGAATTACCATACTTGTCTTGTTAGCATGCAGTAAAAGCTTGAAGCGTTCTTGGAAACAATGGATTAAATATATTTCACATTGTATCACACATTTGGTTAAGTGCAGCACTTAACCTCTCTTTCCTAAATTCGAGGCAGTGATATTCCAAGTATATTGTGCAATATTCTGACTGGAGCCATCTAGAGCAATTAAAATTCTGGGAAACAAAGTTAACTGGAGCTAGATCATTCTAACGCTTAGCATCTGCTCTGTGAGCTATTTGAGGAAAAACAATGTCCTTTGGATTTTAAGGATACCTATTAATCTAATCAGCAAAAAACCCAAAAAAGATTCTAGTTTGCAGTATATTGCCCTAAAACCTAGAATTTCTAATAAATAATTTCTATGTAAAAGTTATCATGTTTACAAATTATCATCCTGCTATGGAAATGTAGTTAGATGGGTGGATATACCCTTCTCATTTAAATAGGTGTATTTGTCTTCAAATGCATGAGACAACTAGGCATATATATACATATATACTGAAGAGAGCCTCTCCGCATTCTTGAGAAAACATCTCTCTGTGGCAACCGATCTGAGATATGAGGTTATGATATTCTAATTCTCTTATCCATGTGACAGATTCAAATAGCATATCTATAAAAGTCACCTCCTCTTCAGTATATTGCTAAATGTAGTTTTATTCTATAAATATCTCCATGGTAACCAAGCATTTTAGAGAAATATTTTCTAGACTAGAACTGAGCACATTACTGAATGATGTGACGGCCCTAAAAATAGTTGTTCTGTTCTCTACCACTGGGCATTTTTAAATATTATCAAGAAGAAATGTATTGTCATTATTTTGGAGATGTTTATTTTCTAACAGTAATATATCAACATGCTGAAGATATCCTACATTGTCACTCTTGAATTTTAATTAGTTTAACTGATTTCTTTCCCCCCCACTCAGGAGTACAATTGCTTGCTCTTCTTGTCCCTACACTCATATCTTATTTACTGAATGAAAATGCCTTCTCTTCTGCATCCCTGGTATCAAAAGAACTTCATGAATTTGCTCTCCAGGATCTCACCCGCATTGGACCCCTTTATCCTCTTGCATTTAAGACAGTAATGGGAGCAGCTCCTGAACTGAAAGCACGACTGGAAACTGCAGTACGAGCAAGTCAGGCAAGCAAAGCAAAGGCAGCTGCCAGGCAACCACCACCCACAGTACATTCCACGCCAACAATTAAACTTAAAACTAGCTTTTTCTGATTCTTGTTGGAACAATCATAAAACATCAAGAAATACATCATTCCTTCTGTGCTGCTGTATATCTCATACTCTATTTCTCATTGTTTGTCAACAGGCTCTGCATTAGCAATGTATGTTTCTAGGGGATTGTTGCATTAACGGTTTGAAATCTGCGCATTGCAAAAAGATGTGATATCTGGATGTATATAGATTTTTATGAAATGGAGTAAGCTGACCATCTGAGGTTGTGTTAAACTGTCTCATTTAACAATGTATTTTATGTAGTCTTTGTCTTTCTTTTTAGAATGTTGAGTTCTCGTTAATTCTGAAAGTTGGGTATATATTTTCCATAGGCACTATCTGTGGAATCTTGTGAACTACACTGCTTCCCTATACAGCATTTTAAAAAGGAGCAATAGCAGTATATCGGTTGTCTCAGTGAAAGCAATTTGAGGTGGAATTTAAAAATAGTAAAATATACAGTCTTGCATATGGTTCTCCAGTAGCATCTACTACCTCCTATCCAGCTATAAATGAAGCACCTAAATGTATTCCCTTTGTGCATCTAGTTATTAAAGATAAAGATTCCCAAAGTACAGGATCATTTACTAAAACATTGCTTACATTTGGAGAAGAGACGACAATCCAGTTCTTCTAGTGTACAAACATTTTCTCTCAGACTTAAAAATAATTTGTAGGGCAGCGCCATTAAATTATGGCTAAATCCTTCTCATTTGCCCCACCCCCTTTGGTTAAAATTTTTGTTATAACAGAATACCATTCAATTTCTCTTTGAATTGTATCTTCTTCATAAAGTATGGAGTGGGTACTATTTTGTAATAAACCAAGAGATACTTTTGAATGGGTTTTTGCCACGTATAGGCATAAACAAAATAGTCTGCATTGAATGATAAAGAAGATATCTACTCTACTTATTTTGTAGATGCACTTGAACTGTGAAGCATATTTCTATGTCTAAAAACAATTCAGCAAATAGAAATGCCTTCATTGGAGAGCATGATCTGATGGTTCATTTTACTCTGATATTAGAGCATGGTCTTTAAGTTGAAGACTGTACATATTCAGACTTTATCAACACAATGCTCATAGTCTGAGCATTCTCCAATTTAATTTTCTCCTTAAAAGACTTTTCATGCAGGGGTTAAGAACAGTCTGGTTTGTGAGGCTCTGCTATGTGAGGTCAGGCCTCTAAATTACAAGTTTTTCTGAAGGGCAGGATTGTTCTCTTCTCACAGATTGCTATCTGTTTGCAAAAATGGTGTTTGTGTTCTCAGAATGATTTTCATGAGGAAACCTGGCTGGCCAGGATTTTATTTTATTTTATTTTTATGGCAAAAGTCAACTCAAAGCTGAACTCCCTAAAAACATTTTGTGACTTACAATGGAAAGACTAACAAGGTGAGGTATAAACAGGACATTGGTTAGACTTGCTAGAATGTATATGAAGCTTAGACCAACATATCTAAAGATCATGGAAGAGGGGAAGGCTGTAGGTCTAGAATTATATTTAACAGTAGCTGTTCTTCCCCTAAAATATAGTTACAGTACAGTTCACAGGTTGCTGAATTGGGATGGTATAAAAGCACCAACAAATGAATATATATCACACGTCTACTCCTAGAATAAGAGAGTAGTTCAGAACAGAGATTGGAGTAGATCTATGTCTCCTGAACTAATATTTTTGATCATATTCTTTTATTATCATTAAGCTACTTAAAGCCATTTTCATGACACATATGAAAATCCCGCTCTAATTCTACCTGTTGTAAGATTCAAATTGCAACAAACCATATATATTGCAAAACAACAAAATTGGTTTTTCTGTAAGAAAACAGTGGCTGCTTAATGAAAAAAATTGTCATTTTTCCTGTTATACCTTAATTTTTTATTTAATATTTCTTAATTGTTTAATATTTAATTGTTTAATATTTCTTACTTTAAAAGGGAGCAGTAGAATTGGTATATATTTATGGTCACTATTATTTTTTCAACTGCTAGAAATTAATATTGATAACTAATTACATTTTAAAGAAATTGTAATAAATTAAACACTGTAATTATTCAAGTTTTATTTATTACAATAAACTCTCTAATGCAACTGTATGCAAAATTTAGAGGCTCTTCATCAAACTATAAGTTTGAGAAGAAGCTGAAACAATATTTCTATAAATTTGAATGCATGCTCAACATTCAAGTGCTGCTGTTTATATTTTCAAAATAAGAAGACAATGAATATAGTAGGTACAAAAAGGTTGACTGACCTTTCTGTCACTATTTTGTAATGTCTCCTTTGGGAGAAATAATAGTTACCATTTTGTGTGTGTGTAGTCAACCAGTCTTTCTAGTCTTGTGTTGCTATTTTTCCCCTACTTTTCTTCTTTCTTAGGTCCTACACATTTGAGATGTCCCCAGATTTTCTATTATATTCAAAATCTAAGGGTTGTGAAAGCCATTCCAAAACCCTTGTTTTCCTTTCCTGCGAGCATTGCACAGTTAATTCCTGCAATTGTAGAACCTTAAAGTATGTCTTTATTGATACAAAAAGTTAGCTAAGATTACCCTGATTGAGCTTCGGTATGCAAAATATGTATCAGCATACTCTTCCATTAGTTTTAGAATCCAAATTCACGACAGTGGCAAGTTTGTTGCAACAGTACATGAAGCTGGAATGATCCAATTGTAAAACAAAAGAGATGAATGTGCAGGGTTTTATTTATTTTGCCATCTTTTCTTTACCGAACTCTAATATGAAGTGTTCCTGGAAGAAGAAGAAAAACCCAGAAAGAGAGGCTAAGGCATGAAGAACAATGAGAACTCATAAATACTTCAGTTCTTTATAAGCCTAGTAAGTAAACCTATAACATTTTGTAATAAACATGATCAATTTTATTTTTATATTTTTGCTGAATTTGGGAGTCAAAATCCCTGAAGGGAATTAATTGGGGGAAGCATCGTAGAAAAAACGCGTGGTAGGCAACACAAAATACTGTATAGGTATATCATTTTTCAAATGTAATGTAAAGCAAAAATAGTTAAAACCAGGAGTCCTTTTTTAATTGGAGACATATTTTCTTCATTTACCTTTTCTCACTAATCAGAATTGCAATATTTGCTAAAGATAAGCAAACTAATTGTTGTGATTAGCTTCTCTGCTGTCTGCCAACCTCTATGTCTCATTTGTTTTTTTTAGATTCTTCTAACTAGAATAAATAGGATTTTTATGCTGCAAAGCCTTTATGGATGCTATGACATTATTTTCAAGAATGCAGTGAGGCCACACAATCATTTTTAGAAAACTGGGTATACATAGCCCAACAAATATGCCCACCTGTTAAGAGGGCAGGACAGGGAGTAGCTACATTGGCTTCTAACTAGCTATGCCCATAATTGCACTCTTTTTTAAAAAAGAATTTTATGTCAAGCCCTGTGAGGGCAAAATTAGGAAACAAGGATTACTTGGACTTATGGCAAGATCTTTATGGTTAGTAGGGAAATGTAACCGAGTTTTAAAGCCTATCAAAGTAATACTCATGCACAACTTACATTTGGTGTAATTAGATAGAATTCTTTTAAGTTTCTTTTTGACACTCTCCCCATCACCAGGACTCGGGAATCTCTTCTGTACCGGCCCTGCTTTCTTCCTTAATTGTCTTGTTGCCTCTCTATGTTCTTGAAGTCTGGTAGGTTTTATCACACTATCTCCTCCTTTAGACTCATTCTTCCCATCATCAAGGAATGGCCTGGCAGCAATGACGATGCTGCCAAAGATGGACTAGGCCTATTCTCAGAGTCATCTGACAAGTATGAAATTACAGAGTGAAGAGAGAAAGGCCTTGAGGGACAAGAGGAAAAGCTATTACCAAGTCAATTGTGACATAAAAGAGGCTTTAGCAAGTTACCCTACGAAACATCCCAGATAAGCTTCTTCCTAGTTCTCACAAAGGTAAAGGGACGGAGAGAGGAAGAGCATTCAGACTTGCAAAAGTTCTTTATAGCTTTACAATAAAAGTAATACAGTATTCCTAATCTTGAAACCTGGAAGAACCCCAAAAGGCTGGAATGTATTCCACTTTCTCTATTCAACGTAAGTGGGATTTAGCCAGTTTGCACCAGTTTGGGAAAACCGGTTGTTAACTTTCTGAGCAGTTTGGTGAACTGGCTGTTGGAAGAAATCCTTAGGGCAGAGAACCGGTTGTTAAATTATTTGAATCCCGCCACTGCTTACAAGGCATGTATGAAAGAGAACACAGAGCCCTCTTTGGTGATCAAAGTCTGGTGGGACACTAAGTGGTTCAGGAGGATATGGCTCATGTGGAAATTTCAGATGGCAGAAGCTGCAGAAAACAAAAGACAGTGAGGCCCCTCCCTCATAAAGATTGTTGTAAAACATTGGGTGTACTTTCATAGCAGTGGGCAATTGCAAATAAAAGACTACAGGGCTGATTTAAATTGTCTCAGGGAAAGAGCCAGTAAATATTGAGACCAGTTTCTTGGATAGAAAGAAGGTAGAAAAGAAAAGACAAAGCTACACTAAATGCCCCACCACAATTCTGGCACTGTTCTGCCTTTGAGTATCAACTACCCATTAGCCAAATCCAACTAGGATCAGCTGTGCCACTTGTTTCCCTTGCAGCAAATGAGAGGCTTGAGAAACCAGAGAGGCTGGAATTGTATGGTGCAAATATCCCCAGTTGATACCTTAATTTGCTTGGAGAGAGACAAGCCAATAAAAACATATATTGTATTCAAATTCTTCAGATAGCAACAGGTCAGGCCAATCAATAGCAATGCAAATACTGTTCTGTTACTCCCTTTTTTCCTCTTTCCTTTCTGCCCCTTCAATTCTGGGCAATCTGCCAATGAAAGATAAGTATAAAACGTTCAGTAATTACATGGCTTTCTATAACCCAGATTTAAATTGAAACTCATAATCTGAGATCAATGATTAACTGATCACCAGAAACAGCAATCTAGAAATAGCTGTATAGCCAGTAAGTCCAGTGTTTGTCTCATGATTTCTAAGGATATCTGTTTCTGTTGCTTGAAGTGTGTTTTGGCAACATTATTCCAGCTCTTTGATCATCTTAATTTCCCTTCTCTGAACCCTCCTCTAGTTTCACTATATCTTTCGGAGAGGCATGACATTCTTGATTTATATAAAGGTGTTGAAAGAATTATCCGTTTCTACTTTTTTTGGGGGAAATATTCTGCCTTTTTAATATTTCCTAGGATATTTCAATTTTCTAGGTGATGCTAACAAAGGGATTGTAATATTGGCTTCTTTGTTGTCAAGTCCATTTCTTATTCATTCTAATATTGTTTTGGCCTTTTAAAAATATTGGAGGCACACTGAACTGTTTACCATTATTCCAAGATTCCCCCCCCCCCCCTTCATTGATTACTGCCATCTGCGATCCCATTAATTTGTTGGGATCCTTGACACCAATGTACATCACTTTAACCAATCGACTCAGCCACAAATTCACTCAAAGGTCCTAAATTTTATTCGCTTTCACAGCATAGTTTCTTCACCTAACTTTTAAAAAGTCTGCAAATCAACCTCGACATTTTCGCAGCCCGCGAGCACCAAATTATTATTGTTCTGTTGTTAGAAATTCGCAGCTACTCCATTCTTTCCGATAGGGAACTGCATTTCCCAAGATGCCTCGGGTCCTCAAAGCGCTAAACCCGCTTTTGGAATTGACTCCAGCGAGGCCCGGTAGCCGCTGGCGGGGGTGGCTGTCAGGCGCTGACGGCGGAGGGGACGCGCCCAGTTTGTTACTGCTTCCAGTGAGCGAGGCGGACGGGGGAGCGGCGCTGGCGGACCGCGGACGTCGGCAGCGACTGTAACGACCGCTCGGGCCAAGTGCGGAGGAAGAGCGGAAGATCCCTCCCGCCCGCGACGACGGCTCCAGCCATGGACGAGCAGGCTGGCCCCGGCGTCTTCTTCAACAACAACAACAACAACGCGCTGCTCTTGCCGCCACCTCCGGGCGGGGTCGGGCCGGGGTTGGAGTCGGGAGAAGCGGCGGCTGCGGCGGCTGCAGCGGCGGCCGCCGCTGGCAGCGCTTCGGCAGGGCCGGCTCCGGCCTCTGCAGCGCGGGCTCAATACAGCGTCCCCGGCATCCTGCATTTCCTGCAGCACGAGTGGGGCCGCTTCGAGGCCGAGAGAGCCGAGTGGGAGGCGGAGCGAGCGGAACTGCAGGTAGCCTTCCTCCTTCCCGTTGCCTTCTTCTTCCTTTCTTTTTTTTCTTTTTTCTTTTGTTTTTCTGCTCCCGGCAGGTTTGCTCGCTCAGGGGCCGCCTGCTCTCCTCCTCCTTCCCACCCCCCCACGCACCTGTCAAGAAGGCTTCGTTCTCCGCCCACGCCGTGCCTTCCCAACTGCTGGACGCGGGGCGACGGGGAAGGCGGCGATGGACTCGGTGGCATTTCGGAGGTTTTTTTTGGGGGGGGGGGGGTTGAGGGAGCCCCGGGTGCTCGTTGGAAGCCTTCCCTTTCCCTCGCCAACCTTTCCTCGCTCTCGGAACTTGGGAGGATGGTTGCTGGATGCCTCTACCTTGCAATGGGATTCGTTCCCTGTCCTACCCCCCCCCCCCCCCCGCGCCCCCCCCCCCCCCCGGTCCTGCGGTGGATGAACCTTAGGTGCGAAAGTTGAGGTTGGGCACCCAGATGTTGCCTTCGAGGTTTAGTTCGCCTTAAATCCAGCGTGTGCCGTGTTTGCCCTCCTTTCTTTAAAAACATGTGGTTAAATCATTTCGGTGGCTGGAGGTTAAATGGCAAAGATTGCTACCGTTTCTGGCTGCGGAATAAGCCCGTGTGATAAGATAGCCGTACAGGTAGTTCTCGATTTACGAGTACAACGGAACCCAGAATTTATCGATTGATTTTATTTATGTATTTATGTATGTATGTATGTATGTATGTATGTATGTATGTATGTATGTATGTATGTATGTATGCATGTATTTAATATTGCCACCTATTTGCCCATAGCGGTTGCTAAGTGAACAAACTGGTTAAGTGAGCTTCGGTCCCATTTTATGGCTGCTCTTGACACAGTTTGTTTTTAAGGGAATCCCTGCAATTTGGTCTGGTGGTCAAGTTACCAGACTGGAAAGCTTTGGGACTGTGGAATTCTATTCCCCCCCCCCCCCACACCTCGCCTTAGCCATGAAAGCTGATTGGCTGACCTTGGGCCAATCACTCGCTCTCAGGCCGACCCACCTCACAGGGCTGATGTGGGGAAAATAGGAGGAGGAAAGTGCGTTCAATGTATTTGCTGCCATGAGTTAGTTGTCAAAATAATAAAAGCAGGATAGAAATAAAAGGATCTTGTGGGATGGCCTCCCTTTTCCTTCCATGAGAGAATCCATGAAAGAATGGTCATTCTCCATTAACTTTGTCTAATAGGAACTCTGAGATGCCCATTAATAGAGAAATTGGTTATTTCTCTGTTAACTTTGTCTAGTAGGAACTCAGAGATGCCCATTAATAGTGAAATATATTTAAAAATCAATGTCCCAGTGCTGATTACTGTTTTTTTTTTTAATGTAAAGCCCTGTATGTTTTCCCTAATATAACTAAGCCTTCCCAATTATAACATCAGAAGAGAGCCTGTTCCATATTTCTGCCTAATTGGAAGACAAGGGAGTTTAGACTAGGAGACAGGCCTATTTGGTGGTGACTCCTGCCATATGGAACCTGCTACTCCCAAATAGTTCCCATCTGCTGACATTTTAAAACAAAATTGTCGAAACAATTTTATTTCAGTAGGCTTCTAAGTCAAGGGTATTTTACTGGTGTAAACATAATCTTTTCTGGTTTTGTTGTTGTTATTCTCACTTTGTATTGTTGATTATTTTATGGCTGAAGATTGTCATTGTGGTGGTTTATATGCTGCCTGGAATTATATGGATTGAGGAAGTTTAAATAATGTTAAATAATTGAATATTACCTATTGTAATGGTTTGTTATCTATTGACTGTACCATTTGATTTTTGAATATAAATTTGAATGTTGCTGTGTATTTACTTTGGAGTAAGCCAGATCTTCTAAGACTTTGCTAAGATAGTATAGACAAGTAGTAATGGTAGAAAATATATTCCTTGGTATTTTATTCAATTTTCATAAGTTGCAACTTACAAAAGTACTATTAATAATTGTATTGGAATTAAAATTGCTGAAATGTCTGGTATTCCATATTTTAAAGTTACCATTCTATAATTTTCTGTACAAGCAGAAAACTAGAAATATTAATTGTTGTTGTAGGATCAGGAATTTTGAAAAAGTTTAGCCCTTTTAGATGTGAAGAACAATTAAATGAACATGCAGTAGGTGACTAGCTGCTAACATGCCATGTACACAAAGTTTGGTTTAGTAGATCACTTACACATCCCTTACCTTTACACGTATATATCCAATAGCAGTTAAGATTTTTTTCCTTTGCTAATGCGCAAATATTTTAAAGAATGCTTGAGCATGAAACAATAACTCTTCTTAGGTGATATTCAAGTAGTATTATTCACTAGAATGTGTATTTTATTAACCTATTGATGCACACATTCTGAAATTCTGACTGCAAGTTTGGATACCCTTCACTTTTTTAACAGCTGGTTATCTTCATTTGCTTGATTCTGTCACACTATCATTTTTAATATTTCATTTTCTATCCCGAAGAATGGGAGGTATTTCATTAAAGGGCATTTCTCTAGAGATCCAGGGATTTTCTTAATATAAACTTCTCCATACTCAAAGATCAGCAGAAAAGCCCCTGTTATTTTCAGTTTCTAAGGACTATATGTTCTGTCCGGCACACAAAAGAAAGAGTTCTTCGATGCTGATTGCATGCTGTGGGTTATATTTCTTAGGAGTTAGGCAAACTGTGCAAGTAGGCAGATGGTGTACTAATGCAAAAAACCGCTTGTCCCATTGTCTGCAGGAGTGGGAAATGTGATAAAAGTACTTCTGAAAATGCTAACAGGTTTAACAGTCTGGCCACAAATAAATAGAAATTTTTGTCTAACTCTACTTCTCCAGATTTTTAATAACTGTTCTTTTTCAGTTCGGAGAATGAATGTTAGTCCAATTTGTGCTACAGAAGCTCATTTGCAAAGCAAACATATTCCTCTTTAGGGTATTCCTATGTTGAATCAAACAATCATTATTTATTCAAGAGAGCAGAGACTAACTTGTGCAAGGAATTATACACCACTCCTCAAATAAACATTTCACAGATGACCTATGAATAATAAACAGAATACTAAATAATGCTTTAAATATTGTTAAGGTGTGGCTTAAAGTAAGTCTAAAAAAATAATTGTAACTGAAAAATTATTTAAGTAATGATAAATTACTTTTTCAAGTCAGGAGAAGCTAATTGGAGAAGGAACTCAAGATGGACAAGATTTCCTATAGAAGGCAAAACTAAAAGCATAGTTGCAAATGATTGCAGTGAGGAAAACAACAAAATAAATGAGTATGTCTATACAAAAAAAACCTAGTGAATATTTGAAAATATAGGACACATAAAGGGATGGAAAGAGGCCCAGGTAACAAAGGAAGAATACAGGCATATAACTTTGAAGTGTAGAGCTGCTGTCAGGAAAATAAAAGCACAGAGCATTAGGCTGAGAACAAAAATGGTTTCAGTAATTAGGCTCACGGTACAAAGAAGCTAGCAGCATACAGCTGCTCAAAGAAGGAGGCCAAATGGTAACAGGTACAGAAAAGCAGATCTCTTAACTAATGGCTTTGGGCAGTCTTCTTAAAAAACAACCTTTGTGTGTTGTACTAGGAAATTGTGAAAGGCTATGTGAAAAGGTAGGATTGAAGTTTGAGTTTGATAAGAATATCATCAGTAAGTGCTTCATTACTTTGAATTCTATATCTCTAGGAGGTGATGAATTGTATCTATGGATGGTAAAAGACATAAGAATCTTGCCATATCTATGCTTTGTATTTGAGGCATGTAAGAAAATGAACTATCAGATGACTAGAGGAGAACAAATGTCTCTATCTGCAAAAAGGGAAAGAATCCTATTTTTACAAATTACAAACCAGTCATTCTGACATCAATACCTGGAAAGATTCTACAGCAGATAATTGATTTGTAGGCATTTTGAAAACAATGTAATTGCTAGGATAATTTATCAGGTGTGCATTCATTAAAGAACAAATCCTCCCTCTTATCTCACTTTTTGATTTGCAACTTATTTAATTGATATCAGGTTTCAGCAAAGTATTTGGCGACATGCCTTACCTTTATAAATATTAGCAAGCACTCTGAGTATGGGCTGGATGACATGACAATACTATAGATGCATAGTTGGTCTGCATTATAGTCAAAATTGTTATTGGAAGTAGTTCTTCATAAGTTACATGTTTCAAGTGAGATGTCACAAATTAAACATCGGTTTTTCATTATTTTCATGAATGTATTGGATATAGTAATGCAAATGTTTATCAGATTTCCAAATGCTAGAAATTTTGGTGGGATAGCTAATGCCTTAGTTTCACATTATTTTGCTGTCTTCTGTTTTAGGAAAATGGTCTGAAAATAACAGAGTGAAATTTTAAAGAGACAAGTGCAAAATTGTTCTTTGGAAACAAAAATAAAAAATAAATGTAAAAATGGGAGATTAACTTCTGTGGTAACAGTACTTGTGAAAAAAGATATTGGAATAATAGCTATAGCGGACCTAGATCTCTGCTCCACACTACTAAGATCGAGTTTGCTTCCAAGTTCAATTCGAAGTGCTGGTAATGACCTGTAAAGCCTCACATGCTTGATGGTGATTATTTCAGGGGCCACTTTTCCCTAATTGCCTCTATGTACAGTGAGATGGAGCAGTAGAGAGCATATTGCATTAGATGGAGCTTAGGAGATCTTTTTATTTACTGGCACCTGCCTTTTAAAACATCATCCCCCCTGAGGTCAGATTGGCCCTGATTTTGGTCTCCTTTTGGAAGGTCCTGAGAACATAGCTGTGCAATTTGGCCTGGGGGGGGGAGTTCTAGTAACAAACAAAGTGGGTGTACAGGGACTCCTCACTAAGCATGTTTTCAGTGACCATTTGAAATTATGACAGTGCTGAAGAAAGCGGTTTGCAATCTGTGCTTGAAGTTATGGTTGCTCCAGCATCGCTGTGATCTCATAATGAAAATTCAAGTGTTTGGCAGTCTGCTCACACTTATGACTGCAGGGGTATTGCAACTATCCCCACCTGCCTATCTCTCCTCCCACCTCAGCTGCCCATCTGGCCCACCTGCAGGCTCAAAGTTGCTGTGGCCCAGGACACTTCAGCCTATTCACTACCAAACTAAGCTTGGGAGGCATCAGCTTACCACCCATCCCATAAGGCCCGAGGGGCCTCGTCTGATTACAAAGCCTACCAGCATGTGCATAGTACTTATCTTTAGGGTTTTTCTGCAGCTACTGACAGGCATACTCAGCTTACTAAATCTGCCTGTCACCATTCTCCAAGTGGGCACCATTCTCACAATTGCATGATTTGGAGAATGAGATTCCTGAACACCACGAGAGCTGGCTCCATTCTCGCAATCATTTGGAAGGTTACAGGTTCACTTTCTCCCAATTATTAGCTCAACCTAATAGAATTTGTAAGGAACAATTGCTAGTGATTCCACATTTTCAGATTTTGACGGGATCCACAGTTCCAATTGGAGATCAGTCTCCTCCCCTACCAGCCTTTAAGAAACTATTAGAATCTATTATCCTGTAGATCATTGTAATTTTATTAATTTATTGCACTATTTTTTATTTTATTCTGTTAAATTTATTGTCATTTATGTTAGTAGATTCAGCATAAGATTTTTAATCATCTTTTTGTTGTGCTTACTGTAAGATCCTGAGAGTCTGTTTATTATGGCATGATATAAATAAACTTTGCAGTAAGGCAGGTACTGGCTTGCTGTTCTATAGATGTCAGACTTTTATTTTGGATGCGGAACAAAATGAGGTTCAGCAAATATTCCGAAGTCACCAATTTCTTCCAGTTATATCTCCTTTACTATCCTAGAGAATCCCCCCAGTGTTTTGAGGGCTCACTCAAAGAAGCCACAAAAGATGTTGAAACCCTAGATGAGTGCAAGAATAACAAGAATGGAACTAATGCATGGGTGACTGTATTCACAGTTCCAAGAACACTTGTCTACTTTCATGGACACAATGGGATCTAAGTCTTTCCAAATGAAGTCTACCTTATGAGTTGTTCCTGACCTTGTTTATCTAGCTTAGTCAACTCCATAAGACCTGCTTCAGGGCCAGGGTCCAATCTGAAGTGAATCTAAGCAACTTTATTTGATTGATGCTCAACATATTCCCCTCAATAGTTCTCTAAGCGAATATCCAGCTCTACCTTTCCCAGGAGAGACAGGTTCACTGTAAACAGGCCCACTGGGTAGCTATATGCAGGTACAATAAAGACAGAGAAATGTTGATGTTTTGTCATCTTTACCACTATGAGATAGACACTAATAATATCTGTAGATCAATACTCAATTGAGTTTATTCCCTGTTCCACTTCAGTGGTGCTAGAGACATCTCTTCTCATGCTTTCTCTCACTAAATTGCTCTGTAAATCAGAGAAAGTACTGGGATCCATATGAGAAAAGAAGTTGCATAGGTATGATCCAATCCTGAGCCCCAATTGCCCCATCATTCCAAGTGGTGAATACGGCTTTGCTTGGACAGCACACTGGATTTTCAAGAACTATTGGTGAGGTGGATTTCATTTTTTCACACTGTTGAATTCAATTGGGCTAGAGGAACTGTAGAAAATGTGCTTTTGTCAAGCACAAAAGCGTATTCTCTACGATTCCTCTAACTGTAATCTTTTTCCTTTTTGAAATTCTTTGAAGCATTGAAATTATCACAGTTGCATTCATTGCTTTTTAGCTAAACTATATCTTTTTATTAAATTACTTTTGTTCTATTGCTGAGTATTATACTGTTGTCTTTGTGATAAATAAATCTACAGTATACACTTAGATTTATTGCTCTTCATTAATGTATTGAATAATTTAGAAAATACACTGAGTATGATACATTCATGTAATATTAATATTAATTATTCTTATTGTCTCATTGAGTAGCAGTTTATTTCTTCTTTATTAAAATAATGCATCCTACTATGCTAGAGATATAAATCTTCTCTTTACAATATTTTCTGGTTCCCACAGGTGGATAACAAGTGCCCTTCCTACTACTTCTTTCATATTTATTGCTGACATTCAATGTCAGGCTGCCCAAGCTGACATGCCACAGGATGTTTAAAATTGCAAGTTAATAAGTTCTGGTGGCCCAAATATTTACCTTCCCTAATACACCTTGATGTAATGATAAGTCCCTAACATACCATGATATAATGATCTGTTTAGAGAATGTCAAATTAGCATGAGTAGGTGTATGCTTCAGTCAGATGGACAAATCAATTATTGTGGTTTTTCTCAGAGTACTGTTACTTGATGGGTTACAAATGAACAAACCAGGATGTTGAATAATCATATACTGTATATTTCAGCAATACTTCGCCTCAAAATTTTTTGCCTGGGGATTTAGTTCTTTATTAAGAATAATTCTTTTCAAATACTTTGTCATGGAACTGATGTAAGAAAACAGTTTGATTTTCTATTAATCTTTCTATTTGAAATTATTTATTTTAGGCGCAAATTGCCTTCCTTCAAGGAGAAAGAAAAGGTCAAGAGAATTTGAAGAAGGATTTAGTGCGAAGAATAAAAATGTTAGAATATGCTCTTAAACAAGAACGGTATGGTATGGTGCTTAAGTTGTAGATATCTTATGAGCTGTTAACTGTTAAATGCAAGAACTATTTACTATTTTATATCAAAGTCAATATTGACTGTCTTTTCCCTATTCTTCTCTCCAGTGCAAAATAAAATGTTATGAAATAATTTATAGCTAGGTGCAAGTCATCTAATAGAAACTATTTGTAAAAAAATCCTAGCCACTCTTAATTCATGATTTTTATAATTTTATTAAAAGTTTAAAAAGTAAGGTTTAAAACTAATAGAAACTAGTATAAAGAAAAAGAAAAGAGAGATCTAAAAGGGGAAGATGTAAGAAATTTGTATTTCTTACATGTCCCCCAAACATGATAAAATGTTCCTTCTTGATATTCACATTTCCAATATGAATTTGAAGTGCCTTTATGTATTCTAGACAATTTCTTTGATATCATATACCAATGCTACATCATTTTATAAAATTCTCTTTAAGATTATAACATAGTATACATTTCAATCATTTAAGGCATATTTTACCTACTGTTCCTTCAGTATATTATAATCAAAAATTTTAGCCCACTTTATCATATGTTCTTTTATTTTTTTCTTCTGTTTCAAATTTCAACTGATTTTTGTTTTAGCAATTACATGTTCATCATTTGTACAAAATTGCATTTCAAACTAACCCTTAGAGTGTTCAAAACTATAAACTCTTGTATTTTAAATTTTTCTAATAATTACAATTATTATTAGAAAACTTTGGCAACTGAACCACTAGTTTTTTTCTTGATTTTATTTTGTATTTTCCTTGACATAATTCTAATATCTCATGATAAGTTAGCTATTTGTGTTTGCCTGTTATTTATTGTCTACCTGTGCTGAGCCACAAAGGTGTTTTGGGGCACAATTTGAGTTTGTATCTATTCCATACTCTCAGTATGGCATGCCTAACATAATGATTTTTTAAATAATGCCACAGATACTCATGCCACCCAAATCTCAAGTCATGTCCTAAAAGCTTTCACTTAGCAATACCCATTCTTTCATTCAAACCAAACAGTAAGCAGCAATTAAGTAAACTCAATCCTCCTTTTTCCTTTGCATTCTGTGACATCTTATATTTAACTTGCCACACAAAAGATATATCCTTTTGCTACTGTTTAAAAGGTGCATCAGTTGTCAAAACACAATCGTTTCAGACAAAACAGGTATTGTCTGAAACAAAAACATCATTCTAGGCAGGACCTTAATACATAAGATTAGAAACATAAGTAGCTCATAAAATTTTCTACCACTGAAATTTGATTTACTAGTTTACTTAATTTGAAATAAGCTTGTGGTGATTTATTGCATTCCGAAAATTCTGATCAAGTGAGATAAGAGATGATGAGATAAGAGAGATGAGAAATCAATTTGTAAATACAGAGTGCAAATGAAAATAAAGCACCATTCTAATTTTAATTTCTACCACATCAATTGGACTGAATGTGTTTTCTTAAACTAAATACTCTGAATTTTTAGATTCCGACCAATCAAAATCAACATGCCCATGTGAGTCAAAAATATCCTAAAGACATCATATTGCCTACACATATTTTAAATGCTCAAGATTATTTAGTGTAATTTTGGTTTTATACATACTGTATATATACATCAGTATATAAAATGTTTTTGTTTATTTTTTTTATTCATATCAGTTGTTCATGTAAAGCAAGGGTCTTCAAACTTGGCAAGCTTAAGACTTGTGGACTTCAACTCCCAGAATTCCTGAACTAACACAACTGGAGGAGGAATTCTGGGAGTTGAAGTCCACAAGTCTTAAAACTGTTAAGTTTGAAGACCCCTGAATTGTAAAGGTTTTGCTAAATATCTTGAAGTGGAGATGACATAAATGGTTTCCATCTTTTTCTTCAGTAGGAACTTTGCAAAGTTCTCATTTTCTATCCCAAATACTATTCGTAGAATTGACATTACTGAGATATTGGAAATGTGATATTATTCCAGATACTAAAGAAAGGTTGTTGGATTCGTTTAATCTATCTGTTTTGAAAAAGGCAATATTTTCCATCAATCAAGGGATGCAGCAATATCTGTTAATATGGCAAAGATCTTTACACTAATATTTTGTACTGATTATATTACAATTATATATTTATAACTGTAATAACCAGTGACTATTGATAAGTATAAAATATACAGTAGATTTTTTATTTTTATTTTCCTTAGTTGCATTCTTGGTTTGTTTGCCATTATTCAAAGATTGCTTTGTTAATTGTTTGTTAATAATGCAAAATAAAACCGAAAAATATTTTTAAAATACTTTTTTTTAGTTCTAAGTTAGTGTTATAAATTAATCTGATCCCATATAGAAAAAAGCCATGGACAAGAATGTTTGAGTAAGAACCTTGAAGTAGTTGGTTCTACGTTTATTTTAAAATCCATCAAACTGCATCTGTTTTGTTTTTATGCTAATATCAAAGAATTTTTTCCCCTAAGAAATAAAAGTATCCTAATAAACTTAACTGATATTCTTTTATCTCTTAAGGGTTTTTTTTTATTAAACCCTTGATTTTCACAAACAGTACATGATAATAAATTTCTAATGTTTAAGATATCTCAAGATTCCATTGTTTTTATTTGTATGAAATTCTTTTGAGTTATAATCTGTTTTATTATCCATCAGCAAAAGTTAAACCCAAACCTCAAAGAGATTCTAATGTGGTAGATTGTGTTGTGATATTTTCTTAGCAGCTTTATGTTTATGTCTTTCGGTTTAGCAGCAATTCTTAGTTTTTCTGTACATAAGATTATTTGCAGACTTGTTAAGCATAGCTGAATTGGATTTGTGATTGTAACGTGTCAAACGGTTTTAATAAAAACTGCTTGAAATTAATTTACCCACATGTGTACTTTATATACTTTAAGTATGTATAAAGCATTGATATTTTTTTAAAAGCAGCAAATATTTATGCTTGTGGGAATATGTAGATATGAAAGAGAAAGAGGATAGTCACACTTTTCTACCCTAATTGATTCCTCTTTCCTTTATAGAGCTAAATATCACAAATTAAAATATGGTACAGAGCTGAACCAGGGAGATATGAAGCCACCAAATTATGATTCTGGTAAGAATTAATTTTACAGAGGAAGGCAAAGCTGTCATTTTGTAAAGAATGAGAGTCTGGAATAGTTTAGCATAAAACAATGTTTAGGGATCATAAGAGAACACGGGTTGTGAAGCTTAATCTGCCATACAGACAGTCCAGTCCTATAACTTAAGTAACTTTGATACTAACTTTGTCTCAACTGTGCCTGTATTTTACAACTTTACAATAATAATGAGTGATCATATTGTTAAATTACTTGATAGGCCTCTTTTCATTTTTTGTTAGTCAGAAAAATAACTTAGTTACAATTAACAACTGGACAAAAATCTATGCATAAACCTTTTACATAGAATTAGTAAAATATTGGCTACTTAACATTTAATAACTAGGAAAGCAGATATTAAAAGCAATATAAACAATATGGGACTCAGATTAATTGCATTGGAGGTGATTGGATAATTGAACTGGATCGATTTCTTGGCTTCAAACTCAAATTGACACTGATTTCATTTCTTATCAACTTGTTTTAGAATAGAAAACCACTGCAGGTAATGATAATATTGTCCTTTCAGTGCTGATAACCTAAAGTCTTCTTATTTTCTGTTTGAAGTTGTAGGAATTCAATGTATATTCTATGTATATAGTTAGATTGGTGTAATTTTTTTCATTGTCATTAAACATGCCTTTAAGCATGCTATATAGTGTATTCAATTTTCTACAGAAATATATTTTTGGGAGTAACCATACAATAATATCCAATTTATATTTATTTAAAATTTCATACATCTTTTTATTTTGTTTCACTGTTATTTAAATAGGCTAGGAATATTTAATCAGTGGTAGAAGATAAATTTGCATTAAAGTGACTTCTTCTAACATTGTTATACTAATTTTAGTCTTGTCTTTGTTTTTCAGATGAAGGAAATGAAACTGAAGTTCAGTCACAACCTAATAGTCAATTAATATGGAAACAAGGGCGACAGTTACTCAGACAGTAAGTTGTCTAAGAATAATAAACGCAATAATGACTTCATAATATGGTGGGAATAAGCAAAATATTAGTATCTCTTTTTTCCACCTGTTTTCCTTAACTTGCAAATTTCACTGTAGTAAAATTGACAGTTTTTATAACTTTATTTTGATTTTATTTCTTGTAATGTTTGGCTTATAAAGCTCACTGCCCTAGATTCAGTACCTCTCCCAAGTTTTTACTGAGGGAAAGATGAAAAGAGGAGCCAATTATTGCTGGTTCCCTTGGTTTCCCCTTTATAAAAGAATATACTTGAAGATGTGTGAGGAATTTTCTTCTTGACGAACATAATGAATAATTGTGTACGCATGGATAGAAAAGCTCTCTACTTTTCATGGGAGTTGTAGAGGCTGGTACTGCAGGAGACATCCCCTCTGCAGCTGGTACAAGTTGATTTGTAAGCCTGTTGTGTCAGGCAAAGCCACATTATTCCTCTTACTATTTAAATGGTTGATCAGTTCTGGGTAGAGTGTATCAAATGTTTAACAAATTTGATAGCTCCTGAATAATTGTTCATATAGATACCTGCAAGAGGTGGGATATACTGACACAATCCTGGATGTGAAATCAAAACGAGTACGGACATTGCTGGGTCTCTCAGGTGATGGTCCAGAGAGAGAAACTGAAAAAAACCAAGAATCAATGGTGAACGGCACTGATGTTGAGATTAAACAAAAAGTGATGATTGGGTAAGTGTTCTTAATAATGAGAAGTTGTAGAAATTGTACTTTATCTGTGTTAAAAATGAAGTATTATATGTTACACCTATGTGGTAAAATGTAGATGCTTTCTTTAAAGGGAGGAGCAGTCTCTCTTCATTTTTGTTTTTGTAAGCTATGCAGTTATTATATTAAATGAAAGAAAAAGCCCACTGCATGATTTTATTGCTTCTTTCTCTAATCAATACTGTGCTAGTCCTGAAAGACATACTATGGTATGTCATGTTCTCAACACTAGCATAGTCTATGTGAGAGAAAAATCAAAAGACCCAATGATGATCACTGTTCACTTTCCCAATGGCATTCCAGTAATTTATAGTGTAAGGTAGTAATTAGCTTCTGTTGAATAATTAGAACTTATCATGGATGGAAATTGGAAGAAAATAAAATATAAATTGTTTGTAGGAAGGCTTAATTCGTGGACTCTGCATTTTTAGAGGTCTTTACTCCTCTAGGAAATGCAATTGTGGGAATGTGTTTTTATTTATTGGTACCAGAATAGTTATATATCAAGAAACAAAGAAGACTCAGGAAAAGGAAAACTCTTTTAAGAGCAAATTTTGTATTTACTATTCCTCAAAGTAATTTAAAGTTGACCTAATGCTTCCTTAAGGAAAAATTAATTATTCTGTCCGTGGTATTTTCATGCAAGCCAATATATTTGCTAATGTACAGATCCCAGTGAAACTTATATACTCAAGAGCATCGTATGAGTTCGAATGCAACCTGGAAGATTTCAAGCCTATCCATGGAAACATTATTTTGATAGTTTGACAGATATAATACTACTGACATATGTTTCATAATGTTTAATGAAAGAAATGTTGCACTTCTTCAGATCAGCAGACTTCTTTTATGAAAGATAAGTACCATATGTCAGCATGAAGCCCACAGGGATACTAAACAATTAACTGATATTAATATCTAGCATTTCCAGTGTTTGCTGTGAAAATGAAGGGTGCATCTTGCCATTAACATTTTTTGATAAAAGAAGGACAAATCAATGAAATGCCATATGTTTTGGTATAGCCTTGCATGGTATACCAAATAGTTTTCATTTAATCACTGCTTCTTTATTTTAATGTTGTTGGGTTTTTTTTTGCAAATCAAGCAACCAATTTTAGATATGCATTATTTTAATACTGGATATATAATATATAATAAAATCCAAAACTTATCAAACATTCTGATTTTTAAGAGGGGTACTTACAAGCTGTTTTTTGTTAGGCAATCTTGACCTAAAATTTACTTTCATTTAATATCTTTTTATTTTGTTAAAATTCAAAAAATAGAAATATGTCTTATATTGATAGACTGTAAAATTTTCATAGGTTCATAATTCATTGACTTAACTTCAGTTTGAAATATCATCCCTACAAAAGTTTTCATGCAGATGAGCTGATATAAAGACTTGGGAAGAACTATATTTTTCAAAAACTTGCATTTGATATGCTAGATGGAACTTTGCTTCTGAATAACAGGCCAGTTCATCCCAACTTGTCTTCTTTCTTGTTACTTCTTACTGTTCGCAGCCTGTGGCTTGCCTGAACAGAATAAACTTGCACTAAGCCAAAGAAGAGACTTGGATTTTCACTGATCATCTTCCTACATCTTCAACCTCCTCCATTGCATCAAATGTTATAAAATATCTCTTCATGCTCAAGAACAGAAGTACTAGTTGTAACAATTTAAGCTGATTCTCATGGTAAACAAAAATATTTAATCCCCCTTTGTGCGTTTCCTAAAGGTTTAGAGCAGTCATAAAATCAAGGTTGGTTCAACTATGAGAATCATCATTTTAACACATCTGGAAAGCTTTGCTTGAGAAAGGTTAATTTAGAATTAGGTTCTTTTGCTTATGATCTTCCATCTTCAAAACTTCATACAACCAATGATTCATAGAGAATATATATCATAGAGCTGAAATCTAACTTTTACCTTAAATTAGTTCACAAAAACTTTACTGAAAGTAGGCAATAAATCTTAGTTCTGTGAAAGATATAAGTAGTTATTCTTCACAGAATAAGTATAAGTTTGTGTATTATATGGTTACTTATTTTAAATTTGATAATATTTTCTTTGATTTTACTGCTGTGGTTCCTAAACTTGGTGCCATAGCACCCTGGGGTGCCAAGTGAACTCCCAGGGGTAACAAGGATATTTTAAATTTTTGAGGGAAATACAGCAGTTCCTGATGTCTCAGACACTGTGGAAAGTACTATCTCAAGGTAGTTCCCAACTAGAGGTTGCCATAAAAAAAATTACAGAAATGTTATAAGTGCCAGCAATTAAGAGAATTTGAATTTTTTTTTATTGCTTCGTTCAGTATATGTTGTGATACTTATGATTACTTTGGCTGGCAACTGCATTTAAAAATAATTATGCAAATATTTTCAATATTTCCGTGGGCTACTTGTACTGTATAAAATAATTTGGAATCTGTTCATCATGGCTGTGTGTTTTTGGAACTGTAGGATCAAGGTATTAAGAAGGAATCGGGTTGGGAAAAGTGGGATTGGCCTACATTTCCTGATATTTGTACAACATGGTACCATTTAATCAATTTTCATAACTGTGTTATGAAACTGTGTTAACATAAACCATTATATATTTTGTAATATGCAGTATTTACTTAGGAATAAGTTATCCTGAATTTGCTAATGAGTAAACATGTACTGTATTTAAGTTTTGTTCTTATCTTGATAATGTCTTTAACAAATGTAAAATTTTTAGAACTGGTAGCTTTGCTTATGTTTTGAAGAAGTATTCCAAAATGACTTTTCTTTGATGTAACAGAATAACAGAATTGGAAGGGTCTTTTATTCCAACCTCCTGCTCAAGCAGGAGACGCTATACCATTTCAGACAAATGGCTGTCCAATTTCTTTTTTAAAAACTCTCATTTCAATTAATTGTGTATTATGTGCTTTTTTTTTTAAAAAAAAGAACTAATTATAACATGCAGGTTATAGGACTTAGGTGTGAAAATAAAGCATTGTGGGAGATATTTCTTTTAGTAATTGTTTTAAATTTATTCTCTTATTTTTTAAATAGTGACAAAAATTGAAATTTAATTTTTTCAGTAAATTTAAGTTTTGGGACAGTTGTTCTTGTATCTTCAGTTATTTTCTTCTTGCCCCCAATTGCTCTTCATTGTATCAACAGAAGAGGTTGCACAGTTATTTCTATCTTTAAACAATCTTAAACAATCTAGAAATATCTATTGCTTTAAACAGCAGTTATTTTCTTGATTAATCTTAAGATAAAAAGATGTAAATTACAAAAATGAACATTTTGAGATTCCTGTTTAGTGATAGAAGCACTGTTACAATTTCATATATGTCTGTGTGTTTTCTCTTTTATGCTATCTTCAGTTTCACAATTGTTATCAGATTATTGCTTTTATTTGATTATTAGCTACATAGAATTGCCTCTTGGCAAAATGGCAATATATAAAATTTATAAAATAAATAAATAGTTGTTTTTTTAAAAAGCATCTAAATATGAATAGCGGGATCTAGGGTTGGGGAGAAAATAATAATGGTTATCCCTAGTCCTCCTGGCTGCTTGTACTGAATTTTAAGGTAAAGGAGAAAAAGAGCAAAAATAGTCTTCCCTTCCTTGGTTTCAGTTTGGTAATGAAACCTTAAAATCAAAAATATTTTGATGCTACCAAAAGTAAGTTCTAAACTTATATAACATTATTACTATGTCTTGAGCTATGTTTTCTACTTTCAAATATGTAGATATAATAAAAATGAAACTTGTGATGCATGTTGTTGGACTTTATAAAGCTTAATGAAAAGAAGCATTAAGGTAGGTTGATTTGTGTTGCTGTTTTTAATTTTTATCTAGAAAACCAGATTTGACAGATTCTGCCTCTCTGCTAGAAACGTTTAAATTCCTTGAAAATGCTGCTGCAGAATTTAGCGATGAAGAGGAAGATGATGATATTGATGGAAGAGAACGAACAATCATGGATACATCAACGGTGAGCTAAAAACAAATTAGTATAATGAAGATTGTACCAAAAGGGCACTTGATTATTCAAAACATACATATTAAAATTTTTAATTGTAAAATGCTGCCATATAGCAGCCTGAATATTCTTTCAATAATGGACTTTCTAGTCTAAATAGGTTGTTTAATGAGTGTTCGGCATGTAGAGAAACATCCCAAGATGAGAAAGAAAAAAAGCTATGCAGTTATATTGAATTTTATATGAGAGTTAAAAGCCTAACTGGCTTTATAAGTTTTGAGGTCTACATTTATACCAGGGGTTCCAGCAAAAAAATTGTTTTTAAGAGTCTGGTTTTTGTACTCACACAAAATAGTTGTCATGAGAGGCTTAACTGTTCCCCAAATCTGAATGAGATGACCGGTCTCCAAATTTGATAAATAAATAAATAAATGTCCATAGATTTATATGAGACAAATACAGATTATAATATATAAGAACCTATTCAAAGCATGGTTAGATCAAGTATTGACTAATTAATCTATATTTTACTAGCTGGTATCAAAATACTTTATCTTTCTGCTTATATGCAATATTATGTGTCTAAAAGGTGCAAACATAAGAAAAACAGCACATAACGAGAAGGAAAAAATGTCTCCCATAGATTGTGAGAAAAAGAGTCCTGCCTGACAATAATGAAGACAGAGATACTGAAGAGGCCCTGAAGGAGTTTGATTTCCTAGCCACATCTGATGAAGGGGACGGGGAATCCAGAAGTTCAGGAAACGGTACAGACTGGGGTAAGAAAAGAAAGAAAATAGCCTAAATGCAGTCATTTACCTGGAACTGGAGAAGCATCATAGGGGAAATGTTATTTTAATTCTGGAGATTCAACTTTTGAGCTGTGTCTTAATTTTACAGAATATCTAAAATATTGAAGTTATTGTTGCCTATTTTTTATAGTTTGAATTCATTGCAGATTGTATGGCAATTGCTAATGGGACTTACATAAGCAAAACAAGAAAACAAAGTCCTGTCAAGTTTTAACAGTCCTTCTACTTTGCCTTTTCAAGTTTAAACTTCCCCTTTAAGTTGATCATTTCCAGGAGAGGGGGTCCAAACCCATAATTTTAGATCTCTAGACTAGCCCTAAATCTATTCATCTCATTAGACAAAGTATATTGGCAAATCCTGCTTTTTCTCAGGTTTAAAGAATCTATTTCTTAATTTCATATACAGCTTAATGTATAATTGAGACTTTTGATTGGCCAATCTCCTTCTTGCTCATAGACATCTGTTTCTTCTTGTTCTGGAATTTGTTGCCTATTTACTTCTCCAAACTGAGATTTGTTGGCAACTGAAAAATCTTACAAGGTCCAATATATCACCACTCTTGATCTAACCAACACCACTTGCATGGGTGTCAGGGGTGGGATTCTACTGGTTCGGACCAGTTTGGGCGAACTGGATGTTAAATTTGCATCTGGTTTGCCGAACCAGTATTTGAACTGACCGGCTAGTCCCTCCTGCTCCTCCCAGGAGTCTCTACATGGCCCATTTTCGATGCATGTAAGTGCAGGGTCCGCGCGGAGGCTCTGGGAGGGGGGAATATGGGCCTTCCAGAAATCTAGAAACGGGCCTGTTTCTGGCTTCCAGACGGCTTCCAGAGCCCCGAGGAGGCCATTTTTGCCCGCCCAGAGGCCCAAGGGAAGCCTCTGGACCCTTGGGAAGGCAAAAAATGGCCCTCCCGGAAGTTCCGGAAGGCCGCGCCCACCATGGCCATGTCCACCCAGCAACTGGGCAGCGAACCAGTTGTTGGGAATTTTGAATCTCACCCCTGATGGGGGTGATAATAAAAACATAGCAATTATGTTAACCCAGATTCAGGTTTAAGTGTGTTATATGAACCCAATCTTTAATGTACATTATCTGGATATAAGATCTCCTCTACAATATTTTGTGCTTTTATTTTTGCTCTTTCAGGGGAGTAAATTTGAAATGGATTTTTTTAAAAAATGTGGCTACCTTATTAATATCTAGTATAAATCTACCCTATTCATCATTACTAACCCATTTGTTGCAGTTTTTATAGCCTTTCAAGTACTGGCCTTTTCTTTGGCATTGTTCTCCATTGTATCCTTCATACATATAATAGGAATTGACCATTCCTTTGAAGTTCTGTGTAGTCATGCTTGGTTAATTCTTGTAGTTTCTCTTACGCTGTTATATAGAAAGCTACTTCTGTTAATCTATCTACCTCGTCCCTTCCTAATTCTCACCTTTTACTATTTTTTTGCATTTGGATTTGTTACTATCACCTTGGTAAATTTCCCATATGCCATCTATAGTTTTTATTCCCCTATCATTTAAGTAGTATGGTTTAAAGGTGTGGCTAACAGAACCATCACACACATATTTTCTATAAGGTAAATCTCACCGAATCCGCTTCGACTGACTAAAGGATAAGATTGCAAAGGACTGAAATTAGAGAGAAATATATAACTATCCAATTAAAGAGTTCTTACATGCATGGGTTAATGAGCACCTGTTTTCATACAACAGTTTCCTTTTAAAACATTAGAATGAGTTTATTTTTCAAGAGGTTGTTTAAGTTCATATCTCTATAAGATATACAAAGATGAAAATGAGAACACAAATCAAAAGTACCACGTCCCTCATCTCCTAACCTTCCCCAATTTGGTTGGAGGTTTGGCAATTTCCTTCTTACTCAGATTCTCCAAAAAAAGTGGCATTGGGAAGTAAACCATACATAGTATCTGGCCAATGTAGCAGCAATACTGTTCACCTGATGTACCTAATCAGCTTGTTGGGTTTAGGAATATAGAACCCCTTAAATCTGTATCTTTTTCTTATTAGGTCCTTCACCCTAGGAATAAAGATTGCTGTAATTCACCTTCATCTGGTTTCCTTCTTACTAAGTCAAGGTTGTATAAGCAGGTCATATGTCATGAAATAACCAAAAATCCCTACTGAAGTTGAAAAACAGTTTCAAGAAACTTGCTTTACAGGTAGCCTTCACAAGCACCTGCCTCAGATAGCAACTGTTCACAGTTATGACACTGATTAAAAAGTAACATTGCTACAATGTTAAAAATTAACATTGTGACCAATACCTGCATCCACAACCTCACAAGTCTGCAAAATACAGGAAAGGTGAAGTAAGATCACATTATGGTCACATTTCCCATGTAGTGATTACTTTGCTTAACAACCAAGTTGTTAGACCTATTCTGGTCACTAAATGAAGATTGCCTGTATCATTTGAAATTATTAAATATATTTGCAGAAACTGCAAATTATTTATCGTGTTTCTCCAACAATACGGCCTCCCCCAATAGGAAGTCCCAGCATGTTTTATCGGCATAAAATCAAATTAACCCCCTCCCCCCAAATTAAGGCCTATATTAAACATGCAAAATGGGGAATGGCGGGGGGGCTTGCCGTTAGGAAGTACTTTTGTTGCATACCCGGATATGGTGCTGCCTGCGTTGACTTTGGCGTTGGTGGGGCACTTCGTATCAGGAGACGTTCTGCTTTCCCTTCTCCCCATGCTGCCGCGGCATTTAGAGCAACGCCGCGGCGTTTGGCACAGCCACGCATGGCCAGCCAGGGCTCCCCCCTGCAACCGGAGCCCGGCAGAGACACTTGGCTTCAGGTGCTCCTGTCGCCACCTTCCCTTCGCCTTTGAAGGCAAAGCAAATTCTTTTAAAAACAAGGAGGCAAGGCGACGGCCTGCGCCACGTCCTCCTCCGAGCTGAGCCCCGCCGAGTCAGCGCCTATGCCCATGCCGCTGCAGCGTTTGGAGCTGCTGGCGCATATGGAGATGCGTGGGGACAGGGACGAGCTGCCCAAGGGGTGGAAAGGACAGGCGGCTTCGGGCTCTCTCCGCTGGACCTGCTGGCCAGGGAAGCAGCCTGCCGTTGCCTCGCCTCCCTGTCCACGGATGAGTGGGCACTGTCACTGCCTCGGGCAGCCTCTCCCGGTGGCCCCTTCGGGTTCGGGCTGGAGGGACTTGGGAAGGAAGCCAACCTTGGGTCGGCCCGGCTCTTTTGCTTGGCAGGTGGGCACGCATCCGTGGCGCGCTTTCCCGGCTCTGCCCAGCCCGCACGGCTCTGGTGCGGCCCTGGCGGGATAAGTGGAGGGCCTGGTGGGGAGGCACTTGCTGCCTTGGCGAGAGCTCCTGTCAGCTGCGCTGGGCACCCCAGGCAAAGCTCTTCATGCTCTGCCCGGTGCCAGGCAGGGATGGTGGCTGGGCACTTCTCCCGGGGGGCCGATCCTGCGCTGCGGCCCCGGGAGATTCGCCTCCCCACGTGGGGTTGGGCTGCCCTCTCGGGCAGGGGAGGCTTTGTCGTACCGGTAGGGCGTCGTTTTTAAAAGAATTGGCTTTGCCTTTGAAGGTGAAGGGAAGGCAGCGACAGGAGTGCCTGAAGCCAAGTGTCTCCACCAGGCTCCGGTTGCAGGGAGGAGCCCTGGCTGGCCACGCGTGGCTGTGCCAAACGCCACGGCGTTGCTCTAAACGCCGCAGCAGCATGGGAGAAGGGAAAGCAATGGAGGTGGAAGGTCTCCCGATACGAAGTGCCCCACCAATGCCGAGGTCAACATCCAAGCCGTCGCTGCCCGCCCACCCGAGGATGCAAAGGGGGGAATTAAGTCACCCCCGAAAAGATGGCCTAGCCGTTTTTGGGGGGGGTCAAAAAAAAATAAGGCCCGGCCTTATTTTGTGAGAAACACGGTAGATATTTGTCCAATATTTGAAATAGTTTTAGCAAATCTCCAGGCCTTGTGCCTTTAGTTCAAGTATTCAGATGTATTTCTTACTACTATGTAACGCAGTTCTTAGTTAAAGTTCTTTCGGGCAATTTGTTTTATCAATGTAACTGTTCAAAGTAATTACTATTACGTACAACTTGAAGCTTAGGAAAGATATAATGCAATAATTTCATCTTGGACTATAAATAAGTAAATAGAGAAATTGGAAGAAAAAAATTCCTCTCCAGGACTCATCAATGTATAATTCAGAGCAATTTCAGAAAGCAGTTGTGTGGCATGTTTTTTGTGTTGTATCTTACAATATGTAAACTAAATATGAAATATATTTTTTAATTCCATACAAGGAAAAAATGCTTAGATTTGCTGTTATGTTAATATTGTTGATGCAACCATGCACCTTTTTTCCACTTTAAATTTTAGCTTTCTTTTCTGAAGACTTATACAGTAGAAGAAAAGTTTGACAAGATGTTCAGATACACAAGCAGAAGTTTTTGAAATTATTACAATTGAAATATTTTCTATTCTGACCAGAATAAAAATTAGCACCAGCTACAGATTTGTTGTTCTAAAAATGTATTAACAAGTAGAATAATCTGGATTAAATCAAAGATATATTATAGCTATAATTCTAAGAAACAGAAGAGATGGTTAGAGGGTAGGTTTGACTTAGAACACTTTCTTAGTGAACAAGATTGAATATGAAAAGAAATACAAGACCATCAAATTTAATTTAATCTTTGGTGGCAGTATATTATGTGCCAGTTGCCCTGTTCCTGGATTGGGAGACCCTGCTCATGGTCACTCATGCCTTGGTCACTTCCTGATTGAACTGCTGGAATGTACTCTACATGTGGGCTATACTTTAGGAGAATTTGGAAACTTCTGCTGATGCAAAATGTAGTGATGTGGGCAATTATGGATGCTTGTTGTTCAAAATATGTGAAACCTCTAGTCCGTGAATTGCATTGGTTGCCAATATGTTTCCAGATTTAAATTGAAGATACTGGTAGATACCGTTAAAGTCCTTCATGGCCACTTGCGAGGCCATTTCTTCCTGATGGTATCTACCCACTCAGTAAGAACTGGCAGAAGAAGCATGCTCCAGGTTCTGTCTGTAATGGAGTGTCATCTGAGGGAATCCAAGAAGAGAGTCTTTGTGTTTTGCCTACCCTCTGGGACATCGTTCCCCTCAAGCTCAGGTTCATCCTCTCTGCTGACCTTTCATAAAGCCTTAAAACTTGGTTTTGTCGTTGAGCCTAGGGCTCTGGATGTGTAGCTGAGCCTGAATCACAATTATGTTAATTATTTTATTGTTTTTCTCAGCTGCTATTCATATTGTTTATAATGTTATTATACACTTTTAGAATATTGATTTAAGTATTCATCAGCCACCCAGAGTCATGTATTTGAGATGAGCAGCCGTATAAATTGAGTGGATAAATGCAACATCATTGGTGCCAAAAATTTCACTCATCACCAGATGCTGCCAATACTCCAAAAATAAAGCGTTTTTAAGAAACTAAATAACACAAAAAGGATGTTTCATTTGTTTTAATTTGTCTAGAAAAGGAAGACCAGTGTCTCATGCCTGAAGCCTGGAATGTGGACCAGGGAGTAATAACCAAACTGAAGGAACAATACAAAAAGGAGCGCAAGGGGAAAAAGGGGGTGAAGAGTAAGTGGAAAACATTGCACCATAGATTCACAAATCCTGCCTCTCTCACTTCACCAGTGCTATCTTTATTTCAATGTTTTCCTCAAACTACTTACTCTTTTTCTTTGCTGCTCCTGACTGCTTTCCAGTTTACAGTTATCAGGGGTGGAAATTAATGCTACTTGAAATCTAAACGTGTTGGTAATACTAATATTGTGTACAATGTACAAAATACATTGAATAGGATTTTTGACAACTCTAAAACACATCTTGCTAAGTTTTGTCCAAACCAGGCAATATTTATGTGAGAGAACTTTTGTAGTATAAATAGCATTGTGTCATCTCTCCTTATCTGCATTTCTGGGATTTTGATGTCAAAGATAATACTGCAATAAGTGGGAATTAATATTTTCTCTCTTTCTATATTACCTAAATTTATATTTGTCTATATTATGATCAAGTCCCAAAGAGCCATTCCATATTTCTGTATGTTACAGATGACTTGGGACTTTCCATTTTTCTGTAGAGCAGTTTTTAATAACACGGGTTGTTGATTAATCTGAAGGCAGCCTTTTGACTTTCAGTGCAGATTTTTTTCACAGATTTATTGTCTTTATGACAGCCTTAGGGGAAGTTCTCTTTACATAAAGTCAATGTTTAATGGATGTTATAAAAAGACATTTCTTGCTTTCCCTGTTTTTCTTGCCTTTTGTGCATACTAGTATTTTAAGTATGTATACATAGTTGGGTGTAGACTGTCTGAATTTAATGGCATGTTTCAAAACAGAAACTTCTGTAGTGCTGGGAATATTGCAGTAAAAAAGGAACAACTCAGATAATGAACTTAGTGTTGAGGTAATTCCCCGTTAGGAGAATGAGCACACACAGGGAGACATAGTGAGAGTGGTGAAGAACAACGCATAAACAGCACACAGCTACACTGTATAGTAAAATGCAGGTTTTTACTTCCAGTAAAACGGTTAAGCAAAGTTCAACAGTCCAAGTCATTCACGGTTAAAGCAGTCAGTTTTCAGTCCAGGGATAATCCAATAACAAAGTCCAGTATCAAAAACAGTTCAGTAACAGACTTACATCAAATCCAAGAATAACGATGATCAGTAACAGTCAATAGGGAAAAATGCAGGAACGGCAACACTCTCAGCAACAACAGAACAACCCAGGTTTCTGGCTTCATCTTATGGCCGTTTGAAGAACCACACCCAATTACAATTTTAGCATTCCCTTAAAGAGACAGTATTAAAATGTCTATCTTGGTTTATATATTTTCCAACCCAACTGTTAGGTGACTTACATTCCTAACACTTAGTATATAAATAATGAAATCAATATGTAAAAACTGAGAGTAGAAAATTTTGGTCTGGACATATCCTTAACAAGAGTGATAAGTTAATAAATTAATTTCTACCTTTGTTTATATTTTAATGTTTGCTTCATGGAAGTCATGCTGTTCTCATAACTTGAATGCAGGGCTTGAAATGGAAAAATATATTATTTATTAAAATTACTGTTGATATAATAACTGAATTAAGTTAAATGATATATATAAACAGACAAACAATTGGATCACTTTTCAAAATTTAATTTCCAGCCCTGTATATCATTCTGTTTTCCATTTTTCAAAATATAAATCATCATGCAGACTTTTTCTAAATATACAAGTCATAGATTTAAAATTCATATACAGAAATTGTATTTATAAATGCATATAGAATAATACAAAAGCTTACATAATAATGAAGGGTACCATTGAGGTTGACATTTTACAAGGTGGTTAATTTAAATTATTGAGATGTTTGCAACACTGATTTAATGAATTAGCTTATTGCCAATTGTTAGGTACATTATTTTGTACTAATTGCTAATTTTTAGTATTTTTTCTAAAGTGGTTTGTAGTATTGGCTCTCTTACTATCATGGAATTAAAAAGAATAGCTCATATTTTAATTGAATTACTGTTAATATGAGACAGTGCAAAAACATTTGGTATTAAACATAACATAAATATAATGGCAAAAGGCACACTGGACACTGGAATTTGATGAAAAATACATGTAATATGCTGTGCATACTTGTTCATATCCACAAACCAATGAATAAGATGACTTATGAAGAATGAATGAAGTCTCTCAGATATGATGAATAGCAAGTTGCGTATATTTGCTTCAGAAGTCATTGGGAGACATTTGTTAAGAGGAGAAACGTGTATCTCATGAAGCCTTTTGAGAGAACATGCTCATCACCTAGTAAATTCCTTTTATTCCTCCACTTGAATTTAACAGGAAAGATAAACAAGGCCTGTTCACTAATTTGAGATTGCACATAACTAACTTGTAGCAGTCCTATCCCCTACCATGTCATTCTGTCAAAACATTACACAACATTATTAGCAGAAATTGGAAGTTTGCCCAGCTTCTCAGACGTTCATACTTTTTTTGCTTTAAGTATGGAGGCTTAAAGCAACTGAGCTGGTCTGAGCCATTCAGCTTAAAAACTAAGCAGTACCTACTTTAAAATGTGTAGCAATTCTTATTCTATTATTAACTAAGTTAATGGATTTCACAGTGAAAATTATTTTCATATTAGATTTTGGAACATTTGCCACTTTGAGTCTATCTATTCTTGTCCAGTATTCCATAATTTGGAAATCAGAATAAGATGAATAAGTAATGTGAATTGAAAATACACACAATGCAAGTATCAGGCTTTTAAATACCATATTTCAAGTAGCGTAGACTGCCGGAGTTCCATCAGTTTTCAAGTATAACATGGCTTAGTTAATTCATCTTGCTGATTGTTAACATATATTGTAGCTTCCTAAAAGTTTACTTTTCAAGATTAATTCCCAATACTGATTTCACAAGTGGAATTAGCACCTGCAAATTATATTTCTTTTCCCATCCATATTTTTGTGAAAACATTCTCGTCAGAGTTTTAGAGAACACTTCTTGACCAGTGTGAGTTATATCCCTTAGAAATGTGGGATAGGTAGTTGACAAAATGACTTCCCAAATACATAAACATGGTCTTTGTGCTGGCTTCCGCTCTTCAGTCATAGATACAGATATCTAGTTTTATGCTCTGTCACCTCACCAGTATTGCAGCCTCTGTCACCTAGCAGATGAATCATGTTAAGCTTGATAAATGGGAAGCTATTTTGCAAGATTTATTGTTTGCCACACTTGACAAAAAGAGTGGGCATGTAAATTAATATGCAAATTAATAATGTGTAGTCCATGTGTGAGGTAAAGACTTGGGAGGATTTGAATAGAAATTCTTTGGTAAACTATGTGGAACCCAATCATTTATGAAACTCACAGCATTTCTCTTTTGAAGCCTTAGAGGTAACGATGGGCAAAATTGATGGCTCCTTCCATCTCTTCCAAACAAAATTTGGCTGATAAAAATGGTGTGAAGTCAAGTAGCATTTTGCCATTACAGAAATTGTAGTACAGCATCTGTTCGGGACAAAAGGCTACTGAAAAGGAAATTAATTTTTATAAGCTACATTAATTTAAAACTAATGAAGTTCTTTTATCAGAACAAAAATTTAAATGTAGAAATCTGAGTTGGAGGGACCTGAGTGTTCAAGTATAAAACTAGATCTAATTTTGCTCTGGTCAATGATAATTGTCAAATTTTATATATATATATATTTATATATATTTGCAGTTTTTAAACTTGAATTAAATTTATGTACAATCAAAGCAAATATCCATAGTCCTATTACCATTTAAGAGTTTCATCAATAATAATGGGTCAAATAACTGATATGAGAATATTTCTAAGATTGGCAAGGCTATTGTAGCAAGACCTTGTGAGCAGCATTACATTCAGATTTGTGTTGGAATGCTTTTAGCTACTAACAATAGCTGTATTTACTAGAATAGGAAAAACAGTTATGGACTGTGGGTAAGATATTTTCCCATTCTTAATTAAACTTACAACAGGAAAAACTACCGAAGATATGTTTCAGCCTCAGTCCTTTATAAAACAATCAAAACAGGGATGTGGGAAAATGATGGAGCAAAACACAGGTAAGTGTTGAGAAAGGCATGGGGTCTTCACCATATGTAGTTTGAGGAAGAGCAAAAACAGTTATCCTTGCTTGGTTTTGTTTATTTTTCCCCTCTCTCTTTTTTTTTTTAAGTAAATCACTTTTTAAAAGATTGTTGCACAACTGATAAAGCTGCAGCCCTACCCATTTGGGGAAATTTTCAAAACTTGTGCAAAAAAAAATACAATTCACAAGTATTTTAATATTCAGAAAAATGTTTTATCATTTGCTTTCACCTGGTTTTATTTTACATTTTGCAAGTTCATAAAGTGAATAAAAGTGTGAATGTACGTATGCACACCTTTGTTTTCATTATTATCTCTTCTCAGCACCTCATTTCATGCTTTTAACTTAGTTGTTACTGAAGCTAGTCCTCTCTACTTGAATCACATTCATGTTTTTCTTTGCTCAAGGTAGCACCCATTGCCATTAGTGCCAGAACGACTTTGACAGTGTTAATACTAATCCAACTTTTGCACTTTTTTTGGCCAGGACCCAACAGGTCAAAACTGCAAGATATGCTTGCTAATTTGAGAGATGTTGATGATCTCCCTGCATTACAGCCTTCTGTTGTGCCACCCACGCGACCCAGTACTTCGCGGCTTTTCGAGCAAGAGATCAATCGAACAGATGAAGGTAAGAAGTATGGGGATACAGTATACATAAAATATAGGTGTAGGCTTAGCTTAGTTTTAACTTCTAAGACAATATTTGTAAGTATTAACATTTTATCTTAATAAAACTATTGTTTTAAAAATTAATGTTGTATTAGGTAATTCAAGTTGTTTTAAATAGCCTTAGTATAAGCCTGCAATTTTTATTTATTAAAGTAAATAGGATAAATAAATAAATGCATGCTTGAGGGTCCCCCCATTTTAATGTATCCCAGTATTACCCAATATTCAAAGGATTAATTTTAGTTAATTAGATCAAAATTTTAAAATCTAACCAAGTAATTGATCAAAATTTACAACCTAGGTTTATAAAAACTTTAATACAATTGATAGTACTTTTAAAAGTGGACTGCCATTTGTCAGAAATGGTGTAGGGTCTCCTGCTTGGGCGGGGGGTTGAACTAGATGACCTACAGTACAAGGTCCCTTCCAACTCTATTAATCTATTAAGTATTTTCTGTCTGCCTTACATGACTAATTTTGAGGGGGGAACTCTCCACATAATGGTTCCATAGTAAAATGACAGCTCTATATCAAATACAGACACCTATTGCATCCTTAAAAAAAAAATCTAGAAGTTCTTGGTAATTGGTAATGTCAGTTGTTAAATTAGTCCAGAGTTCAATGAAACTAGAATTGGTGCTAGTTTTTTTAAAGTTTATGGTTTTATAAGATATATATTAATTATTGATTGGGGGCTGTCCAGTGTTTGATATAAGATGAGTGGCTATATAACTATTTTAAATAAATCAAATAAAGCTAGATTTTCAAAAACAAGTCATTAAATTGGTAGCACTTTATATACCATTTTTCAATTTAACAGACATTATTCAAATGGCTTTTAAATTTAAACTGGACAGATGGAAACCTACAAACAAATGGAAACCTACAAACAAAAGAATCAAACAGGAATTTTGTAAATATTTTGAAGTAGTAGAATCATATTGATAATATTATGCTAAAACTCATCAAACTAAGAATTAAAAGATAGTGTAAAAATAATGCAAGCTAGTGAACCTTGATCATTTTGGTGTCCTCTATTAATCTAAAAATATCTGGTTACTAGATTAAAATAATGAATTAGGGAAAATTGAGCAATTGCATAATTTGAATAGGAAGATTTGTATACACTTATATAGGATTCTTGAAATGTTTTTGCTAATGAGAGCTACTTATAATTTATGAAAAATATTCTGAGGCACTAGAAAAATACTGAACATAAATGGCTTGATAAGAATTATTAAAACTGTCCAATACTAGATTTATTAAACATCATGATATCATTAAAATCTTTCTGGGACAATATTACTTGATAAAATTAAGCAAACGAGAAATTAAGAAAATTATGAAATGAACTGATCTAAGATTATATCTTGCAAGTTCATCTTGTGGTAATGTATTTGAAAGAATCAAATAAAAGAAAAGGCATAAAGGTGTAGTTCAAAGTGCTGATGAGTGTAGTTTGAGCAAGATGGTTATTCCCTTGTCTTCCAGAGTTCTAAACCTGATGAGAGATCATTGGTTTGCAATCTCTTCAGGAGGAACAACTGTAGGGAACACTTGTGGGTGATCTCAAGTTCTTTCCTTGTCTGGAGAGGAATTACAAAAAAGATGGTCTGCTCACCAGCTCTTTATTTCACTGTGGTCTTTTAGCAGAGCCGTCTTCAGTTTGCCATTTCTTCCTCAGAAGTCCCAGGTTTTTTTGTTTTTGAAATGGTATTAGTAATTGAAGTTGTCTTCATGCAATGCGTTACCATGTTTTGGATTCATGTGTGTTCTGTCTTTCAGTAGAAGCTTTAACATTCCCTCCTTCTTCTGGGAAATCTTTTATTATGGGAACAGATGAGGCCCTTGAGAGTGAGCTTGGCCTTGGGGAATTGGCAGGCCTTACAGTAGCCAATGAAGCAGATTCACTGACATATGATGTAAGTGCTAATCTCTTAATGTTGCAGTTATTTTGGTTTTGAACAGTGGTAAAATTCTTTAATGACACCGAAAAGCTTTTAATTAGAAAAGAAGAATGGTTGCATCCTTTCCAAATGTTATTAAAAGGTATATTTCTTGAGCTGCAACTCAGTTATGAGATGAATAAATGAATAGATCAACATAGATTTTAAATTGAGTCAGAAAGGGGAAAAATAGATTTCTTATGCAGATATAGGTTGCATGTGGGACAGATTCAAATGTTTAACAATACTCAGATGTTAAAAATCCATTGTGTTTGTGTTTGAGACCTGCTGAAATCGCCTGCAAACATTTGATGTAGTACTCAATGGTGGTAATAAATTCTGATTTTCCAAAACATTTATTTTAAGGTCTGCCATAGAGTAAGAATTCAGTGCATGAGTTTAAAACCAAGAAATGGCTGTGAAGGAAGAGACAAGATGAGAATTAGAGAGAAAGAAGGGGAAACATTTCTTTGCAGGTTATATCCAGAGCTGTTTTGTAGATTACAGTATACATTTCTGATTGGCTATTGAAATGTGTTTAATGTGTTACTGTAATACAGAGATTCATACCTAATTTGAAAAAAACGGTAGCACTGTAACTTCTAACATTTTGCTAGTCTTTACTGAGCATTTGATAACATTACAATGAAGTACATCTTTTGTCAAGTGATTAATAAAATTTGTATTACTATATTCCCATTGGCTTTTCTAATTTTTGTTCTTGTTACAATAGATAGCAAACAATAAAGATGCTCTGAGGAAGACATGGAATCCTAAGTTTACTTTAAGGAGCCATTTTGATGGAATAAGGAGCCTGGCTTTCCATCCAATTGAACCAGTGTTAATTACCGCTTCAGAAGATCATACTTTAAAAATGTGGAATTTGCAAAAAACTTCTCCAGCAAAAAAGTAAGTTGATGGCTGAAATAGATACATTCCTGTACGGTGGATGTTGAAGAAATATAACAGCAAAAATGATGTTTTACATCTGATTTATCTTCCATGAGAGAAATTTAGAGAATGTTAGGTGTAATATTGTTTGTCCCAAAAGTGCTTTTTCAAGAGGTGACTGGACTTATCCAGAGCTGAAGAAGCTTCTTGAATGAGAAGTGAACCGTCTTCAAAGAAAAACAAGAAAGCCCAGTTGCCTCTTGAAAAAGCATCTTTGTGACAACCATGACCTGGATGACTGAAAATCTCTATAGAAATTTGCAATGTTGTTTGTGTGCAGATAGAAGGCTCCTTAAATTCACAAAGAGAACTGGGAAATAGAGAAAGTTTACTATTGGAGAAAGGGGGTGGAATAGTAATATTTTACAGTTTCTCTTGCAGCCATTTTGGCAGTGGTTGTATCATATACACTAAATAAGTGTACAGTCAAGCTCCTTTGTGCAAAAAACCCTAAGTTTATTTATATACTGATGGGGTCTGAGCATGACTAACCAGAAGAAAAAAAACATCTGGTCCTAGTGAAGAGTTGGCATTGCAGCAAAAATTTGATATTGCAGCAAAAGTGAAGAATGCAGATTCCACCCTATGCATTTCACTAGGAGAAGAACTGATAAATGCCTATATCATAACTTTATGGTATGTCTGCATCTGAAATATTGTACACAGTTCTGGTTCTTGCATTTGTAAAAGGATATAATACAACTGAAAAAAATTCAGAAGAGGAAAACTAAAATGATCAAGAGGCTCAAATGCCTACTTTATAAGAAAAGGCTCAAATATTTGGGACTATAGTCTGGAGAAAGGGCAACCAATTGTACATGATCAAGATGTATAAAATCATGCATGACATGAAAAAGTGGGCACATATAGTTTTGTCCCTTGGTAAGGGCCATCCAACATAAAACCGTTCCAGACAGCACATTTTTAACTTGAGGAATTCTTACTTCATAAAATGATAATAGCTATTAACTTGAGTGGCTTTAAAAAAGAATTGGATGAACTCATGGAGAACAGTATCTTAAGGGCTACTGTTCTTGAAAACTCATTATATCTTTGAATGCCAATAGCACAAAAACAATTGGGGGGGGGGGAGGAGCATCTCTCTGTCTCATGCTTGCAAACACTCCAGTTGCATCAGGTTGGTTATTGTGAGAGACAAAATGCCAGGCTAAGACAGTTATTGACCTGATTCTGCAAGGTTGTTCTTGCAATAACTTAAATAATAACTTAATTTTTATTTTTGTTTAGGAGCACCTCACTCGATGTTGAACCTATCTATACTTTCAGGGCACATAAGTAAGTAAATGTGGACAAAAAGGTAGAATGTAATTTTGTTGGTGCAGATGTAACACTGCAGGTTCGCTTAAAAGAGAACTGAGGGATTATGTAAACCATGAAATAGTGGTGAGCATTTGCTTCATTTTGTGGTTGAAGCTGAACTCACCACACATTGAATGTTTCTAAACATATCTTGTATGCTTGTGGTAACTAAGAAACTCATACAGTGTACTGGTGGTACAGTTGGCTGAATGATTGCATTGGTTTCTCTTGCTGATATTGCTGTTATCTCTGTGGATTATGCAGAATACAGAGGTAATTCTTAGGAGGTCTTAAGTTTTCTCCCACAAGTGATAGAGGAATAGATTTGGGGAGCATACTTAGGAGACTTATTTGTGTTTAATGTGGTGTGCTGCACACTAGCTCTTCATTTCCAAGACAAAAAATATCTGGACATCTATGATTTCTACTGTAAATTAGAGTTATTAGTGTCAGATGACTATCTTTCATTAGGGGAAAAATCTCTATAATCAGTGCTATCATAACATACTTTCTCTTACAGCAGTCCAGTGCTTTGTGTAGTGATGAGTAACAATGGTGAGCAGTGTTACAGTGGAGGCACTGATGGCCTCATCCAGAGTTGGAATACTACAAATCCAAATATTGATCCTTATGATTCATATGGTTAGTGATTCTTCTTTTGTTTCCTTTTATTTTTGCATGCTTTTGCATGTTTTGCAAACATATTCCATTGCAGAAAAGACACTCTATTTTATATATATATAAATCCATGCCCATCCCAGCTTCGTGATGGGGGAAAGCGTTGTGACACATCACGTGACAGCAACATGACAGTGCGAGTTTAACACCCGTGATTTAGAATAAACTCATAATCTCTTGATTAGAAGGACCAATTGGTTTTATAAAAAATAAGGTAGTTCTTTTAAAAAGATAGTGATACTTTAGTTTAATCAATCCTCTAAACTGTATAAAAATATTTTTAAGAACTTGAAATATATGGTTTTGTTCTCAGATCCTTCCATTTTAAGAGGTGCACTTGTAGGCCACTCAGATGCAGTCTGGGGTTTGGTTTATAGTGGAACACACCAGCGCTTGCTCTCTTGTTCAGCAGATGGCACCATACGTTTATGGAAGGCTTTGGAGATCTGTCCTGCTTTAAATATATTTAATGATAATCAAGGTACTGTACAATCTTCTGTTTCTTAGAATGAATTGTATTTGCTTCTAATACATACATACATACACACACACGTACATATGTACGTACGGTACATACATACATATTTATATAGTATAGTATAGTTTTATTATGTTTCATTACTTGTTTATACTTGTTAATGATCAGAATAAAAACTATTGGCTTGTTGTCAATGTGTGTTGTATAACAGTGGTGGCTAACCTTTTTGGGCTCCTGTCCCAAAAATTGTGAGTGCACCAGCGCGCCCACATTCGTGGGCCAGCACCCCCTGTGCATGCTCAATGTGCACCCCCTGTGCTCCCTGCGCATGCAATTCCCCCCCCCCCACGCCACCCCCTTACCTGCACTGCACCTCACAGCTGATTTTTTGGCTGGTGTGATTTTTTGGGCCTCCCAGAGGCTTGGAAAAAGCCTCTGCAAGGCCTTTCAGGACAAATTATAGGCCTGTTTCATCACTTCCGGTATTACAGGAAGTGACAAAATGGGCCTATAATTTGGCCTGAGAAGCCTTGCAGAGGCCTTTTCGAAGCCTCTGAAGGCCAAAAAAGGCCTCAAACCAACCAAAAAAAAAATCAGCTGTGAGGCGTGCACATGCACAATGAGGTAAGTTTGCCTGTGGTTCTCAAGCTAGCACAAATGGTTCTGCGTGCCACTTGTGGCACGTGTGCCATGGTTTGCCATCACGGTTGTATAAGATCAGTTATTTTTAAAAGGAATTGCTATTAGAGAACATTCACTCATTTTTTAAGAAAACATACATCTTAGAAATCGTTTTTAATTTTCTACATACAACTAGAAATTGAAATGTAATAGTAGATCGTAGATTATATTCAATTATATATTCTGCCAGTCATAGGAATGAGTACCACCAGTGGATAGAATTCTCCCTCTGCCATTCACTCCATCATCACTCCATGTCTCTGCCATAGGATTTGGATGCATGGTTTAAGGTGGATGGACATTGTGAAGAAAGAAAAAGAAACAGGTCTGCTCACAGGAAATCAAGAAGAAGTTTTGTATTTGATAATAAGATAATATATTCCTATCAAATATGGTATAAGACTCCAAACTGGAGAAAGTGTGTGCTCTTGTATTGTATGACAGAGTAATGTTGTCATTCCTGGAGAAAGAAATTATTAGTATTTTCTAAATGAGCAGTATTCAGATACTTGCTTTAAGATAGTTCTATCATTCTGTGGAATAAATATTATAATTTGAGACTCTCGTGGATGGCTTCATTGGAATATTCATATCAAATAGTAATGAAAGCAACATATTGATTATTCATTTTAAAGAAATACTACTCTGGTTATTCCAAATTTTCCAATAATATATTTTTATCCAATTTTGTGCAACATGTGTTTTCTTCCTATAACTATGTTATCATTTTAGCTGTTGGTGGAATTCTTCTTATAGAAAGAATGACATAGCTAGATTCATTTTTATGCTGATTCCACTTAATTTTTCACTGAGTATTTTTTAAGCTTTTTTGTTCTGATGTTACTGTGGTTGGGTAAATCTTGAATTAAAGATACACACACACACTTAAGATTTTGGTGGTTTCACTGTTGAGAAGGATTTCTCCTGTTCCAAAACCTCAACAATTGTTTATTATGCCGTTAAAAATCATATTTCTTGTATTATTGTTACTTGAATACTCATGCTAAAATAAATATAGCTATTAGGTTATAATTTCACAGTAACTGTGTAAACTTATTTTGTACTCTGGGCATTCTTTTTGTAGAAATGGGAATTCCATCATCTGTGGATCTAGTGAGCAGTGACCCAAGCCTTATGGTAGCGTCATTTAACACTGGATATACAAGCATTTTTAACATGGAAACAAAACAACACATTCTTACCTTGGAGTCCAATATAGATACTAGTATGTATTAAATACTGCAACAAGGGTTGTGGGGAGAGGATATTTGTAGGATCATTATCATTATTTTTAGGATACTTTAATTTGTTGAAAACCTTCAAAAAAAAAAGTTGATGCAGTGTGTCTATATGGCTGTCAAATTATCTAAGCATAATGGAGAAAATTGTAATGAAGTGTTAAAAAGCAAATGGAATGAATGAAGAAGAGAATTTGTTTTGATTTGGAGTCACAGAAGGAAGGGCTATGGAATTGATTAAGCCCCCCAAAAATCCATTTAAAGGGAACTTCTTGAAGAACCCTTAACAAAAATTGCCACCAAGAAATAGAAAAAAATAGAAAGAAAATTAGTAAGGAAGCAGCTTCTGATATTTTTTGACAGCACTTACAAATGCATTTATATTTTATCCTTTCTGACTAAGATTACACCATAAATTTCTTCTTTCTACAGATTACCTTTTCTAATCTTCAAATCCATAGATCACAGTTTATTTTTCTAATTTTTAAGCAAAAATTCCCTAAAGGATTTCTAGTTATTGACAAATGTATTTGTTGATCTTTCTCTAATCAAATAAGTTAATTTTGCTCTTTCTGCTAGTTCTGTCATTTTCACTAACCATTCCTCTGTTGTGGACATTTTAGAAACTTTTCATTTTTGTGCAAAGAATAGTCTCGCAGCAGACTATTTTTATATATATATGTGTGTGTTTTCTTAAGTTTTCGTGGTTACTTACATGTATGGTATTCAGCTTTGTTCGGGAATTTTCCCACGTCATTATAGTTGTGCTTTTAAAGTTGTAGCAACATTTCGGCAGAATCTCATCTGCCATCATCAGGCTTCTGTATTGTGTTCGTCTCAATACAGAAGCCTGTTGATGGCAGATGAGATTCTGCCGAAACATTGTTACAACTTTAAAAGCACAACTATAATGACGTGGGAAAATATCCGAACAAAGCTGAATACCATACATATATATACATATACATATACATATATATGTATGTACATGTATATATATATTTCTCCATAGCTCTTTGTTACTTAGTCAATCCCAGTTAATCCCAGCAAGAAAATTTCTGATTTCAGATTAATGTTGATCTTTAAAATTGTTTGTATTATTATGTTTTTGAACCCAGAAATTTCTGGCTTTTTCTACAAGTCCACCAGGAATGATAAAATAACCCTTCATGTTGTGCACATTTTCATAATAAATTTGAAGTATCTTTATATATTCTTGAAATTTTTTCTATATCAATGCTACAAAATTTTATCAAATTTTGTCTTTTAGGTTACAACATAATGTAAATTTGAATCTTTTAACCACATATGTTCGTATTGTTCTATCATTATATTGTGCCCAAAATTCTTTGTCCATTTAATCATATGGTATTTCATTTGTTCTTCTTTTGTGTGCTTTATGTAGGAATCCACTATGTTTTTAGAGAGCCTAATAGCATAAAGCGAACATAAACCATTTAAATAATGTAAATATAATTGATTGGGTCCTGAAAATGTTTTTTCATTAGAATGGTCTACTAGATGAGGCCATTAGTGTTTCAGAATTTTATGTGACTTGAATATTTTTTGGAGTTGATTTTATTTTCATGTGTGCTTTCTGTCAACAGCGGTTAACACTTCTTGCCAAATAAACAAAGTGATCAGCCATCCAACTCTTCCAATAAGCATCACAGCCCATGAGGACAGGCATATTAAATTCTATGACAATAACACAGGTAAGTAGCCTGTTTCTCTGTATAACATATCATAAAACCCAAAATACTATGGGATCACCTACAATTTGAAAATAACTTTATTAAGTGGTGAATATTTCAAGATCAGTATCCAATTTAACCACTGACAGACAAAAACGATTGTAAGAAAAACGGCTTGTTGGCTGAGCAGTGCAGCCTATAGAATTAAGTGGGTAATGCATTGTATTTATGGAAGAAATCCCTGATACTTGTCGTTGGTTCACATTTTTTTAAGAGACCTGGAGAAACAATTTATATTAATGTGTTCTCTACATAGGGTAAAATGAGATTGCTGTTAAAATCTGTGGTGGTTTTTTGTTCTTTGTATAATCTTGTGAAAATCTTCCAGAAAAGATTTTTAGGCTGTTTTTGCTCAGAACGTAATAAAAGTAAATTTGTAAATCATATCCCTTAAAATGCTTGTAGTTGTTGTTTATAATTCTTACAGTATGTGCCCAAAGGAAGAAACCTGTAGTGCAATCAGGACTCAGCTTTACTGAATACATTTCCGTTCAAGAATTAACTGTTTAGCTTGGCAAAGAAGCTGATTAAAAGTTTGTGTAAGCAACACAGTAACATATTGCAAATGTGTTTACAGATTCTTCCTTCAACGCTATGTAAAAGTTCAGGCTTTGTAAAGTTACATTTCATACCTTTGGGAAGTGCAGGAGAGAACTGTAAAGATGATGCTTATCTATTCCTTTGGGAACTAATAAAGATGTGGTGTACTGTGACTCAAGTATCAGTTTTGAGAATCATACAGTAAAGGTGGCACTGACAAGAACAGTGCATAATTAGGTGATTATTCAAGCAAAGAGAGTACGTTAAGAATAAGATATTCTGTTTTGGGCTAATACATGGTACAATATAGATGTTTAGTGTGAGTACATGTCATTTTACATTTCTAACTTTCTTTAATATCTTAAGCTTATTGCAAGTTCTAATATATTTTGTATGTTCAACTGCAAAGGGAAACTGATCCACTCTATGGTAGCCCACTTGGATGCAGTCACAAGTTTAGCCGTCGATCCAAATGGCTTATATTTGATGTCCGGCAGTAAGTACATTTTGTGTTTTTAAAAGTGTCTTGCTAACAACAGGATTGGTCACAAAAGTAAGAAAATGTTTTTCTCCTTTAGGCCACGATTGTTCTATACGCTTATGGAACCTTGAAAGCAAAACCTGCATTCAGGAATTTACGGCTCATCGCAAAAAGCACGATGAATCCATTCATGATGTGGCATTCCATCCCACCAAATGTTATATTGCCAGTGCAGGAGCAGATGCACTTGCCAAAGTCTTTGTATGATGCAACACTTCCCTATCCTTCTAGCTGCCTTGTACATATCTATAAATATATATGTCTATATCTATAACATAAGCTGTACAAAAGATAAAGAGCTTGTAATCTTTAATTCGTGAATGTTAGCAATTGCTTCTGACTATAAGATCTCAGTCCTGGGAGCTTGGAAACTCCCTATTTCAAGCGATCTGTGGAGGAACCATTTTAATTTTGAAAGTGTCCTTTTTTGTCTAGGCTGGCATTGGGCAAAATGAGGTGCTGTCTCAATTTATGCAGCACACAGGCTAACAGCTTGCTTGGGTATTAGTGGATAAGATTCTCCCAACCTGGTGTACTGCAAAGGTCTTGAGGCTTGCAATTCTTAAGAACTTCCAGTCAGCACTTCTACAGGACAACAAGTTGGAGGGTATAGCAAACAGATCTTAAGTTAGAATGTTCCCCCTGTTGGAAATTCATGCAATTCAGATCCTTGAGACAGTTAATTCATTGTGTCTTTTTCTAGCACTGAATGGTTAAATGAGTCACAGAATCTCAGCCTGTAGAGTCTTATAATAGACAGGTTGGATTTAAAGTATTGACTATTTAAAAATATGAATGTGATACATTTTCTAAAATTATGTTAAAATAAGATATGTAAAAGGCTTATAAATGTAAATTCTATTGAAACTGTTAGAAATGAATGTTAACAGGTGGCTGGAACCACAGTATATAACCTTCAATGTAACTTCTTCTAAGATGATGGGACATATGTTTACAATAAGGATCTGGTTCATTTCGGATGCTAATGACTGTTCATTGTAGAGCTAAGGAATATTACATATCTTTCCAACTACTCAACAAAAGCAATTTCTAAATTTTCTCACTGGGATGCTTATTGGTTTGGAAAACATGTGTATGCTGTTCTCCTGCTTTCTAAACTGTACTGCATCAGAACCTAATAAACCATACAAGAGCAGTACTGTTTGGGATATGTGAGGTGATTGATTTCTATTTACCATGGACAAAACCTATATGAAACAACAATGCTTTCCTGACCTCTATCAGTGATTCCATAATGTTTGCCAAAACTGGGAGAGTATATGCCAGTTCAAGCTGCAAGTGTCCAAAGGTAGATGGTGTTCTTCTATATGCATTATTCTCTCCCCTTGCCTACTGCCCACAATTGTCATGGCTTTATATAGCAGGCCTTGAAGTGTTGGGAATATAGGACTAGATTTGCTTTTTGAAAGTACTTGAAACTTAAAAAGATTGGCCATCTTTGGCTATTATGTTGTGGTACTTTTAATGGATATTTTTTGTAGGTTTGTTACAAAAAACCCAAACCTGTTATAGTTGTTTCCTCTCCTACAAAAACTGATTAAATAGGATTAGCCGTTACACATTCATTATTTTTGTGATTTTGTGTCAAAGCAGAAAATCCAACTGCACAAAACACATTAATCTATGTGTGACTATTGTGTATTTCCCTTTACTAGCTTGATATCCTTATTTTTTAAAAGGATATTACAGATGTTAAACTGTGTATATTTTGTGTATGTGTGTATATATATATATATATATATATATATATATATATTTATATATATGTATAAATATATGACAGAGATTGTAAGCAGTATATATTATAAGTAAGGGAAGATTCTGTGGATAATTTCAATGTTTTAGTATGAAAGTTCTTGAGACTTAATACAAAGGATAAAACATAAATAGTATTGTGCTTTTTGCTTAAAGCAACATAATACAAAATTGCTGATGTTTAAATTGCTGTACATATCACTAATAGGTCAGTATGTTTGATTAAATTATGAATGTAACAAATGTTCCTGTTCATTGACAGAAGGATGTGACATCCTGCTCAGTGAATTTTTGATCCAAGAGAAGTGACTTTTAAAACAAGCAAATAGCCAGAGTTTTGAGGTGCCATTAAGCAAACAAAATGTAGCCTTATGAGGTTGCAGGCTCTGTTGCAGATTCTTTGTTTGTCTTTCAGATTGCATATTACAGTCTGGATTGTACTAAATACAGATATATTCTGTTGCAGTTGAAAATACCCTTTTTAATTGATAAGCTGTTTCATATATCTTGCAATCTTGGATTGCACTTCTGTTATGTACTCATACTCATTTTTAGATCAGTTTGATCAATGTGTATCTTTTCTTTATGCTATTCAAGTTAAGTTCATCACATCAACTGCCTTCATTTAACATACTGTAATTGAAATCATGTCTAATTATTTAAATGTTTTGCCCATGCAGCTAATCAGGGAGAAAATGCTGAGCATATGCTTGTTTTCTGATACTGTAGCTATTGATTCGTGAAGAACAGGAAGAAATGTGTGAACTAGTGCTGCCCTTAGACCCTCCATAATTTATTTCAAGAGCACATTCTTTCCCCCTTTTTCCTTTTATCCTTTTTTCAAACCAGGCAGAGAAAATTTAAACCTCCATTTGTTGTTTGAAACCAAAACAAAAAACCCTTAACTGCATGCTAAACGAAACCCTGTACTGTAAATCAACAAACTGAAAACACACAATGGTAACCATGTGTCATAGTAATATATGTGATTTACAGGTACCCGTATATATTTGTCTTGTTGGTCTTCTTATTAAACCAATTGTTTAAAGTCCTTGAAAAGTACAAAAGCGCAGCTTGGTTGTAGTTGGATGGATATATTTTATTTCTTCTAGTGTATTACTTGGCATTTCACTAACTGCCCTCCTGGACAATAGACAGACTTGGATTTTGCATGTGCAGAGCAATTTTTGTGCATACATAAAGTTATATTTTAGTACATGACTTTTTGTTAAGCATTAACAGAATGGCAATAGCTTATGTTCTTTTTGCCATATTTTATTTCAGAGAATCTAAAGAAATATCTTAATGTTATGATTAATTTGAATTCTTTGAGTATTTGGATTTAAGTCTCTTACTTCGAGATAACTGGTAGTAGTCTTGCTAGTACTAGAAGTGATTTTCATTCTTCACTGGAAACGGTGGTTTGTTTCTTGTGTTTTATACTACAGCTAAACTGAAATGAAATCCCTCCCAAAAACTATACATTAAATTCCTGAAAAAGAGTAGAAATCTTTCTGCATTTAGCATGGTAGCAGTAACCATCATAGACTGCTTCAACAAATATGTACAAGGATCTACATAGTTCATGTGATCACTGTATTTATCATGGATACAAACCTTAATATTGGCTTGGACCAACAGAAAGAAGTAATGAAGTATGGGTGATACTAATCATGAACCTCTCAAACTATTTTTTGATTTGACATAATGTTGTGAGAGTTTTTTTTCTTTATAAAAATGGCTTTCATAATTCCCTCTATTTTCTTATATATGCTTACTTAGAAGTATGATCAACAGGACTTACTCCCAGGGAAACATACATAGAATTTGCAATATTTTTATTATACTGGAAATAGTTTTCATAATGCTTTGTAATACCAGTTTGCCTAAATTTTGGTTAAAATCATTTAGGTTTCAGTTTCATCATATTAGGAGATTTTGCATCAACAGAAAACGGTGATGATGCTAGATTTTAGGGATATTTATAACAAAGAATTCTTCACTGAATATTACTCAGTATCTGTTAGTTTTAGTCCAGGAGTTATTCATAATTGTTATAAGTATGCACTTTAAAGTTTTCAATATAGTTTGTCATTTGGTTAACATCAGATAAAGATGCAAAAAGTGGAACATGCCAATTGAGAATTAGTATAGCAATTTAAAAAATAAACTTTTAAAAAGCAAATGGCACAAACTTTGTGAAGCATCTTGAGTAAATCTGTCTACCAAGAAAATTTTCTTGTAATCTTCTGTTATTGCAATTAAATATGAGGTAAAAGTGATGTGGTAATGAAGGTAGTAACTCTGGGTAGTTGCTAATAAAGTATGAATGTTTTGTACAGTACTTGCATTCTCTGTTGAATAAAATCTAATGGACCTTTCTGTAGTAACACTATACAGAGCAGCTTTACTCAACATTGCAGCAACAAATAAATGTCCTTTGTAATATATATTTATGTACATTGGGTGCTAATAAATACTATTTTTCAACACCTTCGTATCTTTGCATTTGACACAGGCACACAAATGTATGGGTGTAACAGGTTGGAGAAACCACTGATAATGTAAGGTTTAGAATAGAAAGATAAAAAGCTTCTTTATAAACTGGTTTTTGCTCCATAGAAATACAGTGTGTTTTGCTTATAATAATCTTTGATTGCTGCCACTGAATAAAAATCCAATCTCAGTAGGGGTCAGTCTTAAAAAGAATTATGCTGTTGAATTCTCCTAAATTTATTATTTTAAGTTATTTATTAAACAAAACAAGGGACTGGGGAGTTAGATATATGTTTTAAGTCCAGCCAATTCTGGGAGTTGAAGTCCACATATCTTAAACTTGCTGCGGTTGAAAAATGGTACCACGCTGCAGTGTAGATTATTATATAGGTGTTTTTGAGTTTTCTAATCATGGACTGGGAATGCCTAACCTATAAGTTTGTCAGAAAGCTCCTGCATAGTATTGCTATGTATAAGATGTAGCTGATGACCCGCACTAATGAAAATTCTTGAATTCCTATACAGAAATGCTAATCTATCAGTTATATACATCCAAGTTAGTTGGAGTCTATAATTTCAAGAATACATAGTACATGATATCTAGGAAAAGCAACGTGTACACTGAGTGCTTCTGTACTGGAGACAAATTCCTTGTGTGTCAAATCAAACTTGGCCAAAAAAGTTTTGTTCAGCTCAGCTCAATTCAATCCAATAATATATCAATACAGATTTTCATGTCTAATATGTGTTGGGCAATGTTGTGTTTCAGGATTTAGTGACCGCAACAGGACTATCGCCAACAGCTATGGCTGGCATTCATTCTAAAATACATTTTGGATTGCTATACAGGACATAGGCAACTGTGCAGGGCTCGATTAGGCACCTGTTTTTATAGCCAGGTGTCCTGACTTCTGATTGGCGAAGCTTTTTAAAACAATGGAGAAACATTTCTTCTGATCTGTTGTGTGGCAGGCCTATAAATGATATAATTTGATAATGACTGGTTAGAGCCACTTCAGATACCTTTGAGATATTCTAATATTCACCCGTTATACTTAAAAGGATAATTTTAGAAATACGCTGCAATTGAATTGTAGCATTCCTGCGAATATGTAGTTGTCATACAGTGCAGTATTAGTTTGCTTTAGTACTAATCTCATCCCATATTTGGATTATTAGCTTGAAACAGAATTCTGATTATTCAGAATTCATCAGAACAATAGTAATATCCACTTAAGAATTAGCCACTAAAATGTTCATTTGTAGGGCATGCATAATTTATATTGTTTCCATGCTGAAAACTTCATGGACCAATAATCTCATGCAAATAAGAGTATTTCATAAGAAGCCTGAAGGTCTGTTCAAGCATGCAAGGAAACATGATTTTTTTATTGTCTCCTCTTGGGGAAAAAATGTGAACAAGGCAGAGTGTGCACATGATAGCCTCTTTTGAATATTAAACATGAAACATTTTGCTTTTTCATTAAAAAAATGTTAACACAATTTTGTAACTTTTATTGGAAAAAGTACCACAGCTTACAAAAAGCTATTATAAGATAGAAGATGGAGCTTTGCTCCCTTTTGGATATATAAGTTCATAGGGGGAAGGCATGGAATTGAGATTCACAAATTCATGGTTCTTTCACAAAAAATACAAAGTTTCTTCAGTACTCAGCTGAATACATTCTTTGCACCCGCCTTCACTAAGGGAAGCAAAGCAAAGATAATGGGCTAAAACAACATTTCAGAAGACAAAGAAATGAAGAATAGAAAGCTGATAACAATTACTGACCATTAAACATTAAGAAGTGCTTAAGAAATGAAGTATAGAAAGCTGATAACAATTACTGGCCCTTCACAGTATACTTGTGAAATTGTTGGTCTCCCCACCAAAACTATCTAACGTAGCACAGTAATTCATCTTCGTATGGGTTCTAGAAAGAGCCAGTTATCTTTAAAAAAAACCTTTAGTAAATACTTATAAAATTACAATTAATGTCTCTTTTTGTAAATAGGAAAAATAAATATGAATATAAGTATATAGTCTTTCCTGAAATAGAATCAGTCTAGTTTAATATGTCTCACTATTTGCAATGTCAAGAAACATGGATTAGAATGGTTCAGCCGAAATACTCTATATATGTAGAGTATTTTCACTTTCAAGCTACTTTTGTAGATTTTTTTCTCTGTATGGAAATCCTAGATAAGCCACAGGAAACCGCTATTAGGGCTCAACCTCTATTTAGTCTACTAAGGATGAAAAAAATCTATTATAAATATTATTCTGTTTTAGAATTCAAACGCTAATAGTCATTTGCTGGAGTTTTTATTTTTTAAAGGAAAATATTGTTCCCAATGAGACTTATGATTGATTGGATGTACCATGTTTGTAACAGTTGTCAAGATTAGTCAGCCGGCTGCTCTCCTTACTTATATGACAATGAATGGAAAATTCTGGCTATGCTGTCTTCATGAATGTAATAAGGAGAATGATGATGGTGAACTTATCTATATCTATCTGTCTCACAATTTGGGCTCTTGTTACAGACTGATATACAGTTGAAGCACATGAAATGTTAGTAAAGGAAAAATACAATGTGCTGAAAACTATTCCTTCAGTACGTGGTTAGCAGGCCACAGATACATGTTTTTTTCATCGTACTGTCTATATTTAATCAGTGTCTTGTTTGCTTCTTATGATTTACATGACTGCCAATACCTGGAATTAAAGGTTAGGATCCAAACTATTTTACAATATTCAAAAGTGATAAGTCAGCCTGTTTCTTGACTTCACCACCACCCTGGGAAAGTAATGCTATCATCATTAAAATAAAGGTGGCTTTGAAGTCCTCAGAAATATTCCATGGCTGTTATACTGAGAAGTTAAATTCATTGACTCGGCCTGATAATTTTAAATAAATAAACGGTTATTGGCCAGTTTGTTATCAGTTTGGAAACAAGTAAGGTGAGGTGTGGGGTGAGGGGAAGCATCACTTTACAGCTTCTATTATGGTTATGCTTGGAGAGCAGATCTGAAATTATCCTTTAGGTAAAATTTCTCATCTTGCATTGCCTGATTTATCGGAGGCAATTTCAGCGATGCAACCCTTGTAGCTGGATGCAATCAGTTCCGTGGCTGTGAATTAAACTCTGTACAAATATTCTGAACGATCTTAGGAACAAATCTATAGAGTCTGTCAAATTCATCCACAAAGAATGAATGTTCCTTATCAGGGTCAGTTGCCACAGCTTCCAGTTCATCTTGGGCAGCCCATGCGATTCCTATTGAGTAAGCTATTACACCTGCAGGGCGGAAAATAGACCATAATGGATCAATGCCTTTTTTTAAAATTGATGCTGCATTCATATACATCTTAATGATAATCCAGATAGGATATGAAAAAAGAAAAGGCCTGTGCCTGTTCAAAAGGAGAAATGCAAGTCCCCCATTACTTCACAATTGTGGTGGTGTTTTGTTTTTTTTAAAGTGGTTTTCAAGTACACAGAACCCCATGCTGAATTTCCCATCAATTGAGAAAACAGTGAAAGGATAAAAGGAATAAAGAAACTTGAATTTGGTGTAACCGAAGAGCAATTTCCCACCCACTGTAACTTATACTAAGTAAAGTTGTGCTATGCTTTCAATCCAAAATTGATCTGCTCCCAATTCAGCATTTTCCAAAAGAAGTGGTGTCTTTTCTTGGACACTTCCTCCATTTAAATGTTTCCCCCCCCCCCCCCCTGCAATTGCCCAGTTACTATGTCAGCAATTTGTTTAAGGAGTTGACAATACACATACTATACACAGCATAAGATATTCCAGGCCAGCCATGCCTAAAGGAACTAAATCTTCAACAATTCCACCTAACTCAATTAAACTTGGTCCTCATGCAATCCAAGAATGGTCTGTCAATTATAGCTGCGGGGAATTGGGAATGCTAAACTTAATCTTAAACTGTGGCTTAATTTAAATGCCCTCTTCAGATCAAAAGCTTTAGACCTGGCTAAACCTTTCTGAAACGAAAATAACAGGTGGTTACCATTTTGGTGTGCTGCTAAAGCTGGTCCCCTGACATCATCGTACGATCTGCCATCTGTAATCAAAATCATGATTTTCCGCTTGTTGGGTTTGGATTTGCTGAAGAGCTGCTCAAAGGCGAAGTTGATGGCCGCTCCAGTGCTGGTTCCTCCACTCCAATAGTTGATTCTTTTGATAGCGTTTAGCACCTCCTGCTTAGTGCTGTGCTTGTTAAAGTCGAATTCCAGCCTTTGTTCATAAGTGTACTGCACAGCTCCAATCCGGGTATCTGTATCAGAAATCTCAAACTCTTTGCTAATATTGGCTACAAATTGCAGAATGGTGCGGAAGTTACCTGTGCCAACGCTGCTAGATCCATCAATGACAAACCCAATGTCGGCTGAATTTAGGCAGGTTTTGCTGCAAGCCAGACGGTCAACATCACAGACTCGTTTCACTAAAGGCTGCACTACTTTGTACAAGGTAAACCAACTGGTGACATGAATAGAATAGTATCCATTGGTCCTGCATACAGCCTAAATGATAGAATTTAAAAAAATAAAAAAAGCTTTATACCATAAGTGGATCACATGGAATCTTCAAAAATTACTGTAGTAGACACCCTGATTTCCCTCTGTTTACATGATTTTTGCTCAAGAGTATAATTTCCAGAAAATAAATTTATACATTTTTAGGTTTAATCTTGTAATATCGCTGATCTGGAATTATTCCAGTTTGCAGTTGGTCTCCACCAGTGTTCTAAGATCTGAAAACTTAGCATTATAGTTTTAAAATAGCTTTCTGCAAGCAAGAGGATCCAGATTGATGGGCCTATATGCTACATTTGCTGTAAAGTCAGAGCTATTCAGCCAGTTCTGACAGATTCTGGAGAACTGGTGGCAGAAATTTTGAGTAGTTTGGAGAACCGACAAATACCACCCCTGGTTGGCCCCGGCCTCATCTATTCGCTGCCTCCTGATCAGCTGGGTCTTCTTTTGTTGCCTTGCACAGGAAAATGGAGCTGGAAAGCAGGTTAGTGGGGTGGGGAGGGGATGGGGATTTTACAGTATCTTTCCCCATGCCTACCAAGCCACACTACACCCACTAAGCCATGCCCACAGAACCGGTAGTAATACCACCACTGTAAACTACTTTGGAGTGGTATATAAGTCTAAGTGCTCTTGCTATTGCTACTGTCTTGAACTCTATAGGAATTCTTTCACACAATTTCCAGCCAGCATCGCCAATGTACACATTGGGTGGGAAATTATGGGGATTGAAGTCCAATATATCTGAAGGTCCTTGGATTTTTTTTTTTTTAATATGAGATTAGTTTTAATGCTGCAAAATCAGGATTTTGTCACTCGTTGAGATGGGTGACTTTATAAATTGATTAAATAAATATATAGATAAATAACTTTGTTCTATTCTATGAATAGATTGCATAGTCATGCGATTCTTTACTTTGTAAAATGTAGCTACCATAAATTAGTGCATACAAATTTGTGCTGCGTTCATGTCTCAGAAGGGCTCATTGTAGCTCTGCCCTAGCAAACTTAAATAAAATCAAAATTAGTCATTAGGCTGGAGCCTGTCCAACTTAAAAATCTGAAACACTTCAGAGTTCAGAAGAAATGTGTTTCATGGCAAACCTATGAGGGGAAGTGCCCAAAATGATCAGAAGGTGTGTCCAGGAAAGAAAAAGTTATTTTTGCAATTCCCAAAGACCGCTTTGCTTTTTGAAGGAGACTTCCTTTGCCAAGCCTTCAGGAAGAATCCCAGCTCATAAGAATACTACTTAATTGAAAAGGCATTCTGTAAAATGCATCCAGTCTAAACTCTAGAGCTTATGAAGGCAAGTTCTAACTAAGATACATCCAGAGCTTTCATGTGTATAGCAATAAATTCATAAATAAATCCACCTGGAGCAGAGGTGGTATTCAGCAGGTTTAAATGTAGATAGTCCTCAACTTACAAACATTCATTAGTGAGCGTTACAACGGCACTGGAAAAAGTGGCTTATGACCATTTGTCACACTTATGACGGTTGCAGCATTCCCTGGTCACATGATTAAAATGTGGATCCTTGCTTGGCAGCTGGCATGTATTTATGGTGGTTGCAGTGTCCTGGTGTCATGTGATCACTTTTTGCAAACTTCTGACAGGCAAAGTCAATGGAGAAGCCAGATTCACTTAACAACCAGGTTATTAACAAACAACTGCAGTAATTCACTTAACAACTGTCTTGCTTAGCAATGGAAAATTTAAGCTGAGTTGCAGTTGTACGTCGAAGACTATCTGTATCCACTATTCAAAAACAGTTTTCATTGGCTTTGTTTTTAAATTTAAAAAAGTATGGTATCTTTAGTGTATATTACGTTTTCACAATGTTTGGCAGAACTGAGTCCCAGGACCGTGAAGTAATTACTTTGGCAAAACAACTATAGACTGTTCTTGTCTGATTCTGCCATATGTGGCAAAGTAATCAGACCTCGTATTTTCCCACAATAATACCTGCACACTCCAAAATCTGCCACTTTCCCCTTACCTTGTCCACAAAGTTTGTCTCAATGACATTTTTCTTTTCATTTTCATCGGGTCCTTCAATGGTGACAAAGAAAATGTTAATGCCAGACTCCCGTGCCAGCCTGGAGGCTTCTTCTACCTTATCGGTGGGCCATCCATCCACCAACACTACAGCCACATTGGGGGCACTTCCTCGGTTGCCGTTGGCATCTTCAAAGTAGTTTTTGTTAATAAAGGACAAAGCTTTTCCTATGGGAGAGGGTGGCAGAGGAAAAAGAATTGTTCATTTGTTTAGTAAATCTTGAAAAAGCTAGTTCCTATTTATTTATTTGGCATTGTATTGGACGTTATTAAGACTAAAAATGATAAAATGGAGGACAGAAGCAAAACCCAACCAAAAAAACCCCCAAAGCCAACATCAGATCAGCAGGAAGCAGATCAGTAGCAGCAGATCAGTAGGAAGCTTCTTATTGTCAGGATCAATGATGTAGATGTAAAGCAATTATCTGCACTGTGATTTGGAATCAAAATCTGCACTGTCTTTTTGATAGGAATACATGCTCTGGTTGAAATGTAAATAGAAATAGCATTCATCCTGAAACAACAGCTGAAATAAAACTTCTGCCTACATTATGATGGAAATATTCGTATCCATTAAAAACACATGATGCAAATATTTTTCTCGACCAAATGTGTCTGAGACTACAGATGTATATCAAGTTCACTTACATATCTAATCCAGTTGCCTCTTGAAAAAGCACCTTTGGGTCATCCATTACCCGGATGACTGAGAATCTCCATACATATCTAATAATCCATTCTGATTTTATAGAAATTACTTGGATTTGTGGCAAGATGAATGACTCTACAATATCTGCATGATAAACTTTAGAAACTGGAAAATAATACAGTTTTAGCATCTTATTGTTTGAAATCCTAGGCCAATAAATGGTGAAGCCAAATACTGATGAGTTTCCTAATACAGTACAGTGGAATAGAGTATCCACAGTGTATCTTTACATTGACTCAATCTTTCAGAATTAAACACTGTTGATTGGGAGAACATCTTTCCTCCCCCAAAATCGGAAAAGACCGTCTAGAATCAATGAAGCAGGTGATGATCTTGAACCAAATCTATTCAGAAGATGAATCAATAACCTCAAATCATGGCATCTGATTCTTAAGCAAATTTAGTACGACACATCAGCTACCTACCAACATTAGATAAGCCTCCTTTTTGGGATATTTTCTCAATGGCATTTTTTAAGTCCTTGGTATTTGCGTAGGCCTTCAAGTTAAATTCAGTAGAAGGACCATCGCTGTTTGTAAAACAGAGAGGAAAATACAGGCAAAACCCAGTATTAATGGCAGTTCATTAATGAAAGTAAATAAAGTCAATTTTCAGGTATTTTTTTTCCAAACAAAGAATTATATGCACAAATAGTTCCTGAATGCTGAAGTTTATGCTTTTACTTTTCAGAGTTAAACAATTAGATTTTCATGGGTAATTTGTAGAGATGATTTTTTAAAGCAGAAAATAAAACTTGCTGTATAATAAACAATTAAAAAATAATTTACTATTAATCATTACTAATAATTTGCTGTGAATTATTAATAGTAATAATTAATAGTAATAGGAAATCATTAATAATAAATTGTTCAAATTGTTTAATAATTCATATTGAATTATTAATTTACTATTTGCTTCCATCTGCTAATTCCATCTTGTTCAGGCTTTCAAATAACTGGAAATCAGCTCTTTGGTTTAAAAAAGGCATACCTACTTAATTTTACATAGGTTTATCAGTAGTCTATTGTTGTTGTTTTCATGTTGGAACTTGAGATGGTTCTTCCTCAAGGCATCTAATTAAAGTTTCTGAATCCATTATCACCTGAGTCAAAAACATAGCATGACCCATATTTCATCTCTAAGAGATTAGTGTGTCATGTGGCACATAACTCTCCATGAACTCTGATTGCATGGACTAGCTTTCCTTCCCTTCCCATTAGTTAGAACCCTTATATCTCTGAAACATATCCAGGAAAATATAACATTATATAAAGATCAAATTTAAATTAAATTTTGGATAGCTAGAATTGGGCACTAATCTATTTAATTTTATATATATATATATATATATATATATATATATATATATATATATATAGGACACTCATCTCCAGAACAAAATGCTTAGCTGATGAACAACACCTAAAAACCGAACTACACACTCTTACCAACGTACTAACAGCCAATGGATTCCAAAGAAAGAAGAAACCCCAACCAAAATCCAAGACAGAGAACAAGAGAACGGCAAAGCCCTCCTCCCATATATAAAAGGCACTACAGACAAAATCAGCAAGATCCTCCAAAAACACAACATTAAAACAGCATTCTGCACAAACAGAAAAATATCCACCATCCTAAGAAACCCTAAAGGCAAAATCGAGTTAGAAAACCAAGGAGTATATGAAATCCCCTGCACTGCCTGCCTCACCACATACATTGGACAAACTAACAGAAGAATAAGTGCACGCGTTGAAGAACATAAGAACTCAATCAAAAAAGAAGAACC